GGTCCTGACGCAAAAATTTTTAAGTGCAGCAAAATTATTTTCGTACCATTAAATTCTACGTAGCTTTCTCTCCTATACCTTATAATTTCATGTCCATATCGGTTTATTAACATTATTTTTTTGAATGACAAACAGAGGGACCTCGATTTCGGACCTGTTTTTTTACCTGTGCGAACTGTTAATTTGCCCGGCATAGAAAGCACGTTGTGTCCAAAGTAATCACACAATGCAGGGAGCTTTTTGACAATTTTAAGCGTCCAGTAAGCGAAAGAAAACGCACCGCCAACACTTCTGCTAGCCGCGGAGTCATCAATAGCGAAATCCGTCGATTTCGAGAAAAAATTGCCCGTGAGACCGGCATCAGCGACCGACCAGTCGGCCAAATAGCTAAAAATCAACTCAAAGTCTCCCAACGCAAGCTATGAAATGCCCAACTCCTAATCGGCAAGATCAAGCCCGTACGCCTGAAAAAATGCCAAAAATTCCGACGTCGGGCCGCAGGTCCGCGATGGGAGCGCATTCCCTTCGCGGTGCAATCTTTGGCGGGTGCACAACCAACAGAACGTCATAGTCCAATCCGATGAGGCGCCCTGCATGTCGGCTAACGACGAACACCGTCAAAATAAAGGCCGTCATCGCCTAAGGGGGAATTTGTGCCAGCGGCAAGAATTCCGAGATTTTCGTGGATCAAGCGGGCAAAATTCTAGCGTCGCGTTAACTTCGATGTCCTCATGCTTCTGTTGGCTCAGTAGAACCTTGGCAGCGCAAATTTGAGGTTCCAACTAGACTCAGCGCCGACTCACAGGGCAACAACGCGTCAAGACCGATTTTGAGACCGATTTTCCCAATTTCACCCCGTCTGCGAAAAGAGCGCCTGCTCGCCGGGTGTAGATCCAATGGACTGTAATTTTTTTTCAATTGGAGGCCAGCATCTGTACTACACGCCACAAAAGTTTGGAGTCGCAAAGTAATCGCTGCGTCAAGAACGGGACCGATTTCCCCGAAAAAAGCTGCGGCCAAAAGGCCAAAATTTTAAGTCACGTTTGGAGCTCTATATCGCCTCCAAAAGCAGCCACGGTAAAACGGGTTTAATATGTTATAAACAATGCTCTATCTTATTGAAGATGACCGTTACTTTTGCGGAATTTGGATTGCTAGGAAAAATATAGCTATAAAAATAAGTTTCCATTTTTTTGCCGCACCCTGTATAATAGTTAGTGTTAAAAGCACCTCTATCGAATTTTAAAATTGTTTTGAGATTTTGGCTACTTTCCCTGATCTTCAGGGTCTTCGTGGTGGGACTCAAAAAATCACCAATTTTCACAAAAAATTTTTACAGTGTCAAACCGTGGAGAGTTCAGCGTTCATTTCGGCCCTAATCAACATTGCTGGAGCCCAATTACCCTCTAAAATCGACGTACAATCCCTGAAAAATGCGCGACAAACCCTCAGACACGCACTACTTTTGCTTACCGTAAGTTGTAAGAAAAATTTTCAGTTTTTTGAATTTAGCCTTTGGCCAAGAACTCGCGGAACACCCATTGTTTCACATTCCCTGCGGCCTACATCGACGCGGTCTACCGATTGTTCGGAGCAACGAATACTGTTTTGGTCGCCATGAACACATTATTGGAATCGAACCCTGAAACGTTTGGCATTGCACATATTGAATATGTCCTACCTGATGTGAGTTTAGGCTGAGATGGAGTTACTAACAGCGGGTGTAATTTTTGGGAGTTTGGAAAAAAAATTTATATTGTACTAGGTATTTGATGTAAAAATTTTGGCGTTTTTTGAATTTTTTAAGAATTATTTATGCTTTTGAAACAGCTATGTGAGTTTGTGAACATTTTGTGTAAGCTTGCGATAAATTTGTTGGTCTATAAACGGTGTTTTTCCATGAGAGAAACACTTGACTCAATAAATGGAAGAGTTGACTCAAAAGAAAAGCTTTTGAAAAATCAATATAAAAGCTTTTGTTGGCGTAGTTTGCAATGTTTTATTTTTGTTTTCTTGGAGAGAAAGAGTTGGCACAAAAATTCACGAATGGGTCAAGTGTCTCTTTCAAAGAAGAAAAGACTGCTCCAAGTTATAAAATGAAATTTTAGATTGAGCAAGCTCGCGAAGAGTTTATTGAAGTCCGCGAGGCCTGGGTGCAACTTTATCAACGCTCGTTTGACGCGGATTCCAACACTCTAAACCAACTCGAACTCATGAATAGACACGCTCAACTTTGTGAACTTTTATTGGACCGATTGTACTCTCAAGAGCTTACGTAAGTAGTAGGGAGAGTTTATAGAAGATTTGTAGGAAAAAATAATTGTTTCTGGACTGTTTATCGACGAGAGAAACACTTGGCTCAATTTGGGTCAAGTGTTCCTCTCGGTGCCTAAGGGTTGGGAAAGCTGTGTTATAATTGTTGTATTTCTCGAGAATGATTTGTAAGGTCTAATAATATTGTTTTCAGGCCGATCGCTCAATTCCCCAGATGCGCCGAAAATTGCACAAACGCTCAACTGGAACACCTGCTCGATTGGGCAATAACCAAGGCCAATCAATGTTTTGTGCCGGTAACTGGATCAATAAGTCAAAGGCTGAGCGCTTGGGCATCGGTGAGTGTGATTTGTGAGGGTTTTGGGTTGTTGATTTTGTGCCACGGTGCAATTTTTGGGTCCCACCACGAAAACCTGAGGATTGAGAATTTGGCAAAGATTGCGTTTGAAATCGACGAATTAATAATCAAGAGAGATTTTAAGGGAATTCTGAATGATTTTAGAATATATTTGGGGAAAAAAATTGGTTTTTTATTTGAAATTTGAGAAATTATTGCAAAATTCCTTTAAATTGCGGTTTTTTAAATTTTTGCCTTCAGAATCTCCAAGTTTTTGACGAAATCTTTGGCCGACTGGCCATCCCATCCCTCTGCCTCCCCAGGTTCTTCTTCCAACAACTCTGGCGCACCAATATCCGAGTCAACATCCTCCCACAGCCAAGGGAACATGAACAATATCTCCAGCTCACTTCCCGACAATTCCCCTTGACTGTGGAGGGAATTATTGAATCGAACAACCCGAAAGGCATCCAATCCATGGAAATCTACGTGTATATGAAGGTGGACAAGAATTCGGAGGAGGTTCTGGCGGATAAAAGGAAGACCAACTTGAATGCCGAGACTTACTTCAAAGAACAGTTTTTGCTGACAATTCGAAAGGTGAGAAGAGTTGAAAAGAGGATGGTTTAGAGAGAAGAGAGTGTGTAGAAGATTTTACGAAATGTTTTTTTGATTTTTGAAATGGTGAAAATACGATAAATCGATTTTTCTCGAAAATTTTAGGGTTTTTTGGAAATTTTTTGAAGTTTGGCGATTCATGAATTCCCAAGTGATTGAAAATGAAGTGTAGAGAGACTAAGAGGGCTGTGAAAGAGATTGCAATAAAGATTTTTGATTTTGGAAAGGGGTAAAATACGATATTTTGAATTTTTTATCCAAAAAGTGGGCAAAATTTGATAATTTTTGCAAATAAGGGTTTATTTTGGATTTTTTGATGGTTAGAATGTAATAAAATTGAATGAGAATGTAACTTGAAAGGTTGTAGAATATTTTACAAGAGGTTACTTTGATTTTTTGAAGGTTTAAATTACGATGATCTTGCTGTTTTTGCAAAAAATTGCAATTTTTTTTTTATTTTTTGGAAAATTTTTCGATTTATTTCAAATTTTTTTAAATTTCTTGATATGAAAAATTTCCAAATTTGATTCTCCATATTTTAAAATGCAATTTTATTTATTAATTTTTGTTTAGATGACCGAAATCACCGTCAAATTGTACTTTACCGACGCCAACAGCGACCTGAAAAAGCTTTGGAGAGCCGAAAGCGAAGGCCGATTGGTCGTGAACATCCCCGAATTCAAAGATACTACATAATTTCTTCAATTTAGACACCAAAAATTGTATTAAACTTGTTGATAATGTAAAATTGTTACTGTAATTTAAATTCATTTCCCATTTCCCCGCGAAAATTCCCAGAAATTTTTTATTCTAATCGAATTCCAGCACTTTTACTGCCCCAGAGTTTACTATTGGATTACCTGCAGATTAGCAAATCTGGCCGCTTTTTTCACCCTTCCCCCCACCACTCACATAACTCTTTTTTCGAGTCCTCCACTCGAGTATTTTTTTCACATTTCCAGTTGTTAATGTGAATCTAGGCCCATGCCGCGTTTTTCACTTTTTCCCTTTCGAAAATTTGACGCGAATTTATAGGTTGGGAGACTGCACCGTGCACTGGTTATATATAGAAGTAGGTGAAACGAGGGGAAAGGGTTGGAAATTTGCAAGGCTTTGTGTCTAGAGTGATATTTTTAAGAGCGTAGTATATATTGCAACGTATTTTACCTTTTGTCATATCTTGTTTTACATATTAATTTCAATTTTTTACAAAAATAACTGCACAGTGCGAATTTTTGGCTAAATTTTTTTTAAATCTCAAAATTCATGAGGTTTTTTGGAAATTTTATGGCTTATTTTCCCGCTATGTCAAGATTAGATTACAGTTTATTCAATTTGCTTACTTGTTTTTTCTCTGCATTACCTTTAGAGCGCACTTTGAACAGAAAATCCGCACTGTGCGGTGGAATTCTAAAAACTCGGGCCATTCTCTAAAAATTCGGTTGTTTTGTAAGAAGTTTGATTTATTATGACATTACTTATGCATTTTTACACTTTGTAAAGGTGGAAAAAATAACACAGGATCCATTTTTAGTGCTTTGGCGAGCTTTTTTTTACATTAAGATTGCACAGTGCAAAATTTTTTGGAAAACCCAGTGCAAATCGCTTACAACGTATTTTACAGTTACATAATTGTTGAGTTAAATAAATTTTAGGTCGTATTCATTCATATCCAACTGAATTCTGCCTTTGAGAACCAAAATTTTATTTAATTTTATCAATTTTTGTTAAATTTTCTGCACGGTGCAAAACTTTCCGAATAATCTTTCAAATGTGGGCCGCACGTATTTTAAAAATCGTTTTTTGAAATGTCACAATGATTTTCATTTAGTTCATGATATTGTAGCATAACAAATTTTTTGATTTAATGATACAGTAACCCGTAGGGTTACTGTATCATCATTAAGGCAACTTTTCGTTGCCTTCGAAAAAGCAACGAAAAACGGATCCGAGCGAGTGGGACACAGCTTTTTTGGAGGTGGACGCCGCAACTTTGTTCGACATTATTGCTGCCGCCAACTACTTGGACATTGAGCCGTTGCTGGAGTTGGGATGCAAGCAAGTTGCGAACACGCTACGCGGCAAAACAGCCGAACAAATCCGCGCCATGTGGGGAATCAACGAGACCTTCGGGCCGAAGGAGGAAAAACAATGCCGCATCGAAATGGGCTTCACCGACGAGGAAGACGAAGGTGTTGAATGAATAATCTACTTTTGTCCTCTTATTTATCACATAATTTAACTTTCTCATACGTGTAAATACAGCAAATGAAGTAAAAGTAAATATTATTTCAAGAGAAATTGGATTTGATCGTTAAAATAAGATAAAAACTGATCGGAAGTTTGTCGTATTCGAAGGAAATAGTTAGATTATGACTGGATAACCTCTATAGACAAATTTTTTCATAGATCTATCAAAAAATAGGACAAAATTAACCTTGTTTTATCAAATGTCTACTACAACAAGAAAACATTAATTTTTTACCCGAATTTTTTTATGATCTCCCATTACCACACCCTCCTCAGCGAGAGTGCTTCAAATTTCACCTATTCCATCTTCATTACCCCCTTTTACATCTCTTTTTCCGACGCTAATAACTCCAAAACAAAGAGCCCCCCAATTTGCACTGTGCAGTCAACCCCGAAGAACCCATTTTGCACTGCGCAACCAACCGAAATCCCAAGCCACAGTGCAAACCCCAAAATTTCACCGCACCGTGCAGGAGTGGACCCGGCGACAAAATTGTATAGGGTATTCTACGCAAATTTTCGAGAAGATTACGATTGCGCAAGAGAAGCGCCTTCAATTGCACAGTGCGAAACCCAATTCCAGCCTTTTCTTTCGGAATCGCAGTGCGAAATGAACGACAAAGCCGAATGCACGGTGCAATTTTGCGCGACAGCGTTGCACTTTTTCCGTCCTCCAAATTGAGCGGTTTTCCCCGAACTCGTGAAAACGGGGGTTCCAAATGTGAGCACAGTGCGATCATGAGGTTGCCTGTCGCACGGTGCCCAATTTCAGCGGAATTTCGCACCGTGCAAACGATCGAAACGGGCCCAGCGATTTCGTGCGCCGCAATTTGAAAAAAATCAATAGAATTTGCGGCGAAGTGCCAGAATTGATTTTTCTCGAAAATAATTTTTTTTGGAAATTGAAGGTTTTGTTCAATTTCGAGGTGGTTTTGGAGTATAATCTGCTAAAACTTTATGAAATATGAATCCTCTGACACAGATTGAGCGTGGTAAGTTAATTTTGTTTGTGTTGGTTTTGTTTTTAGACTTTCGAAGAACGAAAATGCGTTTGCGGCTTATGACCTAAAATAAGGTCAGAAATTTTTTTAAAATGGTCAATCTTTTCGGCAAATGCAACAATGAGGCTATGATTGGCCTAACAAAAATATTTTTTGCCGTTTTTACCAAGGCCGGCTGATTTCATGTTAGAATTCGACAATTTTTCTTTGCTGAATGGGAAAATTGCTGTATCTTTGTCATGAGACAGTATTTTCACGGGGTTTTTTGCATAGAGTTGAGTGAGAGTGTCATGAAAGTTGGCTTAAAATTTGGGTTTTCAAAGAAACACGCCAACATTGTTTTAGACGATTTTCTTGACATTGTTTTTGATGGTGTTGGCCATATTCCATTTTTGATGTTTTAGGCGGTTATTTCTCAGTTTTATAGACGAAACTTGATATTTTTCGAGAGGTTATGACTTCAGCTTTGTGGAAGAATAAAAATACAAAAAATTAAATTGCAGAGGATTTTGTAAATCCGTTATTTTCTGTCACTCTTTCATGAGCAAAGTAAAAAAATTATTTCTCATTCTTCCAGCCCTCCAAAGCTCCAATCTTTCCGATCATCTGTCCGCAATAGCCCAATGTTCCAAAGCCATCCGCGAGAATCCGTTTCCCCTTTTCGTCAACGCTCTTCTTCTCCGTTTGGCCGACACCTTCAATGGCGAAAAGTTGACCAAAATGGATCATTCCCTGAACCTGATCCGCTTGCGGATTGTGAAGCTGTTAAGAGAATGTGGCATGGATCTGGCCGTTGTGTTCTCCAAGGACGAGATTGTCCGCCGAGTGATGAAGGTTTCCCATTCCAATGACTACAAATCCCGCGCTTTGACCATGTTGTTCTTCGCGGCTGCCGCTCCAATTGTGCATTCGAATAAGAAAGTGGGTGGAAATACGATTACTATTCTTGAATTTCATTTTAGCGATCTTTTTTTGCTTTTTCATAAAAAAAATTTTTTTTGGAAAATTTTTTTTTTTGAAATTTTTTTCATGTGTAATATCAAGTGTTTAGACTGTAAAATAATTCAAAATGTTCTAGGTGCATCATTTGCTCGTTGAAGGCGCTGATTGCACTGATCTCACCGAACTTACCGCTGCCATTGTATCAGTTGGTCATCTCGGGAAATTTTCGGCGTAAGTGGATCAAAAAGTTACCGAATGGGGTATTTTACATTACAATGGATCGCATTTGACCTTTTGCACATTTGAGTTTTTTCTAATTTTTTGGTTTTCAAATGTTTTCGATAGATTTTTTTGACCTTTCTCTGGGTCCCGCCACGAAAATCTGAAACAATTTAATTTTGTGAAATTGTAAGTTCTACTTGTCTGGTTGACTCTACTTTTGTGTTTTTACTGCCATAGGGCATTTTACTCATGATTTTCAAAAATTGGGTCCCGCCACGAAACCCTGAAATCTTCCAATTTCAGTGAATTTTCGTCGCTGATTGTCGAGAAAATCGGCGAAATGGTGTCAGAAACCCAAACCGAGGAGAGCTTGAAGGTTCGCCTCATGGACGACCTCTCATTGTTCCAAGAAAATGTTATGGTCACGAAGCAGTGCATGGAACTCGGAAGGTCATTACTGCGCAACAATCCGGACCAAAAGGTCAGCCTGGTTGTATTAAATGCACTCACGGAGCTGGCGAAGAGAAATGGACTGGCATTGAATGAGCAGGTGGGAGATTTTGGCGATTTTTTTGGAAAAATTGGTTTTTGAAGGGTGTAAAATTTTAAAATTGTTGTATCTTGAGGATTACTGTAGTATAAGCTTGGAAATTTTTACTGAGACTGTGAGGAGGTGTAAAATTTGTCTTGGCCAAGTTTTGTCGAAGTTTGAGTCTTACGGTAGTTTTTATGGGATACTGTCGGATTAACACAACATATGGTCTAAATTAATATAAATCATTTCAGATCGACCTCCTTCTCACTGAGATGCCCCAATTCCTCAAAAGTCGCCATTTCACCCGCTCTTTCCTGTCCAACTTGGCCCGACTAGCCGATTATCCGCAGCATTGGACAACAAATCAAGTGCAAATGTTGCAAAGAATCCTCCCGTTCTTGATAGATTCTGAATTCCCAGAGAACTTAGTGCTATGGCTGGATTGTATGAATGTTTTGGCACAAAGGATCCACTCCACAGCGATTTCGGGTGAGATTTTTTTTGTTTTTTTTTTGAAAATTTAGGTCTTACCACGAAAGATTGAGAATCAGGGAAGCCAAAAATTTTGGTTTTAGAGCGGAGTGTAAGTTTCTAAAAGTGTAATATTCGAGTTTAAATACGTTACATTTTTTACAGTAATATTTTTGGGTCCCACCACGAAAACTTTGAAAATCAGAAACGCTTCGAAATTCAATGAAATCACGGTAAATTGTTGTAGATTCGATCCCAGCGCTCATGGAACTCCTCAATAACTCCAAATTTATCATCAGAATCCGCACATTACAACTTCTCCTTACACTAGCCGGAAAAACCTCATTGCCGGCCGAGAAATTGGCCACAGTTGAGGAAATAAAGCCTCTTCTGGGCTCAGAAATCATTAATTTGATGGAAGAAATTTCGGAATCGCCAAGAATTACGCGAAAAATGGAAAAAGTCCGGTTCTTCAAGAGTATCGTCAAGTTGATGCGAAATGGGACCTGTTCCAGCTACGGATTGGACGAAATGTCGATTATTGAAGTGTTACAGAGGGTAGGGATGGGTTTTATAAAGAAAAATTTTGCTTGCCGAAAAAATATGATTGCACTGTGCAAAGAAAATAAATGGGGAAATATGCACTGTGCGGTCGAAATTGTCACGAATTTTTGGGATCGCACTGTGCAATGGATTGAAAGATGGGAAAGGTTGTGATGCACAGTGCAGACGATTTTTTTTATAAATTTTGGGATTGCACAGTGCGAATGGTTGTTTGATGCACAGTGCAAACGATTTTTTATAGATTCTCGGTTTGCACTGTGCAATGGATCGAAAGAGAGGAATTGATGTGATGCACAGTGCAAACGATTTTTTTTATAAATTGTTGGACAGCACCGTGCAAAAAATTGTGATCGCACTGTGCGGTGCAAAATTTGTGATTGCACTGTGCGGTCGAAATTGTTACGATTTTTTTTGAATCGCACTGTGCAATGGATCGAAAGAGGGGAAGGAATGTGATGCACAGTGCAGACGATTTTTTTTATAAATTTTAGGATTGCACCGTGCAAAAAATTGTGCACTGTGCGTTCGATTTGTCGCGAATTTTTTGGATTGCACTGTGCAGTGGATCGAAGGAGAGGAAGGGATGTGATGCACAGTGCAGACGATTTTTTTTATAAATTCTTGAAGTGCACTGTGCAAAAAATTGTGAACGCACTGTGCGGTCGAAATTGTTACGGATTTTTATGATCGCACTGTGCAATGGATCGAAGGAGAGGAAGAGATGTGGGGCACAGTGCAGTCGATTTTTTTATAAATTGTTGGGTTGCACCGTGCAAAATTTGTGATCGCACTGTGCGTTTCGATTTGTCGCGGATCTTTTGGATCGCACTGTGCAATGGATCAAAAGAGATGAAGGAATGTGGTGCACAGTGCAAACGATTTTTTTTATAAATTGTTGGATTGCACTGTGCAAAAAAATTGTGAACGCACTGTGCGGTCGAAATTGTTACGGATTTTTATGATCGCACTGTGCAATGGATCGAAGGAGAGGGAAAGCTGTGATGCACAGTGCAAAACGTTCAGGTGTGCACAGTGCAGACGATTTTTTTTATAAATTGTTGGTTTGCACTGTGCAAAAAAAATTTGAACGCACAGTGCGAAGATAAAAAAAACTTTTGCATTCTGCAAATTTTTGTGATTTTTTTTTTGTTTTTAGGCCGTCGAGTCCCGTCACCCAGAATACTATCGACAGACCCTCGAGACATTGAACGCCATCGCCGATGCCATCCCAGCAACGGCCACGGAACTGTCCGAATGGGCCTTGGAACGTCTCGGGGCAACACAAGAGGGCCAATTTCACACTCAATCGGACTTACTTTACAATTTGGCTTTATTGCCCATCAAGGAAAACCAGGAAAAAATTTTGGAGCTGACCGAGAAAATTGTGAATGAAGTGAGAAGCAATGAAGAACACACCTGGTTCGCCTATAAATTTGCCCGGACCGGGTTCAGATACGGCCATTGGAGCGAAGTGGCGTTGCCAACACTGGAATTAATGCAGGAAAAGGTGAGAATTTTGCTTGAACTGTCTTTTTGGCGGGATTTTACAAGTTCTACGTCGGTTTTGAAAGAATTTGGCGACTTCCCCTGATCTTCAGGGTTTTCGTGGTGGGACCCAAGGGTTCATTTTTTAGTATTAATGACTTTTTGATAACTGAAAACGTGTTTTAGAACTGATTCTAGACATTTTACGATTTTTCAAACATTTTGGCATTTGTCCTGATCTTCAGAGTTTTCGTGGTAGGACCAAAAAAATTAATTTTTTTTTACTAATTTGGTACAGGGTGCGGCAAAAAAATGGAAACTTTTTTCATTGGGTCCTGACGCAAAAATTTTTAAGTGCAGCAAAATTATTTTCGTACCATTAAATTCTACGTAGCTTTCTCTCCTATACCTTATAATTTCATGTCCATATCGGTTTATTAACATTATTTTTTTGAATGACAAACAGAGGGACCTCGATTTCGGACCTGTTTTTTTACCTGTGCGAACTGTTAATTTGCCCGGCATAGAAAGCACGTTGTGTCCAAAGTAATCACACAATGCAGGGAGCTTTTTGACAATTTTAAGCGTCCAGTAAGCGAAAGAAAACGCACCGCCAACACTTCTGCTAGCCGCGGAGTCATCAATAGCGAAATCCGTCGATTTCGAGAAAAAATTGCCCGTGAGACCGGCATCAGCGACCGACCAGTCGGCCAAATAGCTAAAAATCAACTCAAAGTCTCCCAACGCAAGCTATGAAATGCCCAACTCCTAATCGGCAAGATCAAGCCCGTACGCCTGAAAAAATGCCAAAAATTCCGACGTCGGGCCGCAGGTCCGCGATGGGAGCGCATTCCCTTCGCGGTGCAATCTTTGGCGGGTGCACAACCAACAGAACGTCATAGTCCAATCCGATGAGGCGCCCTGCATGTCGGCTAACGACGAACACCGTCAAAATAAAGGCCGTCATCGCCTAAGGGGGAATTTGTGCCAGCGGCAAGAATTCCGAGATTTTCGTGGATCAAGCGGGCAAAATTCTAGCGTCGCGTTAACTTCGATGTCCTCATGCTTCTGTTGGCTCAGTAGAACCTTGGCAGCGCAAATTTGAGGTTCCAACTAGACTCAGCGCCGACTCACAGGGCAACAACGCGTCAAGACCGATTTTGAGACCGATTTTCCCAATTTCACCCCGTCTGCGAAAAGAGCGCCTGCTCGCCGGGTGTAGATCCAATGGACTGTAATTTTTTTTCAATTGGAGGCCAGCATCTGTACTACACGCCACAAAAGTTTGGAGTCGCAAAGTAATCGCTGCGTCAAGAACGGGACCGATTTCCCCGAAAAAAGCTGCGGCCAAAAGGCCAAAATTTTAAGTCACGTTTGGAGCTCTATATCGCCTCCAAAAGCAGCCACGGTAAAACGGGTTTAATATGTTATAAACAATGCTCTATCTTATTGAAGATGACCGTTACTTTTGCGGAATTTGGATTGCTAGGAAAAATATAGCTATAAAAATAAGTTTCCATTTTTTTGCCGCACCCTGTATAATAGTTAGTGTTAAAAGCACCTCTATCGAATTTTAAAATTGTTTTGAGATTTTGGCTACTTTCCCTGATCTTCAGGGTCTTCGTGGTGGGACTCAAAAAATCACCAATTTTCACAAAAAATTTTTACAGTGTCAAACCGTGGAGAGTTCAGCGTTCATTTCGGCCCTAATCAACATTGCTGGAGCCCAATTACCCTCTAAAATCGACGTACAATCCCTGAAAAATGCGCGACAAACCCTCAGACACGCACTACTTTTGCTTACCGTAAGTTGTAAGAAAAATTTTCAGTTTTTTGAATTTAGCCTTTGGCCAAGAACTCGCGGAACACCCATTGTTTCACATTCCCTGCGGCCTACATCGACGCGGTCTACCGATTGTTCGGAGCAACGAATACTGTTTTGGTCGCCATGAACACATTATTGGAATCGAACCCTGAAACGTTTGGCATTGCACATATTGAATATGTCCTACCTGATGTGAGTTTAGGCTGAGATGGAGTTACTAACAGCGGGTGTAATTTTTGGGAGTTTGGAAAAAAAATTTATATTGTACTAGGTATTTGATGTAAAAATTTTGGCGTTTTTTGAATTTTTTAAGAATTATTTATGCTTTTGAAACAGCTATGTGAGTTTGTGAACATTTTGTGTAAGCTTGCGATAAATTTGTTGGTCTATAAACGGTGTTTTTCCATGAGAGAAACACTTGACTCAATAAATGGAAGAGTTGACTCAAAAGAAAAGCTTTTGAAAAATCAATATAAAAGCTTTTGTTGGCGTAGTTTGCAATGTTTTATTTTTGTTTTCTTGGAGAGAAAGAGTTGGCACAAAAATTCACGAATGGGTCAAGTGTCTCTTTCAAAGAAGAAAAGACTGCTCCAAGTTATAAAATGAAATTTTAGATTGAGCAAGCTCGCGAAGAGTTTATTGAAGTCCGCGAGGCCTGGGTGCAACTTTATCAACGCTCGTTTGACGCGGATTCCAACACTCTAAACCAACTCGAACTCATGAATAGACACGCTCAACTTTGTGAACTTTTATTGGACCGATTGTACTCTCAAGAGCTTACGTAAGTAGTAGGGAGAGTTTATAGAAGATTTGTAGGAAAAAATAATTGTTTCTGGACTGTTTATCGACGAGAGAAACACTTGGCTCAATTTGGGTCAAGTGTTCCTCTCGGTGCCTAAGGGTTGGGAAAGCTGTGTTATAATTGTTGTATTTCTCGAGAATGATTTGTAAGGTCTAATAATATTGTTTTCAGGCCGATCGCTCAATTCCCCAGATGCGCCGAAAATTGCACAAACGCTCAACTGGAACACCTGCTCGATTGGGCAATAACCAAGGCCAATCAATGTTTTGTGCCGGTAACTGGATCAATAAGTCAAAGGCTGAGCGCTTGGGCATCGGTGAGTGTGATTTGTGAGGGTTTTGGGTTGTTGATTTTGTGCCACGGTGCAATTTTTGGGTCCCACCACGAAAACCTGAGGATTGAGAATTTGGCAAAGATTGCGTTTGAAATCGACGAATTAATAATCAAGAGAGATTTTAAGGGAATTCTGAATGATTTTAGAATATATTTGGGGAAAAAAATTGGTTTTTTATTTGAAATTTGAGAAATTATTGCAAAATTCCTTTAAATTGCGGTTTTTTAAATTTTTGCCTTCAGAATCTCCAAGTTTTTGACGAAATCTTTGGCCGACTGGCCATCCCATCCCTCTGCCTCCCCAGGTTCTTCTTCCAACAACTCTGGCGCACCAATATCCGAGTCAACATCCTCCCACAGCCAAGGGAACATGAACAATATCTCCAGCTCACTTCCCGACAATTCCCCTTGACTGTGGAGGGAATTATTGAATCGAACAACCCGAAAGGCATCCAATCCATGGAAATCTACGTGTATATGAAGGTGGACAAGAATTCGGAGGAGGTTCTGGCGGATAAAAGGAAGACCAACTTGAATGCCGAGACTTACTTCAAAGAACAGTTTTTGCTGACAATTCGAAAGGTGAGAAGAGTTGAAAAGAGGATGGTTTAGAGAGAAGAGAGTGTGTAGAAGATTTTACGAAATGTTTTTTTGATTTTTGAAATGGTGAAAATACGATAAATCGATTTTTCTCGAAAATTTTAGGGTTTTTTGGAAATTTTTTGAAGTTTGGCGATTCATGAATTCCCAAGTGATTGAAAATGAAGTGTAGAGAGACTAAGAGGGCTGTGAAAGAGATTGCAATAAAGATTTTTGATTTTGGAAAGGGGTAAAATACGATATTTTGAATTTTTTATCCAAAAAGTGGGCAAAATTTGATAATTTTTGCAAATAAGGGTTTATTTTGGATTTTTTGATGGTTAGAATGTAATAAAATTGAATGAGAATGTAACTTGAAAGGTTGTAGAATATTTTACAAGAGGTTACTTTGATTTTTTGAAGGTTTAAATTACGATGATCTTGCTGTTTTTGCAAAAAATTGCAATTTTTTTTTTATTTTTTGGAAAATTTTTCGATTTATTTCAAATTTTTTTAAATTTCTTGATATGAAAAATTTCCAAATTTGATTCTCCATATTTTAAAATGCAATTTTATTTATTAATTTTTGTTTAGATGACCGAAATCACCGTCAAATTGTACTTTACCGACGCCAACAGCGACCTGAAAAAGCTTTGGAGAGCCGAAAGCGAAGGCCGATTGGTCGTGAACATCCCCGAATTCAAAGATACTACATAATTTCTTCAATTTAGACACCAAAAATTGTATTAAACTTGTTGATAATGTAAAATTGTTACTGTAATTTAAATTCATTTCCCATTTCCCCGCGAAAATTCCCAGAAATTTTTTATTCTAATCGAATTCCAGCACTTTTACTGCCCCAGAGTTTACTATTGGATTACCTGCAGATTAGCAAATCTGGCCGCTTTTTTCACCCTTCCCCCCACCACTCACATAACTCTTTTTTCGAGTCCTCCACTCGAGTATTTTTTTCACATTTCCAGTTGTTAATGTGAATCTAGGCCCATGCCGCGTTTTTCACTTTTTCCCTTTCGAAAATTTGACGCGAATTTATAGGTTGGGAGACTGCACCGTGCACTGGTTATATATAGAAGTAGGTGAAACGAGGGGAAAGGGTTGGAAATTTGCAAGGCTTTGTGTCTAGAGTGATATTTTTAAGAGCGTAGTATATATTGCAACGTATTTTACCTTTTGTCATATCTTGTTTTACATATTAATTTCAATTTTTTACAAAAATAACTGCACAGTGCGAATTTTTGGCTAAATTTTTTTTAAATCTCAAAATTCATGAGGTTTTTTGGAAATTTTATGGCTTATTTTCCCGCTATGTCAAGATTAGATTACAGTTTATTCAATTTGCTTACTTGTTTTTTCTCTGCATTACCTTTAGAGCGCACTTTGAACAGAAAATCCGCACTGTGCGGTGGAATTCTAAAAACTCGGGCCATTCTCTAAAAATTCGGTTGTTTTGTAAGAAGTTTGATTTATTATGACATTACTTATGCATTTTTACACTTTGTAAAGGTGGAAAAAATAACACAGGATCCATTTTTAGTGCTTTGGCGAGCTTTTTTTTACATTAAGATTGCACAGTGCAAAATTTTTTGGAAAACCCAGTGCAAATCGCTTACAACGTATTTTACAGTTACATAATTGTTGAGTTAAATAAATTTTAGGTCGTATTCATTCATATCCAACTGAATTCTGCCTTTGAGAACCAAAATTTTATTTAATTTTATCAATTTTTGTTAAATTTTCTGCACGGTGCAAAACTTTCCGAATAATCTTTCAAATGTGGGCCGCACGTATTTTAAAAATCGTTTTTTGAAATGTCACAATGATTTTCATTTAGTTCATGATATTGTAGCATAACAAATTTTTTGATTTAATGATACAGTAACCCGTAGGGGCTAATTTTACAATAATCATCTGCACTGTGCGGATTTTTCCTCATTTTCGACCAGAAAATGTCTAAAAACCTCACAAGAGCCCCTAGACATTGTCCTGAAAGATAATTTAAACACACCCACGTGCCTTCTCCCGCACAAGTCTCATGTGGAATATTCGAATATGCTGTTCTGTTTTTGCCCTTGGCCAAGTTTCGCAACCCCGTAGAATGGGTCAATATTTAATTGTAGGAAAATTACATTTGCTTGCACTCTCACCTCCCGCTCTCCTTATATTCTCGCCTCAGGGCGAATGTTTTTTGCGTGACTTTTGTTCCCACATCCCAAAATGGAACATTGGGAGAAAGGTTATGGCTGACTATTATTCTAAATGGCTTTGTTGCGACATTTATTGGGGCTTTTAATTGGAAATTACTTTCGAATGGGTTATTGTGACATGGAATGGCCAAAGATTAGGGAATACTGAAAGTTTGAATTTGTAATTTTAAAAGTTCATGTTTGGGGGATTCGAAAAGTTCTAGGAATGAATTTTTAAGTTTATTGTGACTCTCTGACTGAGAGTTATCGGATTTTTTAAATTTTTGGAGCGTTGAGAATGATTTTTGGGTCCCACCGCGAATTCCCTGAAAATCAGGGAGAGGCTTAAAAATTGAGCCAATAGCGGCTGGATTTGCTGCTGAGAGGCTTTTCAATCAATCATGACAATAAAAATATTATTTAATTGTTTTTAAAAGGCTTTAAAGTGTGTCTTTTCGATAAATCTGGGTCCCGCCACGAAAACCAGGAAGATCAGGGAGAGGGTCGAAAATAAAGATAGGAGAAGCTGGATTAGCTGTAAGCAAAATGTTTAAGCGACCATGCTTTCACTTTTCCGGACCCATCCGTATTTTACAAAAAAAAAAAAATTGGGTCCCAACACGAAATCCTGAAAATAAAGGGAAACCCCCGGAAAAGCTGAATCGGTATTTATGGACATCCCGAAAGCCATTATAAATTTTATGCTGCCATAACCTACGATTTTTAGTACCTTACAGCTATATTTTTGGGTCCCACCACGAAAACCCTGACAATCAGGGGAATTGCGGCAATTCGTTGGAATTTCAATTTCAACGGGATTAATGGCAATTGTCAATGTCTATGGTACATTTTAACCACCCTCCGCGTTTGTTTTTTCAAAGATTTCCACCGAAATTTCCCACTGGCAAGGTCAAATATACAGCACGGCCCAAAAAACGCAATTTTTTCATTGTTTACCCCGAAACGTGCGAGATTTCGGCCGCCTTTCCCCACACAATGGGGCTTGTACACATACGTCAATTACACTCCTACATAACTTGTTATGGTAGCTGAATGAATTGTAGTTTCATCAGCCCAAGCCCTGAGGGCCACGAAGAGAAAGGGAATCAATAACGGTCCGGTTTGTACTGTAGTGTCCCCGGGGCAGCACTTCGCTCCCAAACGTCTATGTCGTCTTCTTTAGATGAATCTTGGGAAATTTTAATATTTGAATTTTTGGATATTTAAATTTTTGGATATTTAAATTTTTGAATATGCAAATTTTTTGCACTCAGAATTGAGATTTTTTTGTTTATAATGCGATATTAGTACAAAAAAAATAATTTCATCGCACAGTGCCAAAAAACCGAAATTTGAAAACTGCACGGTGCGATCGAAAATTTTGCACTGTGCAGAAATCGGTCAATTCTAGCTCGATTTTTTTGAAACTTGACACTCGCGGTTATGGTGACTTTTTACAACGTGTATACACGTCTTAGCTTTTGCAACGCAAGCGCCTTTGTTTTACGGAGCATTGAAAATTCTCCCTTGCACAGTGCGATCTTTGCTCAAAACTTTACGTTGCACTGTGCAAGCAATTTTTATGCACAGTGCATGTAGTGAGTAGTCTATTCCTTCAGTACATTGTTTTTTCTATGAAGTTGTAAAATACGTAATGGCAATTTTGATCTTTGAATTTATAAAAATTTATGGATAATTTCTTGTTGATTTTGCATTAGAAATTATCCACAAATTTTCGGCAAATTAAAATCTTCAAAAATCTCGATAAAATGATAGTTATTTAGTTGTAAAATACGCTCAAAAAACTACTTCCTTTATTTTCCCTTGTTAAAATCGCGTTTAGTCCCAATTTTATACTCGTATCTCTACAAAATTTTCTTTTTTTAGGTTATGGAGAACCCACTGAACGGTCGCTCCGAGAATTCATATCAAATGTCGAAAAACAAGTCATATCAATCGTCAAATTCTGCTGAATATTCACCACCAAGTCACTTGAATTCGAAATCTTCCGGCAGTCCCGAGGATCTACCGCCCAGCCGACCCGTTGCCATCTATGGAGTGGACAGTGGAGAGAGTGAAAAAGCGTTTTCCGTATGTTTCAAAAATATCTTGGGCGTTTCAAAGCGTTTAGGTTTATTTTTCGAACTATTTGAACCCTCTACATGCGCTGTTTTTTGACTTTTTGTTTCACAAAAACTTGTGAACATTTATCAACGCAATTTCCGTTACAATTTATCCATTAGTTTTTGTGTGAGGGAAATCGCGTTTTAGAGCCCAAATTTTCATTGTAAAATAATTAAAAATGAATGTCGCAGAGTCAAAAATAATTTTGGTCGTGATTAAAATTCTAGGCATTCCGCACAGTGCAATAACTTCCGATATTTTTCCAAAAAAAAAATTGCACAGTGCGATCAGAAAATATGTCGCAAAAGGCGATTGCACAGTGCAAATTTTTTTTCGTTTCACCTCTGCACAGTGCAATAAATTTTCCTTCCACTTTTTCCTTCCGCACTGTGCAATTCATTTTTTTTTCAAGTTATTTTTGCACAGTGCAGAAAATAAAACAAGTTCCGCACTGTGCATTAAAAATTTTTTGCACCGTGCAACCCAGAAATTTGTCGCAAAAATACTGTTGCACGGTGCAGTTGTTTTTTTGTTTCGCATTGCACGGTGCAGAGGGCAAAAAGCTTCTGCACTGTGCGGTCAAAAGGCGCTTTGCACCGTGCAACACAGAAATTTGTCGCAAAACTGTTGCACAGTGCATTAATTTTTTTGGTCCAGATTGCATAGTGAAAAACTGCTGCACCGTGCAACCCAGAAATTTGTCGCAAAAAACTGTTGCTAGGTGCGTTGATTTTTTTGTTTCACATTGCACGGTGCAAAAGTCAAAAAGCCTCTGCACTGTGCGTTAAAAATTGTCTGCACCGTGCAACCCAGAAATTTGTCGCAAAACTGTTGCACAGTGCATTGACTTTTTTGGATTTTCCTTGCACAGTGCATTAATTTTTGAGTTTCACGTTGCACAATGCAAAAAATGTCAGAAAACTTCTGCACTGTGCGGTCAAAAGGCGCTTTGCACCGTGCAACACAGAAATTTGTCGCAAAACTGTTGCACGGTGCATCGATCTTTTCCTTGCACGGTGCATTTATTTTTTGTTCGCCATTGCACGGTGCAGCAATCAAAAAGTCTGTGCACGGTGCGATTAAAAAACTGTTTGCACCGTGCAACCCAGAAATTTGTCGCAAAACTGTTGCACGGTGCATTGACTTTTTTGGATTTTCCTTGCACAGTGCATTAATTTTTGAGTTTCACGTTGCACAGTGCAAAGGTCAGAAAACTTCTGCACGGTGCGGTTAAAAAGCTCTTTGCACCGTGCAACCCAGAAATTTGTCTGTCGCAAAACCTTTGCACGGTGCATTGACTTTTTTGTTTCACCTTGCACGGTGCAGCAATCAAAAAGTCTCTGCACGGTGCGATTAAAAAACTGTTTGCACCGTGCGACCCCGAAATTTGTCTGTCGCAAAACCTTTGCACGGTGCGTTGATTTTTTCCTTGCACAGTGCATAAATTTTTGAGTTTCACGTTGCACAGTGCAAAGGTCATTAAACTTTTGCACTGTGCGGTCAAAAACCTCTTTGCACCGTGCACTCTTTTGAATGTTTCAGCTAGCAATAAGCATTTTTTTGGAATTTTAATCCAATTTTTTTCAGTTCGAATCGACGAAAGAGCAGGACTGCGAAGAGGACGTGGAGTCCCAGAAATCCCCATTCCTTCTGATGCCGCCGATTCGAAGCCGAACTTCTTCCGCCAATTCCCAGCAATTTTTGTAAGCAAACCTTAAACGTCTGACCAAAATTTTCGTGTTTTGAAAAACCCCGTTTCGTGTTTTCGGTCACGCAAAATGCGTGTAACTAAAGGATTTTGACTGTTTTACCTCAAATTTTTGGTGGTTTTGGGGGAATTTCTCAATTTTGGCTGTTTATAATTCGAAATCGAGGGACATGAGGTATTTATAAGGGCATTTTGAATCGCATTTTAGGTTTTATAAAGGCTTTTCGGAGAGATTTTATGATTTTTTTTTGAAAAATCAGCAAATTTTTAAATATTTTCTCTGAAAATAAGTTTCAATTATGTCATATTTTGGGCAAAACTGAGATTTTCAAGTCATTAATCGTATTTCTTTTGATCAGAAAACAAAAAATTCTACCTTTTTTACCTTATTCTAGCGATAAAACTCCGATTTTTTAGCTAATCCTCTCCTCAAACTCTCCGAAACGCTCCTTTTATGCCCTGAGGGCATAAAGAAGCAATGAGTAAATCCATTACCCGGCAATTTTAACATATAGATACATCGGATTACCTTTGGGCGAAAACGATTATCCATTTTACGTCGACATGGCGTACTGTACATTTAATGGGGCTTTGTGTTACACATGGGGGTGTGAATAAGCCAATTTGATCTTCGAAATGGTCGAAGATTTACGTGGGATAAAAATATCGCACAGTGCGAGAACAAAGGAGACTGCACTGTGCGGCGGAGAAAACATGATTTCGCACTGTGCGAAAAACAGAGAAGAAATGATTTCGCACAGTGCAATCGCATCATTTGTCGCGGCTGCATTTTTTTTGTGTCTGCACTGTGCAATCAATTTTTTAATTTCCGCACAGTGCGAGGAATGAGAAACCAAATTTCGCACGGTGCAGAACCCTCTTTCCGACCGCACAGTGCAAAAATTACCTGCTCTGCACAGTGCACCGCTAAAAATCGTTTTCCCAAATTTCCGCACGGTGCAAAGAATGAGAAACCAAGCTTTCGCACAGTGCAGTGCCCTCAGTCCAACTGCACAGTGCAAAAAATTTATCTGCACAGTGCACTGGCCCAAATTTCCGCACTTTGCAATCGCATTGTTTGTCGCGAATTCGTTTGAATTTCTTTTGTGTCTGCACTGTGCAGTCGATTTTTTAATTTCCGCACGGTGCAAATAATGAGAAACCAAGTTTTCGCACAGTGCAGTAACCTCATTTCGACTGCACAGTGCAAAAAAAAATTTTCTGCTCTGCACAGTGCACCGACTAAAAAAGTTTTCCCAAATTTCCGCACAGTGCAATAAAAACATATTTTAATTAGTCACGTTACAACGCGCGAAAAACTGTAAACTTCTACAGTATTGCAGACGAAACGGTGTTGACCAAAAAGTAATGACTATTTCTGGGCATTGTATTTGGCGTGACGTCAAATGAAGAGTAATTTTGAAGAAGAGCTCAACAACAAATGTTAATTATGGCATCGCACGGCGCAATGAGTATTTTCGAAAAGGAGATTGAGAAAGGATTTGGAGAGACAAACGTCGAAAATATCAAAAATATAATATTATGCTAGGGTGAAAACAGACAGTACAATATAGCAACCAAAATCCGAAAATTTGCAAAAAATTGCAAAAAATTATCTTTAGGCTTCTTATTGGAACGGAATTCTATCGTATTTGCGAAAATTTTGGGATTTCCCCTGAATTTCAGGGCTTTCGTGGTGGGACCCAAAAAATGAAATACAAAAGTTTTTAAGAGTAGAAACCTTTTCTCAAAGGCAAAAATGATTAGTTTTCCCATAAAATCATCATTTTTACGATAATTTTGGAATTTCCCCTGAATTTCAGGGTTTTCGTGGTGGGACCCAAAAAATGAAATACCACGTATTCATCAGTAGAAAACAATTTTTATTAACATCCAAGGAAAAATTGTCATGTTTTCCTTAAAATCATCATTTTTACGATAATTTTGGACTTTCCCTGAATTTCAGGGTTTTCGTGGTGGTACCCAAAAAATAATCTGCAAAAATTTTAGAACACCATAAAACGTGCTATTTAACGCTCTACGTTTATAATCAGTCACCCTTGTGTTTCTTTACCCCTTATTAATTACTTTTTTTTAAAATACCAATTTAAACTTCCCGCCAAATTTCTCGTTTTTCATATTTTTTATTACTTCAGCAGTACGGACGGCTCGTTTGAAAATCTCAGTTCCCCAACTTCATTCTCAAGTCGTGAAGTGCTCTCAGCGACCTCGCAACACAACCCCGCAATTGGGACCATCATGAATATCGGCGAGCGGATTCGATCTTTTGTCAATCGGCGAGACAGTAATCCCAGTACGCTGACGATGCGAAGAGCATCGATCAATTCGCCGAGCTTCACGAATATTGCTGAACCTGTGAGTTTTGGGGGAACTATTTAGATAAAACGACAACATTTTATCACTTTGACGGGTTTTCTGCAACGTTACCTGATTAGCAGGGCTTTCGTGGTGGGACCCAAAAAAATTAAATAGCAACGTATTCATCAGTAGAAAATATTTTTATTTACTTCATACCCATTTTTTCCTCTAAAATCAGCGTTTTTACGGCCAATCCTACAAAGGTATTGGAGAATTTTGCTTGGGGTACCCTATCCAAAAATCAAATTTTTTCTGTTTTCCAAATCAAAAAAAAAACACATTTTCTTTGCTCATTCAAGTTGTCAAACAAAACAATTTTACTGCCGCAGTCGTATTTTACCCCTCTTTTTCAGTCCGATTCCCCCTCCCTCCAGCTGTTCACCGAAGTCTACGATGGGACGCAGCCCAGTAATTTCGAGCGTTCTCGCCGCTCTCTACAGTCGGGTCAAGTTCCTCCAGCGGGCGTGAAGAGTGAGGATCGACCGCCCACCGGCCTTCCCAACCCTCGAGGGCCGTTTCGGTTGCGTTCGAGTTCCGAAGTCAAAGCCAAGAAACGCCAAAATGTTTATGAGGAAAAACCCGTCGAGAAATTTGCATAATCATCTGAATTTTTTTAATACATTAATTTTTGGCTTATAATTTTCATCTGTTCCAATTTTAACATGTTTTGAAAGTTTCCAAGTTTTCGTGGTGGGACCCAAAATTTGAATGTTCAAAATCAAAAATAAGGCAAATTTATTGCATACAACATCTTTGGATGCTGAGTAACCCACTCTATTACTCGATTATTATACTTGCCTAACTTTTTTTTTCGCTTTCTTGCAGAAAATCTTTGGTCCCACCACGAAAACTTGAATTTTCCAAAAAACCCTCTAAATCAATCTAGATTTATTTTTAACCTATCCTTACTATTTCGTATGTCATTTCAACGCTTTTTTTGCCACAAACTCCGAAGAAGAATATCATAATCTTATCAATTGAGACATTAGTTTATATTATCCATCATAATTTCGCCCAAATTTCCAAATTGTATTATAAATCTTGTCAATTTAACTTATTTACATTGCTACTTGTCCCATTTGGGATTGATTGAGACATAATCGAATAAAATCTGAATACAAAAAAAGGTTGGAATTCAAAAAATCTCGTTTTGGGCGGTCAAAAATGGCTGTAAAAGGCGTGAAATTTTAGTTGCAGACCGAGAGGTTCTTGAAAAACAAAATTTCGACAATTTTTTTATTCTAGATATTCAAATTAAGCTAAAAATTTGCACAATTCTCAAATTCGAAATCGAAAAAATTTCGTCTTCATTTGGCCTGCGGGCATGTGCGGCCCAAGATTTTGACCTTGCCTCCGACGAAAGTTCTTTTTTATAACGCAAACCGCCTGAGGGGCGATTGGCGTCGGTGGGCGCGAGAAATGAGAAAATTGGGAAATGCGCCTGAGGGGACGTAATTGGACGAGATATGACCGCCAATGCCCTCAGGGCCTAAAGCTCTCGGCCCTGACTCTGTTTTTATCCCCGCATTCCCGTGCAGTTCGCAAAGACGGGAAGGTTACTATATTTTTGAGGGGCTACAGTAAGCGGGGTTACTGTAATTACAAGGCAATGAAATTAGCGCAGCTGCTGAGTGATGGCCCTATGAAGAAAGTGGAAGCAAAAACGAAGACGGAAAGCAGTGAAAACGTAAGTAATAAACGCTTTTTTATGTTATACTAGGTTTTTACACAATGAAGTCCCGAAAACGCGCCGTTTAGATTTTCTTTACATATGCGAAGCCATAATTAACATTTTTTAAGTCGGTCTCGTTTCCAAAAACGACGTTTTGCATCGGCCAAAATCAATTTCTGAAAATTTTGGCCGTGTCCAGAAAATGCGTCATGATGACACCGATTTAAAATGAGCCGGTGGCATAAACAACGGCTGTATATAGCTAGGAGTACTTCATAGAGCATGTCAAAAAATTTCGGGCACTGCAAAGCTTCCCGTCGCGAAAAAATTCCAGAAGAATCCAGAAAATCCGTCATCCAAATTGAGCATTGCAAAAGTTTTGGACATAATTTTTTGTGAGTACTCCGGGGAGTACTCCTAGCCATATACAGCTGTTTTTATACCACTGGCACTTTTTAAATGGGTGTCATCGTGACACATTTTCTGGACACACGGTTTATCGTCAGAAAAAGTCAAAAAAGTGTAAAATTTTCAAAAAATCTCGCTGTTCTAAATATAAATTTATTTAGATCAATGAATTTTCAGCCAACACCTCCATCAGAAGCCCTTCTCGCGATTGGCGGTTGTCGTCGTTGTGAGAAGACTTTCACCGAGCGTCTTGAACTTATTCACCACTTTGTTGATCATTTCCCCACCATTTTTTATTCCTTCGAAACCAAGTCTTCAAATCCTCAGCTTCTGACACTGCTATCTGAATGTGTAAAAAATTCGGAAAAGGAGGAGAAATTGGAGCCCTCGGAGGACCAAGAAGACTTGCCATATCACATGTGTCCACATTGTTGTTTGACTTTCTTGGAAACGCATTGTTTTGAAGATCATTTGGCCAGTCATTTGAATACGGTGAGTGAAGCTTGGAACCTATGTATGTAAAAATTGGCTTACCTTTTTTCGAGCGTCTTGAATGAAAAATCAATCCGCTTTATAGGGACAGCTGAGATATTCAACTATCTTTGTGGCCGAAAGAGTACGCGAAACGCGGAGAGAGGTCCGAGAGAGAAACATTTTTTGGCCATACCTTTGCCTGTTTCGCGCCGAAAGCATTGATTTTTTTGTGGAAACATTACAGTGGTGGGCCATATCCAGTGGTTAAAAAAGTACCATTTTGCATCCGGGAAGTATCAAAAAGGCAGCAAAATACCTCACTCTCCAAGAAAAGACTGCAATTTCAAAAACGCGCCCCCCAAAACGGGGTTTTTTTCCGCATCAGGACATTTCCGGAATTTGGACACTTCCGGAATGGCGGAATAGTGACACTTCCGGAATGGCGGAACAGTGACACTTCCGGAACCGGGGAAAAATCAAAGAAGAGGCTTAGACCTGCCATCTGAACCATCTGACTGGATTTATTGTTATTAATCTCAAAAATTTTGTTATTTTTTTCTGATTGTTACTTTTTTCTTAAGTAGTAGTGTTAAAAAGTAATTTTTCGATTTTTTTCTAAAAATACTCGATTTAGGGGTTTTCAAGGTTGCTGATTTCGAATATCGGGTTCATTTTTTCTGAACTTTACTAGTTTTCCTTAAGCAGTAGTGTTATAAAGTAATTTTTTGGAATTTTTCCAAAAATACTGGATTTAGGGGTTTTCGAGGGTGCTGATTTCGAAAATCATGTTAGCTTTCCTCTTTATAGTACTATCTGGTAATATACAGTACGAGGTGAAAATATGGCTTTTGGCGTTAATGGTGTTGTTTTGATGCTTAGTACTCCTCAAAAACACGTTTTAAATAACTGGTACTGTTTAGTACTGTCTGGTACTATGTAGTACATTGTGAAAATAGGAGTACTAAGCAACAGAACAACACCACTAACGCCTAAAGGCCAAATTTTTACCTTGTACTACATAGTACCAGACAGTACTAAACAGTACCAATTATTTAAAACGTGTTTTTGAGGAGTACCAAGCATCAAAACAACACCATTAACGCCAAAAGCCATATTTTCACCTCGTACTGTATAGTACCAGATAGTACTATAAAGAGAAAAGCTAACATGATTTTCGAAATCAGCACCTTCGAAAACCCCTAAATCGAGTATTTTTAAAAAATTTTCAAAAAATTACTTTATAACACTACTGCTTAAGGAAAACTAGTAAAGTTCAGAAAAAATGAACCCGATATTCGAAATCAGCAACCTTGAAAACCCCTAAATCGAGTATTTTTAGAAAAGAATCGAAAAATTACTTTTTAACACTACTACTTAAGAAAAAAGTAACAATCAGAAAAAAATAACAAAATTTTTGAGATTAATAACAATAAATCCAGTCAGATGGTTCGAGCCTCATCTTTGATTTTTCCCCGGTTCCGGAAGTGTCACTGTTCCGCCATTCCGGAAGTGTCACTATTCCGCCATTCCGGAAGTGTCCAAATTCCGGAAATGTCGTGGTGCCTTTTTTTCACTTGGAGAGGGAAGCATTTTGCCATTTTTGATACTTCCCGGATGCAAAATAGTACATTTTTTCCCACTGGATCAGGTCCGCCACTGATGTTTCCATAAAAAAACAATGCTTTCAGCGCGAAACTGGCAAAAATATGGCCAAAAAATGGTTCTCTCTTGGATCTCTCTCTGCGTTTCGCGTACCCTTTCGGCCGCAAATATCGCTGAATATCCCGGCTGCGCCTTGAAGCAGTTCCCCTGTTAATATTAAATTTTCAGAATCCGGACGACTCTAAGCTCACTTGTGATGTCTGTGGACTCCAATGCGGCAACGAATACTTGCTTGGAGAACATCGGAAGCAACACTCAAAAAAGTGCGACATGTGCAATGAGGTACATTAAACTTTTTCTTATCAAAATCATTGACTTCTTTGAAATCAACTGGAATAATTTCAGACATTCACCACGATTTTCGACCTCAATCTTCACGTTGGTGAGCATTTTGATTACCCTTACAATTGCAAGGACTGCGGGAAATGCTTTCCCACTCGAAAATCGTTGGCAGAGCATAATAAACTGCATCGGATTGTGGAAAATATCGAGGATGATGACGAAATGAAACCACAAACTTCAAGAAGTTTGGCTGTAATCGCGGCTCATCACAATTTTAGTGGGAGTAAATGCAAAAAGGTGAGTCAAACGGAACTTTCAACTAAAACGGGGCATAAATTTAATGGAAAGGCAATTATGGATCAAAAGATAGGAATCGGAAGTACTGGGCGACGCACAGACTTTTAAAAATTTTGCACATATGTGTCAACATCACTTAGAAATCCCTGGAAATTTTAGTTGGCGCTTTTCAAGGACAACCGAGATATTCAACGATCATTGACGTCGAGAGAGTAAGGAAAATGTGGAGAGCGGTCAGGGAAATAAGTTTTCCAGTTATATTTTACGAACTGTGCTTGGAAAAGATTGACTTTTTGTGGAAATTTAACTTACTATACGAGAAACAGCATGCCAATTTGTGTGCCAGCAATTCCAAAATGTTCAATATTCGAGATATTTAGCTCATGTCGAAATTAGGTTAAAACTTCAAAAACGTAGGACATTTTCGCCATCAGAGGGGTGTTAAATCGGCATTCTGTTTCTCATCTAGTAAGTTAAATTTCAAAAAAAAAAAATGTTTTACAAGCGCAGTTCGGAAAGATAGAGCTGGAAAACTTCTTTCTCTGAACGCTCTCCACCTTTTCCCTATCTCTCGACCGCAAAGAGCGTTGAATATCTTGGTTGTTCTAGCAAAGCGCCAGATAAAACTTTCAGGAATTTATAAGTGATGTTGACATATACTCCGCGTACAATGTTTTGACCCCCCTCCTAATTCGGCCCTAAGTGTACTAATCCGGACCAAATTTGGTATATAGTCAACTCACAGGCTAGTAACAAAAAATAACATAGCAGGACATACCTTATAGTTGAATCGCAAAATCCAGGAGCAATTTTCAAAAATGACCCTAAAAAATCGAGGAAAAAGTTTTGACCCCCCTTAAATAAAGTTAGATATCGCCCGCGGATATCGCCCAAACCTATCGTAATCGACGTCTCATACCTGAATACAGGTTAATAAATGGTTTTCCGTTGAATGCTTCGTTGCATTTGAGGACTCAACGCGTTAAACCGTTTTTGATGTAGAGCTGCCCAAAATCGTAAAAATCTTGCCCTAGAGCTTTCCAATAGCTCTAAATTGGATTTATATTATGTGATTTAGACCTGTATTCACCTTCTCCTTTCGATAAAAGTGCATGGTGACCTGGCGGTGTAGATACGGCAGATACCCTCTTGTCATGCCCAGCTTTGGCGACTCATTAGCTCTCTGACCGAGGGCCTAGATATGGTCGTCAGGTTCTCAATGTAATCCTGAGACTCCTACTTACTCTCAAACAAAGAATAAACTCCCACTGACACGGTCTCATATGGTTTGCAGGCGCAACTTTGCCGATCTGCACCTTAACCAGAAAACCGAGTTTTTCAAATGGATTTTTACCGACGAAAAATGGCTTGCATTAGATGACCCACGTAATTTAAGAAACTACGGCACTCGCCGTACACGTCTGAGACGTATCGGACGCCAAATCGCCTGCGGGGATGTGATCGTCCTCGGGGGCATCTACAGTAACGGCAAACGCAAGATTAAGCTGAATGAAACCCATTACAAAACGTGTCAAATCGACGCATTTTACATTACTGAGTGTAAACAGGAGTCTCAGGATTACATTGAGAACCTGACGACCATATCTAGGCCCTCGGCCAGAGAGCTAATGAGTCGCCAAAGCTGGGCATGACAAGAGGGTATCTGCCGGATCTATGCCGCCAGGTCACCATGCACTTTTATCGAAAGGATAAGGTGAATACAGGTCTAAATCACATAATATAAATCCAATTTAGAGCTATTGGAAAGCTCTAGGGCAAGATTTTTACGATTTTGGGCAGCTCTACATCAAAAACGGTTTAACGCGTTGAGTCCTCAAATGCAACGAAGCATTCAACGGAAAACCATTTATTAACCTGTATTCAGGTATGAGACGTCGATTACAATAGGTTTGGGCGATATCCGCTGGCGATATCTAACTTTATTTAAGGGGGGTCAAAACTTTTTCCTCGATTTTTTAGGGTCATTTTTGAAAATTGCTCCTGGATTTTGCGATTCAACTATAAGGTATGTCCTGCTATGTTATTTTTTGTTATTAGCCTGTGAGTAGACTATATACCAAATTTGGTCCGGATTAGTACACTTAGGGCCGAATTAGGAGGGGGGTCAAAACATTGTACGCGGAGTATAAGTGTAAAATTGATCGCACTCCCAGTACTTCCACTTCCCATTTTTGACCCATAACTGCCTGTCCATTAAATTTATTCCCCATTTTAGTTAAAGAACACTCAAAAGCCCGAGCACATTGAACGGCCCGAAAGTCTGCTCAATTCCAACCCGTATTTCAAAGCCTTGTCCAAAGAGCCTTGTCGAAAACGCCGATCAAGGTCTTCGAAGACCTTGAAATCCTCTTACACCAAAAAGGAAAAGGGTTTCAACAACGACAATGCCTTCAAAATGATGGTGGATTTGTCGAATAAGTTGCTGCAACAACTCATGGGACAGGATGAAAATACCGTAAGCTAGACTTCATTAAATTCATAGTTACCTTTTTTATAGGAAAAATAGTGTCAATATTGTTAAAATGTGGTAAGAAATATTTTTTTTCAGCAACAACTTCTCCAAATGATGCAAGGTGCGGAAAAACCAGTGAACATCGACCACAGTGCAACTTGAAATTTTTTTTTATTTTATGCCGTTACATTCTGACACGAATAAATTTACATTATTAACGATAAAATACATCAGGCACAAGTAACCTCAAAAAATCAAAAAAAAAAAAAAATTTTCAAATTTTTAATAAAACAAAATTTATACAATAATATCCGTATTCATACATGAGTGAGTAAAAAATATATGAAACATGTGAGTAGGTCCAAAAAAAGTAAAAAAAATGACAAAAAAAATTGTAAAAATGTATGAAAAAATTGGTTAGTTTTCTTTGGATTCCAACTGCCTGAGGCAAAATTCGGCTTCGTAGTCCGAAAATCCAAGGCTGATGAGACGATTCATTTGGGCTTCGGCTTTGTTAATGGTGTAGAAGTCAATGCTGAAAATAAAACTTTATTTTCAAAAAAATGTTTGTGTTTTTTTCATTTTCACTTTCTTAACAAGCCAAAAATAAAGCGCAAAAAAAATTTTTAACTCGTGATTTCCAGACGCAGCCATAAAATTTGCACCCAAAAAATAAGCAAAAAATTTTTTGATTTTCATAATTTTTAGACCTAAAAATATTTTTTCTTCAAATCACAAGCTAAAAATCTCGCAAATTCCTTCAAAAAAAAAAAACAAAAAAAAAAAAGACAAAAAAAAAAACAAATTTATTGCCCAAAAAAACCAAAAAAAGTCCCAAAACTCACCTAGCCCCATCCCTCAGTAACTGCATCAACTCCCATGAGCTCAGCGGTTCAATTCGATCTTCCACACAAGCCCTTTCATAGGACCTGTAAACCCTCGTAAAATCGACCATTTCCAATCCGGTCGCTTTCAAACTTCGCACAACAGCTTTAAATAATCTGATTTCATCGGGATTGAATCCACGGACCAGTTGCATTCTATAGGTTTCTCCCGCTTCCACCATGGATTGATGGACATCCTCAACTTGGACTTGGTCATGGCCCTTCTCCACGGCCAAATCAATGGCTCTTCTGATGATGTCGAACGACTTTCGGATGTCTCCGCTCATATTTGCGACCTACAAATGTCGAAAATTATTATTCAAGCAGCAAAAGTTACAAATTGCACAGTGCGAATCTGTTGTACCGCACAGTGCGAAAGACCGTTTGAGTTTTCGCCCAGTGCAAAACAAAATATGAAAATAATTTCTTGCACCGTGCAGCCCATTTTGCGACAATTCCCAAAATTGCACAGTGCGCAAACAGCGACAAATTTCCCTCCAAGATTTCGACTTTGCACAGTGCGAAACAAAGAATGAAAATATCGGTCTGTCGGGAAAAAAACGGCGGATCGTCGCGCCTCGGAGTCGCTCATCATCGCTTTGCGACTGCAAGCTGCGACTTGGGATTTGGTGCGCGATAGCGGCGAGGCGAGACATTTTGCTGCGACGATACGCCGTTATTTTTCCGACAGACTGATAATTTTCTTGCACCGCGCAATCCATTTGCGACAATTTCAAAAACCGCACAGTGCGCAAACGGCGACAAATTTCATTCCAAGATTTCCAGTTTGCACTGTGCGAATCCGTCGTACCGCACAGTGCGGGAAGACTGGTTTATCTTCGCACAGTGCAAAACAAAAAATAAAAATTATTTTTTTTGCACAGTGCAGTCCATTTTGCGACAATTTACAAAATTGCACAGTGCGAATACGGCGACAAATTTCTCGAAAAAGATTTCCATTTTGCACAGTGCATTTTTAAAAGACCCGATGAAAAAAATCGTAAATTTGCACTGTGCGAAAAAACAAAAACTAAAAATCGGCACTGTGCCGACAAAAACACCCCAAAAACCCCTACCTTCATCGAGCAAAACTTGAGCGCATCTTTGTGGATTCTGTCGCCGAATCCTGACAATCGACTGACCAGAATTTCATTGATTTGTTTGAAGTCATACGGGTGGAAATGGATCATATTCGTGCCCAATCTGCTTTGAACTCGCTTGTCCAGGGCTCTTTGCGGCAAATCGAAGGTATTCGAGATGGCGATCACATTTACCCGACTCTCCGGGAGGGAGCACCAATTGAAAATGTCGTAGAGAACGCTTTGCTTTTTGCTGAGGAGAAGATCCAGCTGAAATTTGAAAAAAAGGTTAAAAAAAATTTTCCAAAAATAAAACATAGAAAAGCACAGCCATTTTTTTACCTCTGTATTTTGCCTAAAATTCTTTTTTATGAGTTTTTCTAACGTTTTCTAGCATTTCTTGCCAAGGGGAAGACTTTACCCAAGTTTCACATTTCGAGTCAAGTCTTCCTCTCTACTCAATGGTCCGTATTTTACCCCACAAACTTTTTTTTCATTACTTGACACTATTCTCCACTATTTCCTACTAAAAAAAAAAGACTTCACACTCATTTAATTCGAAGAAACTGTACAATATCTCCCCAAATCATTTTTTTTTGATTTTTTCTATGCTACAGTATCCCAATACCCCTAAATTCTCCCAAAATCTACCTCACAACCCACTTGTTAAATCCTCATCAAAAATTTTCACTTACCTCATCCACCAAAGCTATGATTGGAGGTCTTGTCTGATCCTCCATGCTCAAGATCGTGCCCAGCTTCATTCTGGCAGTTTTTTGTGAGATCTTTTTTCCCGATTTGTCTAGACCAATTGCTTTGTAAAAGTGGATGTAAACCTCTTCCGGGCGGATCATTTGTCCGGCATTAAGGTGGACAAAAGTGAACTTATTTTTCTTTGACTTTTGCATTTTATGGATAACATGGAGAGTGCAGGAGGTCTTTCCAGTTCCTGGAGCGCCGCCTGGAAACATAATAAGCATCACAGAGTGTTTACAGACGTTTTGAAATTTATTTTTATCATTTTATACCTAAAAATCACCAATTTTTTCATGATGAAGATAATGGTCTACAACACAATGCTACATGTAAACAAATGGTCCAAATGAACCAGACAGCAAGTAAAATACAATTTAAACCCCTAACGACCCAATTCAGCCAAAAACACAATGTTCTATTTACCCTTTTTAACAAAAATATTATATTATGGAAAACAAAATGGCTAAAAAAACCCATAAAAAATTACAAACCCGCCTTTTATCTATTGGAAAACTCATAACACCTTCTGTTCTTAAATCTACTACTCCTAAAATCAAAATCAACGTTTTAGTCAACAAATTATATTATCCATGTGAAATTTGACGAAAAACAAAAATTTTCGATATATTCAATTGTATTTCTCGGCCAATCCTGTTTTACCATTCACCTACGAATCGATCTTCAATTCTAAACAGTTTTCCGACACTTTCATTCAACTTTTTATATTATCCATGGCACCTCCACCCAAAAAAAAAGAAGTTTTTTTCACTTTTTCAAATCCCCATTTGTAATTACAGTAGCGGGCCTGATACAGTGGCAAAAATGTACCATTTTGCATCCGGGAAGTATCAAAAACGCAGCAAAATACCGCCTCTCCAATTAAAAAAAATGATGGAGGTATTTTTCTGCGTTTTTGATACTTCCCGGATGCAAAATGGTACGTTTTTTGCCTCTAGATCAGATCTACCACTGTAATTACATAAAGGGATTTGAAAAAACTGAAAAAAATAAAACTATTTTTTTTGGGGTGGAGGTGCCATGGATAATATAAAAAGATAAACAAAAGTATGAACAAACTGTTTAGAATTGAAGATTCGATTCCGTAGGTGAATAGCAAAGCAGGATTATAATTTTTATGGGATTTTTTGAGCCATTTTTTGTTGTGAATGCTATAATATAATATTTTTGATAAAAAGGGTAAATAAAACATTGTGTTTTTGGCTGAATTGAGTTGTAAGGGATTTAAATTGTATTTTACTAGCTGTCTGGTTGACCTTCGACCATTTTTTTTATTCAGCATCGTGTTCCAGACCATTATCTCTCATAATTTCCCAACTCTCCAAACCCACCCAGATACAATGCCGATGAGATCGAATTCGGCCTGATTCCTTCTTCACAAAAGGCCCGAATTCTCTTGATCTCATCTTCTCGATGTTTCATTTCAATCGGTACACTGTCACTCCAAAGCAACTTCTTGGCGTCTTCAAGGCACGAGGAGGTCATTGAGGTGTTCATGGACTGGTCCAAGTTCAATTTTTGCATATTATCCTGCAAAGTCGCGTAAAGTTTTCGTCTGGGCGATTTTAAGGGGGATTTTCCCGGACTTTGGTTGAGTTTCGTTGGAGTTTTGGACGGGGTTCGATGAGTTCTAGAGCGTTTCGGCGGGGTGTGCTGTTCTTCATCTGAAAAATTCGTAAATTATACCAAAAGATTACAAAAAAATTTCGTCAAACATCTATAAACAAGGAAAAAATATTCAAATAATTTATTTCAAAAGGTGTAACGTATTTTACAATAAAATCCCTTGTCCAATCCGAAGAAATTCTCATAAAACCACTAAAATAAGGTACGCATAGCTACACTTTAACATTTTCAACTCCAAAAGCACCTAAATTCCCAATCAAAAAATACTCTAAATCCTAGCCAACATCATAATCTTCTGATAACACCTCAAATACCACAAAATTTTCCAAATGCAATCCGTATTTTACCTGAAATATCTTCCAGCGGGACCTCTTCGTCCGATTCTGAAAATGGATAGCTCTCATTCTTCGTTCTGTATTGCTTTTTCGGCGTAGCCGTTCTTGATGGAGCCTTCAACTTCTCTAAACATCAAATTCACTAATAAAACAAACTTTTCTCTTACTTGGAGTAGTCGCTCTGGATCGACGTTCTACGACCATGTCCTCCGAATAATTGATGCCACGGGAAGCTGAACGGACTGGTCTGCCTCCTGAAATTCATGTTTTTGGAGATAAAATTCATCAATTTTTCTAATGAAACTAATTGCAGTTCAATACGAAATCAAACTCTATAAAAAAACCAAAATTTTTGATATGGATACCTACTTGAAGGTGTCGATGGAGCAGAACCACTTGATGCCGAACCTTGGGGACTCTCCTGGGGCTTCGATCTTGACTTGCTCCACTTTCTTGGTCTTTCTGAAACCAATCGTATTATAATGCAGCATCGATTTGACCTTAATTATATTACACTTGACAACTGATATTCGAAGGCCTAAAAGCAAAAAAGATAAAACAAACTTACTTCCAGGGCTGGCTTTCTTCGGAGTGTCGACTTCCATCGTACTGTCCATAGTGTTGTCGAACAAATTCCGAGCACTCATTGGTTTACGACTTGAACTGGGCTTACCTAAAATAAGGTGTAGAAAGATTGATGAAAACAGCTGCAAATTAGCCGAGAAATGCCATTGTGTAGCAGTAAGAGATCAAAAAAGTGGTTCTAAACATACGTGGAGATGAGTTAGTAGTTTTGGGACTCTTGCTCGGAGTCCTATTTGAAGGAGATGGTCGGCTAAGTCGAGGCGATACATTCTCTGAAATTTAATGAAATTGCGTCAAAAATATTCACAACAGCTTGTAAAATTCGTTGACCAAGTCTGTGCCAAATTTCATGCAAAACAATCCATTAGCCGAGCAGTTATAACGTTAAACATTACACCATCTTATCAGAATCTAGTATAATGCACAACATCGCAAATTCTCTGCGATTTAAAACTGAATTTCGCCCTAAATTTTCAAGAACAAAGAATACATCATACCGTACCTTTTCCAATGCTGTGGGTGCTGGCGGACCTCTTCAATGGAGACTTTTGATTCTTGGAAGCCGACCTAGATCCTCTTGGACTTTTTGGATCAATACTGGGAAGATCTTTGTAAAACAGAAACTTCTCTTGATCCCCCAAGATTTCTCTTGGAAGCATTGTGCCTGGAAACGGAAAGGATCAAATTCAATATTATTTTAGATATCAAAACGCAAAAATTCACGAAAAAAGGGGAACATCAAGTGCAATATCGATAAATCGATCAAATCCGTCGAAAAAATCTTTCGCAAAATAATTTTACAACTTTTCTTTGTTTGTCCAACGAAATTCGCGCCATTTTACCGCAAACAGCAATTTTCGCAGACTGCAAGGCTCGGGCGCAGACTGCGTCTTCATCATAAGGTCGGGCGCAGTGTGCGAAGCAAAAAAATAAGAAGAATTCGAGAAAAAAACCCAAGATTGTTTGGTAAACCGTCTGTTTTCATGTTGTTGTACTATTTATTGATATAAGTAGTTCGATTTAGCGTTGAAGAATGCTAGGAATACGTGGATTCTGCCGATCTGCGCAATTTATTGCTAGTTTAAGCGGAAATGGATTCTTGAGGCCGGCAAATGGCGCGACGTTGTTGAATAGTGAATATTCTCGTAAGTTTTTATCTTTTTCCTTTTGTATTTTAGGAAGGCAATGAGAAATTTAACAATATTGTTCTTGATGTTCCTGAGAAATGTAAAGTGTTATTACTTGCGGAAGAGGCAAAGTTTGATGTTGAAATTTTTAGAAGAGCATGTATTATATGTCTTCTCTCTGATGCTTCTTGAATTTTTCTTTTTGAAGTTTATCTTACTGAGATACTTCGAAATTTCCTACATCATACATCTTTTATTCAATTGCAACATTCTAACCCCATTTTCTTCCAGAAAAACGTCTATTCGCGAATGGAGGTAAGCCTAAGAACTACTACGAGATTCTTGGCATACAAGCTACTGCGAAAGAGAGCGAAGTGAAGGCCGCGTATCTCAAGGTAAGGCAATTTGTTTTATCCATATTTAATTTTTAGTTGGCCAAAAAGTACCATCCAGATGTCTGTAAAGAAAAGGATGCTAGCAACAAATTCCAAGAGGTGTCGGAGGCTTATGAGGTGCTGAGTGATAAACAAAAGCGTAAGGAGTATGATGCTTATCGGAGCGGAGGAGGTGGTGGATTTGGTCGACAAGGTATGTTTTTGATGTTGTTGTTGAATTTTTTGGCTATCCTAAGCGGAGATTTTTTTCTTTGACTGGAACCGTCGATATTTTTAGGATTCGATCAACGAGGAACTCAACAAGGCTGGAATTATCAGTCCTCCCGATCGGCTCAGGACATTTTCGATCAGTTCTTTCGTGGGGGCTTTGGTGGCGGCGATTTTGCTGGCTCATCTTATGGTTTTGAGGCTTCTCAACAAGTGCAGGTCAAGATCTCGTTTGAAGAGGCAGCTCGAGGAGTGCAGAAGAGTATCAACGTAAATGCCATCGACACTTGCGCCTTTTGCCGGGGGAATGGATGTGCGCCCGGAAAAAGCAAAGTCACTTGTCCATATTGTAGTGGAACAGGCTTCCAGACCTCAACTCTCAGTGGATTCACGTTGAATCACACTTGTAACTACTGTAAAGGCGCTGGAAAATACAACAAAGACCCTTGCCAAACGTGCGCCGGCACCGGACAAACGGTGGTAAACAAGAAAATTGGTGTCTACATTCCAGCCGGAGTCGATAATGGCGAAATGCTCAGGGTCCAAGTGGGTCAGGTGAGTGATTTTGAATTTCTTTTTTCGGGTTTTAGGAAAATCTTCAACGTTTTTTGACCTTGTTTTAGTCAATGGTCTACCTCAACATCCAAGTGAATCCGTCGTTGATCCACAGAAGAGAAAAAGAGAACATTCATACGGACGTGGAAATAAGCTTGGCCGATGCTGTCCTTGGCGGACAAATTAATGTCCCAGGAATTGAGTCGGACACGGTAATTTCGATCCCCCCAGGCACAAGCTCCCATCGAATTTTGTGCCTGAAAGGCAAGGGAATTAAACGGCTAAATGGAATCGGAACTGGCGATCAGTTTGTGAATATCAAGATTAGCGTTCCGAAGTGGGTTTTGCTTTGATTTGGGGTTGTATTTTTAGGGGATTACGGTATTTTTTGAAATTTTTTAGAGATTTTTTCAAATTTTTTCTATTTTTTTTTTATTCTTTTGATTTTTAGGACCCTAACACAACGACAACGCGAGCTGATCGAAGAATGGAAACGAATTGAGAAGGGAGAGGAACCGAAGAAACCTCCAAAGAAGGAAGCACCCAAAAAAGAGACCGAAACAGCAAAAGAAACGAAAAAAGAAGAGGAAAAGCCGGAAGATGAGCCCAAAAAACAACAAGATGGTGTGTTTCAGAGGTGAATATACGAGTTTAATCAGAAAATAGTACGATATTTTATAATTGACGTATTTTAAAAACAGTTTTTTCAAAATTTCCCAGAATTTTAGGTATTTTTTGAAAGAAATTGAAATTTTTCGATCTAAAACAAGGTAAAAGTTTATGGAAATGACTTTAAAATGAAGCCAGAAGTGTCTATTGTTATTGGAAGTAATAATATCCCCGTATTTTGCAGGTTCGTCAATCTAATCCGAGGAAAAACCAACGCCGACACCTTATGAACAAGGTCAAGCTCAAATTTTTAGTTGTCTTGTTGTCCATTGTTAATCTTGTTAGGATCACAATAAAGATTTAACCATAGTCTTTGATTTTGAACACTCTAGTCACTGTTTTAACAGTAGTTTATATCGGAATTTTTTGGATTTTTATCATGTATAATATGATTTTAGATTTGATCCAAAATGGGCAAGAAGCAACATCAAAAGGATAAATTGTAAGTTTTTATTGAGTGTATTGAGCCGTATATGGCTTTTAGTATCGAAATTTTGCGGTTTACAACGAGTTCAGGTTTTCGTGGTGGGACCAAATGTGATGAAAGATGATGGGATTTTTTGAATTTTTTGGGAATTTCAGGGGAATTTAAAAGAAGATACTATTCTAAGACTTATTTTACATATCTTTGATATTATTTTAGATACCTAACCACCAAAGAATGGAAGGATTCCTTTGGCGGCCACAAAAGTTCCATTGAAACCCAAATTCAGAAGGCCCAGTTCAAGAAATTACCTTTTACACATTGCGCATTGACCTTCCTTCCCTATCAGACACCCGTATGCACTCCGTCGGGCGTGATTTTTGACAAACAACCGATATTGGACTACCTAAAAAAGCATAAGATTAACCCGGTTGATGGCAAAAAATTGGAACCAAAAGACCTCATAGAACTCCATATGAGCAAGGATAGTGATGGTAAGTGAATCTGGAATATTTGAGAAGGCGTATTTTACAATTGGGTGAAATTTTGAGGGTTGTTGCGGAATGCCAAAGTTTGGCGGGAAAATTAAAATTTGAATTTTGAAGTGAAGAAATGGTTGGATTTGTGGTAAAATACGTTTCGCCGTACCTCTTTGTTCATTTTAGTGGTTCATTTTGATTTTTTTGCGGAAATTTTTTAATTAAAAAACATTTGTTTGATGACTAAAATAAGGTCGGAAAAGTTGAAAATCAAATTTAGCTTGGCTTCAAATGATTGCTAAATGACTTCTGGCTATTTTAAAGTAATTTTAAATAGGCATTCAATAAGAAAAATTAATTTTTTTGCATCCATTTTATCTAAAATAATGTAAAAACTACATGTTTTTGACCGAAAATTGTCAGAAATCTTAATTTTTTACAGATTTAACCCGTACTTTTTGATGTTTATGATAATTCTAGGCAATTACCAATGTCCAGTGACCTTCCGCACCTTCACCGAGTCCTCTTTGATCGTCACCATCAGGACGACAGGTAATGTGTATGCCATGGAGGCCGTAGAAGAACTGAATCTGAAACGCGCGCATCTCAAAGATCTCCTAAATGACGTTCCCTTCCAACGAAAGGACATTATCACTCTTCAAAACCCAAATGATCTCGAAAAATTTAATATCGAGCGGTTTTATCATGTACAGTTTGACACACGCACGTTGGAAGAGATCGCCGAAGAGAAGAAACAAATGCAGTCGGCCAGCTTCTACATCAACAAGGTAAAATACGCCTTTTTCTATGTTGTTTAAAGAAGTATAAGTTTTAATTTTTTTTTTTTTTGAAAAAACTTACACCTAAAATAAGGTAATTTTGTAAATTCCAGCTGAATTCCGAAGCCAAATCCGCCATCCAAAAGCTCAATCAGAAGTATGAAGCCAAAAAAGAGGAGGAGAAAAAGGATGTGACCGCCGATGCAGTGAATGCCGCCCATTATTCGCAAGGAAAAATGGCCGCCGGCTTAACTTCAACTGTAATGGAGCCGATCACGGTGAACAAGGCCGCGGTTTTGGATGAAAGCACTGTTAAGTAAGTGAATTACCCCTGAAGTTTTAGTTGAGATTGATTTTGGATTTGATTTTGGTGATTTTTGATAGAGAGGAAGACTTGACTCAAAATTTTGAAATTTGGGTCAAGTCTTTCTCTTAGTGGGAAATGGCGGAGAATGGAGTTAGAAGTGTTGAAAACAAAGTTTCTGGGATAAAATACGGATTATCTATTTGAGTAAGACTTGACTCGAAACTTGAACTTTGCGTCAAGTCTTCCCCTCGGAAAAAAATGCTAGAAAATATAAATAAAAACGATTTTCAAGGAAATTAAGGGTGTTTTAAACCATTTTTCTGTTTTCAGATACTCCAGAGTCACTAAAAACGGCTATGTTCGCCTCCTAACCAACCATGGCCCTCTGAATCTGGAACTTTTCTGCAAAATCGCCCCAAAAGCGTGTGAAAATTTCATCCGACACTGTGCCGACGGTTACTACGACAATTCGCGCTTCCACAGACTGATCAAACATTTCATGCTTCAGGGCGGAGATCCGACCGGCACTGGAAAAGGCGGAGAATCGGTTTGGGGCAAACCCTTCGAAGACGAAGTCCATCATTCACTACATCACGACGCAAGAGGCGTTCTTAGCATGGCGAACAGAGGGACAGACACGAATCAGTCGCAATTGTAAGGATTTTTTACTTGAATTTTGAATTCCCGCCAATTTTGGAGAAGCTTGGCATTGTGTTGCAAGGGAAAATTGGGTCGTTTGAAATATTGTAGAGTAAAAAATGGTTGTCGAGTAAATTTTAGTTGAGTTTTTACGATTTTTTTGTGGAATTTTGAATTTTTCGCCAAATTCAAAAAAATCTTGGCATTGTGTTGCAAGAGTAAAGATTGGGTCGTTTGAAATATTGTAGAGTAAAAAATGGTTGTCGAGTAAATTTTAGTTGAGTTTTTACGATTTTTTTGTGGAATTTTGAATTTTTCGCCAAATTCAAAAAAATCTTGGCATTGTGTTGCAAGAGTAAAGATTGGGTCGTTTGAAATATTGTAGAGTAAAAAATGGGGTTGTTTATTAAATTTTAGTCAAGTTTTTTTGATTTTTTTTTTGGTGGGATTTTGAATTTCCCGCCAAAATAAAAAATCTTGGCATTGTGTTTCACCCAGTGAATTTTGATTTTCTAGGTCTCTAGTTTATTCAGATAGCGAAATCTTGTTTTAAAAAAGTTGTAAACAGTGTATTTATGGGAAAAATGGATTTGTACTAACGTATTTTACCCTTTAGTTTCATCACCTTCCGCCCTTGCCGACATCTCGACGGAAAACACACGATATTCGGGAAATTGGTGGGCGGACTCCCAACGTTGGCCTCAATAGAGCGAGTAGAAACCGATAAGAACGACGCACCGCTGGAACCGGTTGTATTCATCAAAGCCGAAGTGTTTGTAAATCCATTCGAAGAAGCGGAAGCCCAAGTTTTGAAGGAAAGAGAGGAGGCGTTGGGGATTCAGAAGGAAAAAAGTGAGTTTGTAATGGGTTAGTGAGGAGGCAAAGAGATTTTAGGAGGGAGTTTGGGTCATTTACTTTTTTGAGTCATCTGGAAATTCGAAATTTTTTGTTTTTTTTTGCGGAAAAAACGAGATTTTTTTGGAACTTTTAATTTTTTTGGTTGTTTTGAAGGGGTGTAGGCATCGTATTTAGCGTTTTTGGAGGTTGTAGGGACTAAAATACGAGAATTTAGAGTTAAGTCTGAATATTTTAAAAAATTTTGGGTCCCGACACGAAAATTTTTTGTTTTGGAAAAAGTGGAAATTTGGCTTCCAGAAGCAGCAAACCACTGGAAAATGAAGGGAAAATATTTTTTCAGTCACTTTCGATCGATTATACCATGATTTTTCATAATTTTTCCAGAAAGTGTCCCCGAATACAAATCCACCGGCTATTCGGGCGATGTCCCCAAACCCAAAGCCCATTCAGCTGGCGTTGGAAAATACATTCGACCAGACGTAAAAACTGCCCTGAAACGAATAGGAGATGTTGGATTGGTGGGCGCTGAACCCAAACAGAAACAAAAGAAAAATTACGATTTTAGTGATTGGTAATTTATAAAAGTTGTTGAAGATAATGTAAAAAAGGAATAAAAATTCGAACAGTTGTTGTAAAATACGATGTGTGGAGGGGTTTTGTAGATATAAAACAGTTTTTTCTCTAAAAAAATTTATTTTTGATTTAGGATTTTTGAAAAAAATTGTAAATTTCTTTTGTTTGAAGTGTTGAAAAAGAGTTGTAAAGGCCTGTAGAGAAAGTATTTGTAATTTCAAAACCGATTAAGGTAACTTTTTTTGGCATTTTTTGCAAAAAAACACCAATTTAAAAAAAAATTTTTTTTTTGATTTTGACGAAATTTTCAATATCAAAAAAATCTTTAGGGTTTTCAAAATGACCAAGAACACGTTTATGGTACGATACGGACGTTTTAAACGAAAAAAAACAGAAAAACAAAAAGAACTTTAGGTCCCACCACGAAAACCCTGAAAAATAATTTCCCCAAAAATCCCTCAAAATCTTTCAAAATTCCCCCAAAAAAAAACCTTGCAACTTTATTCTCTACGCATTATTGCCACTTTTGAACAACAAAACCGCGAAATTGTCGACATGAAAAAAGATGAAGTGGTTTTCCTCATGAGCCACCGAAGAGCCGAACGAACTTCCGACCGCACAATGCCAGGCCGGCCCGTAACGCTGATCGAACGCCTGTTTCAGGGCCTTGGCCAGCGCGGGGGTGTTGAATTTGGAGTCAGCGAGGGAGTCGAGGAATTGGGCGACCACTTTTTGAGCGAATTCAGCCTTTTCGGAGTCAATGTCCAAAAACTGAAATTTTTTTTTTATTTTTTGATGAAAAAATAGTAAAATTATTGAAAAATGGATAAAAAAGTTGTTGAAAATCTATTTAAAATTAATTTTACGACATTTCAAAATGATCCAAAGGGCACACTTGACGTATTTTACTCTAATTTTGGCTAAAATACGATAATTTTTGGAGTATGTTTTGCAAATTTTTATTCATAAAATCTTGAGAAATAGTGAAAAAAGGCTTCAGCAATACCAATGAAACGTATATCAGGCGTATTTTACCTTAAATTTATTCTTAAAATACGGATTTTTCAAAAAATTCCGGATCGAAAAATCTCAAAATTCTATCTAAAAATCGGTCGAATTTTTCTAAAAACTTATACAATAAAATAAATGGAAGTCTCATACAAAATACGACTTGAATTACTCACTTTCAGCGATATCTTTGGGCTGTTTTTCTTCGCAACGGCGCTCATTTTGCCAAAATTCCGTGCTAACCACCGAATCGACCGGTAAAAATGAATTTAATTTTCATTTTTTTCCCTGAAAATACAATTCCCATTCTTATTTTCCACAATTTTTGCTTCAAATTTGAATAAATCATCAAAATTAAAAAAAAAACTTTTGATCGTATAAAATGTCGCTTTTCGAAAAATTGCCAAAAATCGTTTTCTTTCGTCGTCGTAAGACTGCTATTGGGAATTTTTGATGAAATTGAGATGTGTTCTATCAGATATTACGTCGTTTTCGACAAGAATTACCTAATTTTAGGTATTTTCTGTGGTCTGTTGATTTATTCTTGATTTTTTTCGTTCAGATAGCAAGATAACAGAAATTTTAGTCCTTGGCATTTGTCAATGCTTAATTTTTAAAGGGGTTTAGCTGCTTTGGAAGTGTTTTTTGACAAAAATTTACCTTGTTTTAGGCAATTTTTGGTAGTCTTTGATATTATTCTTGATTTTTCAAGGTGTATTGGAAAATAACAAGTATTTTAGAGCGGGATATTGGCCAAGACTAAATATTAAAGCATTTTGACAACTTTAAGAGTCGTTTTTGATAAAAATTTACCTTATTTTAGGTAATGTTTTAAGTTTTTCGAAAAAAAATTTTTATTTTTCCACTTCAAATCCTTTCGAATCCATTCGGTAGAGTCAAACTCGCCCTCTCCCTCCTCCAAGGTTAATTAAAAACGTCCTGCGGGCATCGCCGTCTCACCTTTTTCGTTTTTTTTAATAAAAATTTTTCGGCCGCGAAATTTTTTTCGAGAAATTGAAATTTTTTTATTTTTGGCATTCCCGAAAGTCCTGTCCATTGCACGCCCCGCTCCCATTTTGAAAGCGCCCCATTTTTTCACATTTCCCAGCCGCCCCGACCCGGAGAGAGCGGGCGTTTCGGGGAGGGGGCGCAGAGAAGGCAGAGACATTTTTCAAATGAATTTTTCCATTTTTTGGACTGCGGTTTTCGAATGCGAAAATTATTTTTGTCGGACCCTTTCTCGTCGTGGTTGGGTATGCGGGACGAGGGAATGTGAAAAGTGAAAAATAAAAAAAAACTTTTTTGAGATTTTTTGGAAATTTTGGGGAAAAATAGAATAAAAATAAATAAAAAAGGATCATAAAAATGGAAAAGAGATGGGTATATAGTTTTGATGACGTGAAATTTTTTTGTCATTTTTAAAAATGAAAAATAAAAAAAAACTTTTTTGAGATTTTTTGGATTTTGGGTAAAAATAGAATAAAAATAAATAAAAAATGGTCGTAAAAATGGAAAAGGGATAGGTAGATGATAGTGTTGATGACATAAAAAATTGTTTGTTATTTTGAAAAGTGAAAAGTAAAAAGAAACTTTTTTGAGATTTTTTTGAAATTTTAGGTAAAAATAGATAAAAAATGGTCATAAAAATGGAATAGGGATGGGTAGATAGTTTTGATGACGTAAAAAATTGTTTTGTTCATTTTTAAAAATGAAAAATAAAAAAAAACTTTTTTTGAGATTTTTTGGAAGTTTTGGGTAAAAAATAGAATAAAAATAGATAAAAAAAATAGTCGTAAAAATGGAATAGGGATGGGAAGATAGTGTTGATGATATAAAAAAATTGTTTGACATTTTGAAAAGTGAAAAATAAAAAAAAACTTTTTTGAGATTTTTTGAAAATTTTGGGTAAAAATAGAATAAAAATAAATAAAAAAATGGTCGTAAAAATGGAATAGGGATGGGAAGATAGTGTTGATGATATAAAAATTCTTTTGTTCATTTTTAAAAATGAAAAAATGGCCATTTTTGTGAAATTTTGGGTAAAAATAGAATAAATATAAATTAAAAAATGGTCATAAAAATGGAAAAGGGATGGGGAGATAGTGTTGATGACATAAAAAATTGTTTTGTTCGTTTTGAAAATGAAAAAAGAAATTTTTTGAGAGTTTTTGGAAATTTTAGGTAAAAATAAAATAAAAGGGATGGGTAGATAGCGTTGATGAAATAAAATTTTGATCGTCATTTTTTAAAATGAGAAATAAAAAAAAGTTGGAGATTTTTTGGAAATTTTAGGTAAGAATAGAGTAAAAATAATAAAAAAAATAGTCGAAAAATGGAATAGGGATAGGTAGATAGTGTTGATTATATAAAAAATTGTTTTGTCATTTTGAAAGATGAAAAAAAATTGCCATTTTTTGAGATTTTTTAAAAATCTTGGGTAAATTTGAACGTAAAATACGATTAAAAAAGTTGGATAAAAATTTTTAGGGCCTTTTATTGGAGTAGTAATACGATTTATACGTTTTTTTGGTGATTTTGAAGCCTAAAGAATTTTAAAAAAATATTAAAAAAATTTTTTTATAATTTTTCAATAAAAAAACGGTCCAAAAAATCTCCTAAAAATTTTAACGAGTTACTGAGGATGTAATTGTCAGATTCTGTTTATTATTTTTCGATTTTCAAGATATTTTTTATTTTTTTAATTTTGCGATTTTTTGAAATTTTTTGAAAATTTAGTGTAAAATAAGGTCCAAGAAGTCTTCCAAAAATTTTGTGAAGAGGCTACAGTTATTATTTCGTACTTTTTAACAAAATAAATTTTGGGATTTAAAATTTTTTTTTTTATTTTTTATAAAATTCAATCTAAAATAAGGTCGAATTCTCTCCCCATTCAATTCGTTATGCGGAAATAACGCTGTAATTTTTTTCAATCCTTCCAACAATGCATTTTCTATTTTGAAAAAGCGAAAAAAATTATTTGAGTCGGGGAAAAAAAAAATTTTTTTTGCGAACCCAAAAACCGCCGCGAAAGAGAGCGCAGCGCCCGAGGAGAGCGCCGAGAGTCCGACATCGCGGCTCTCTCACTCGGGCCGGCCGTTTTTTTTCATTTTTATATCTAAAAACGGACGAAATTTTTTGAATAAAATTTTTTGTTTTTTGACTTTCAAAAATGTGTGGGAAAATTTTGAAAAAACGGGAATTAAGGGACGATTTGGTAGTGGGAAATTGTTATTTTATGGATAGAATAGTAGAAAAATGAATCGAGAAGGTTTTTGAAAGAAAAAAATAGAGAATTTCATTGTGAAAAATCGATTTTTCAATAAAAATTTGCGGTTTTTGATGAAAAATCGCGGTTTTTGACAAAATGCGGATAAAAATCAATATTAAGCTTTTTAAAAAAGGTTTATCAAGGGTCTAAAAGCTTCTAAAATAGCCTGAGGGCATTTTGAACCCCAAAAAATTTTGGTTTATTTTGAAAAAAATATTTTCTTTGCGAAAAATTGAGATTTTTTGCTATTTTTGCCAACTTTTTGCTCTAAAATATTACTTTTTGCAAGTTACAGTAATTATTACAGTAATTCATTTTAGACACTCTAAAATTTCCCTTGGAAAATTTTAGAGTTGATTTTGCTCCTTTCGCGACGAAAAATTTTTGTTTTTAATAAAAATTCGTGGGATTACCTAAAATATGCTGATTTTAGGTATAAAATCATCGTATAAAATGAGCTCCGATTCAGATGATCTCCAAAAAATCATCCGCGAACGTATTCTGGACAAGACCATCAAGGCTGAACCGGTAATTCACTTTTTTCGCCTATCTTTTTCCAATTTTTGTCATGGATAATATAATTTTTGCCTCAAATTGACAAAAAAGATGATTTTTAATAAAAAACAAAGTTCAAAATGACCAACAAAGATAATATGGGCTATTTTCAGGAGGACAGAAGTTTTGAGGATGTGAAGAACGAGGTTCTGAGCCTGCTTCACAAGGCCAGCGGCTTCAAAGTTGACTTCCCCAGCAGCTCCAGAGCGTCCAGTTCGACCTCCGACCCCACCCAAAATGACGAAGAAAGCGAGATGGAGGATCGTGTGAGCGAGTTTGAGATCGACTTCGATGAAAGTATCAACAAAGTTGTGCAACAAGGAATGATCGACATCCAGAAACGCCAGGAGGAAAAGGCCCGCGAAACCCAACAAAACTTCAAATTTGTGGCGGGTAAGTGATATCGGTTGATTTTAAGAGGCATTTGCGATTTTTTGGGAGAATTTTGCGAGGGTTAGGATGGAGAATCGGGCGGAATTTTAGTTGATCAAGTATAAGGTCATGAATAATATAACTAATTTCTTGATAGTCTAAACCTTGAAAAATGATGTCTAGATGGAAAAGTAAGGGTTAAAATGTAGATTAGAAGGGGGAACAGTATTTTTTTAGGTATTATTCAGGCTTGGGACAGTCGATCAAGTATAAGGTCATGAATAATATAACTGATTTTTTGATAGTCTAAACTTAGAAAATGATGTCTAGATGGAAAAATAAGGGTTAAAATGTAGATTAGAAAGGAAAACAGTATTGTTGTAGGTGTCATTCAGCCTTGGGGACAGTTGATCAAGTATAAGGTCATGAATAATGTAACTAATATTTTGATAGTCTAAACCTTGAAAAATGATGTCTAGATGGAAAAGTAAGGGTTAAAATGGAGATTAGAAAGGAAAACAGTATTGCTATAGGGATTATTCAGACTTGGGGACAGTTGATCAAGTGTAAGGTCATGAATAATATAACTAACTTCTTGATAGTCTACGAAAAATGATGTCTAGATGGAAAAGTAAGGGTTAAAATGGAGATTAGAAGAAGAAACATCGTTGTTGTAGGTATTATTCAGGCATAGATACCTACATTTACATTAAAGGTCATGGTTAATGTAACTGGTTTCTTGACAATCTGATATGGGGTAGATGATGTCTAATAGGGATGTTAAGTTGTACAACAGAGATCTATCATCATATTATAGAAATCTACGGCTTCAGCTTTGTCTTCTGTCCAGTTAAAATATTGGTGTATCAAGTACAAGGTCATGGAGAATATAGCCAATTTTGGAGTCTGTAAACCTATTATTGATGTCTAAGTAGAAGAAAAGGGCCTTAAAATTAGACTAGAGGGAGTTTAAAGAACTTTGAAGTAGTTTTTTATATGATTATAGGAGTTATATTGATTTAGGTCATCAATAAAAAGATTTGCCTCTTTGATGATCTAAATTTAGATTTTTTAATGCTTGGATGGAATAGTAAGACAATAAATATCTCACACTTTACAGAAAGTAAAATTTGGAGCATGTGTTGATCGTATTTTTTCTATAAATTGAAAATTTTATCAAGTACAACATCATGGATAATATTTACTCAAAAAATTTACATTATTCATAATTTCAGATGCCCTTGCCCTCGCCCAACAACAGAGCTCAGCGGCAGCCTCTTCTGCTTCCAGTCCCACTCCTGAATCGTCACAAAGAAAGTACAAAAAGTATGAATACACGATCTTGGAAGAGCTGAATGCTCGAAAAATGGAGGAAAGAGCAAGTGATCCCAATAAGAAAATTGTAAGATTTTTTTTGGGATTTTGATGTTCAAATTCTCTATTTTGAGTATCACAGAACTCATTTTTTTTGTTCTTGATTTCCGTGAAATCTGCAAAATCTTTAAATTTTTGCACGGTGCAAAAAGTGAAGATAATTTTCGCACAGTGCAATAAAAAGATATTGAAAAGAGCACTTTTCATAGAAATCAGAGAAAATTTTGGATGGTGAAAAATTTTTATTTTCTAGATATTTTTGCACTGTGCAAAAATTTTTGTATTGTAGTCGCACGGTGCGGTCAAAAATAAACTTTGGCCGCACCGTGCAAAAATCTTGATCGCACCGTGCGAAATTTTTGGCTGCACTGTGCGATTTTTTTGACCGCATCGTACGAAAATTTGACTGCACCGTGCAAAAATTTTGAGTGCACTGTGCAAAAATCTTGACCGCACCGTGCAAAATTTTTAAAATTTTTGTTCGCACTGTGCCAAAATCTTGACCGCACCGTGCGAAAATTTTGATTGCACCGTGCAAAATTTTTAAAATTTTTGTTCGCACTGTGCAAAAATTTTGACGAACTGAAAAATAAATATCAGTCTGTCGGGAAAATAATGAGCACGCTGTCGCTGCGCCGATCGCGTCGCTGAAGTGAAAAGCTGCTTGATTTTGCCGCGACACAAGTCATTTTTCTGGCGGCGATGCGATTTTTTATGCGACAGAGTGCTCATTATTTTCCCGACAGACTGAATTTCAACGATATCTATGCCTAATTAAGACTTTTTTTAACAAATATTTGCCAGAAAACTCATGTTTTTACCTTTTTTTTATGTTTGAAATTTTCCAAAAAAAAAATTTTTTTTTAATTTTCATTAATTCCGAATTTTTTGCAGGACCCTCACATGCGAGCCATCATTTTGTACGAGTTCAAGACCGGCCACAGCGCCATCGAAGCCAATCGCAACATCAACAAGGCGTTTGGCGAGGGCACCATCACCAAATTCCAGGTCCAACAGTGGTTTATGCGCTTCAGAGGCGGGGATTCGAGTGTGCGCGACCGGAAGGGGGGCCGAAAGTTGTTGTTGCGGCACTGCGAAGAGGACCTGATCGACGCGTTGATTGAGAATCCCAAGATTACGCTGCAAAAGTTGTCGGAGATGTTCGGCGTCGGCGTCAGCACCATTTTTAATCAGCTCCGACGGCTGGGAATCCGCAAAACCAAGGAGGGATGGAAATAACCGCGTTATGCAGAATATATCGCATTATAGAGAAACTCGTGTTTTATAGAATTTAGAGGTGGAGATTGTGGTTTTGAAGTGATTTTTGAGATTTTTTGATTGTATTTTCAGAGATTTTTAGATTCATTTATTATAAGGTATTGCTTTATTTTATAAGGTATTGACTTGTGAAATAGTTTTATTGGCTAATAAAGAGATTTATGGTGTTGTACAAAAAAGAATTCGGCATTTTATGAGGATGAATGAGACGTAGAAATGAGAGAGTTAAAATAATTTTTTATATTTGCAGGAGAAGTACTCCAAGGGATGCTCAGATTTTGGTGAAACTTGGCACAAATTTAGACTAATTTTTTCTAACAAGGAAAGTACTTTTATGGGGGCTCCTACTTTTTGACGGGACATATCTCAAAAAATCAGAAAAAATGTGCTGATCAAGGATATATAAATCTTAGCTGCCCATTTTAGGTTTTTAGGGGTGAAAACTCAGTCGGAAGATGACTTAAAGTCCTATATGAACCTCCTTTCGCTTAATTTTTCACAGGTTTACAATTTTTATTTTGGCTTAAAATGATGATTATTGAGTTTCTAAGACGTAATAAATCAGTCTTGGCACAAAAATTTATTTTTCCGACCTTCAACTTCAAAAAAAGATGATTCAGCCCAGAAGGGAAATCGAACCCGTGCGGCGTCCACCTCTTGATTCCCAGACTACGGCACTAGCCACTCGGCCACACCGCTCTCTCCCGAAGGAAGAGACCGACTGCGCTTTTTATCGTTTCGAATGCCTGCGCCTTTTGTAGGGAAATTAACAAGGGAAGTCACTTAAATCACGGATCGATTTTGTAAAACGACTGTTGCAGTGATGGGGAGGGTAGGACGGAGATATCAAATCTGAAAACCGCTACCTCCACCAGCCTCTGGGAGCCGAGATAATCGACCAAAAAGTTTGACCAAATTCCTCCGAACATTTCTTCCTTCCGAAAGAAGGAAACCCAGCGAACCGAATGGTCCGGCGGTCTGGAAGCGCGCTTCCGGGCCTTTACCTTTTCAGGTTCGAATCCGCGCGGGTCTCGAACTTGTGAAAAATGTATAAAACAGTTGATGTAATCCAGTAAATTTACTAGCAATTCATTTTTAGGTTTTATGCCTATTTACGGTAAATTTTTAACCTTGAAAATTCAAATCGCTTGGAACTCGCATTCGAATTATTACTCTGAAATTTTATCGTAAAATATGCAAAAAATCAAAATTTTTTATCTTACCGGTAAATTTTACTGAATTACAGGAAAAGTTTAATAAATTTTTTGACCCATGCGGATTCGAACCTGAAAAGGTCAAGACCCGGAAGCGCGCTTCCAGACCACCGAACCATTCGGCTCGCTGGGTTTTTTTCTTTCGGAAGAGAGGACTATTCGGAGCAACTTTTTTTGTTCAAACCTTTTTGGTCGATTATCTCGGCTCCCAGAGGCCGGTGGAGGTAGCGGTTTTCAGATTTGATATCTCCGTCCTACCCTCCCCATCGCTGTAACAGTCGTTTTTAAAAATCGATCCGTGACTTAAGTGACTTCCCTTGTAAGACAGTTTTTGGGCAGTTTCACCCCTAAAAACCTGAAATGGGCAACTAAGATTTATATATCCTTGATCAGCACCTTTTTTTCTGATTTTTTGAGATATGTCCTGTCAAAAAGTAGGGGCCCCCATAAAAGTACTTTCCTTGTAAGGAATAAGCGAGACTCGCAGCTAATGCTTTGCAGAAAACGACCGAAATTTTTATATAAAAAGTCTGTAAAAATGCGACAATTTTTTGCGAACTTTGGCATAAAAGTTGCATGCATATTTTTTCTACCGTTGAGGCGTTTCCTTTTCCATAAAAAAAAACAATTTTTCCGCGTGAAACTAGCAAAGTTATGGCCAAAAAGAGTTTTTCTCTCTGACCGCTCTCCGCATTTTGCCTGCCCTCTCAGCCGCAAAGATCTTTCAATATCTCCTTGCAAAACGCGAGTTAAAAGTTTCCGAAATTAATATTTGGCCAACTGGCATTTTCACAAAGCGCGTAGACCCGAAATTTGAGACAATTGCACAGTGCAAAATATGGTTTGAAAAGAATTGTGATTCATAGTGCAAAAAAGTGCCAAAATGTAGTCAACGCAATTCATGAAAATGCTAACATTAAATACTCGATTTAGGGGTTTTTAATAGTGCTGGTTCCGAAAGTCTTGTTCATTTTTTCTGATTTGAAATCAGCACCATCGAGAACCCCTCACATCAACCACAAACAGAGTGCCAAAATTTTTTGGCATCCCGTTTTTTAAAGGGCCCTAATGTTTTGGCCTATTATGCAATCGGTAATGAACAAAATAAATTAATCTGCGATCAAAATATTGCCAAGGACTCATAATTTGCCCCTAGATCGGCTCCTATATCAATTACTTGTGAAAAAAGTTCAAAATAGTACTAATTTGCAGTGTTGCTTAAAAAAAAGCGCTCACTAAAAAAAATGAATGTGACTTTTGAAATCAACGCCATGGATTATCCTAGACCCTTACATGCAAGAAAAATAATATTATTTTTTCAGTTTCCCCACTTATCTTTTTTGACGACTTTCCTATAAAAAAAACTTCTTGCCCTTTTAAATTTTCCTTCTACCGAATTTTCGCCACACCACAAACAAAAACAATTCTTTTACCCATAAAAAACACAAAAGTCCAATTTTTTCCCCTTCCAATTGCTTGCCAAAAAACAGCTACCAAAATGACGACCAATGGAATGCCCAAAAACGGACCAATAATCATTTCCACGAAGCCTGCCTACGCTTCATACCGTAGTAATAATGGCTGTAAATCGAACTTTCTTGGAACCCGCGAGACAAATGTGTTTGGGGGCGATTCTCGGAGGGAGCCCCAAGGAATCACGACCTTGAACGTTCTTCACCACGTAGTTATGCGCTTTTTTCTTCTATTTTTTGCTTAAAAATTTTGTGTGTTTGCTTACGATTACTATGGTTGTCAGCAATGCAGAGCATCAAGTTTTTGAAAACCAATTTTTTCGGATAGTTGCTTGTTTTTCTTAAGTAGTAGTGTTAGATAATTTTTTAAATTTTGTGAGTAATTTTCGAGATCAGGATGGTCTACTCTCCTAGGTCGGAGAATGAGCAATAAATCCGCTTTGCAAGTGTTGCTTTGGGGCCGAAGAGTACACAAAACGCCGGAGAGCGGTTTGAGATATTATGTATAAAAACACTTTTTTTTAATTTGCCGGTTTCGCGCGGGAAAATGTGTTTTGTTGAAATATATTATACCGCACAGAGAAGAAATACGCATAAAACTTTTTACGCCAAAATTCGCAAAAAACAGTTTTTTCCAACTTGTCACCTAAAAATCTCTTTTGTATCTGCAAAGCGCAGGCCAGAAATCTCGAAAGCAAGCCATAGAAAATCTTTTTTAGTCATCACAAACCATAAAATTTTTTTATTATTGAAAGCGATGAACCAAACTTACAAAGCAATATTTTAAAAGTAAATAATTTCTTTACAAGTCAAATCTTCTAGGAATGGGTTATTTGTCAAACAATAGTAACTATTTCCAGCAAGCTCCACCCATTTGAAAATACAGTCATATGCGTAAAAGACAGGCATTCTTGGACTTACAGAAGGCAGTAATCTAATAGGGAGTTTCTGATTTTTTTTCAAATTCACATAGCACATGCATGTCATCTAAAAACGTTGTACAATAATTTCTAAAAGACTTGGCTTGCGCTTTATGGTCCTTGCTATGTAATTCAATGATTTTTTGAGATTTTGCAAAAATTTGGGATTTTTAGAAAAAAAAAATTTTTTGATTTTCGACTTGGAAATTGCAGGGATTATTACAAGTAAGGCGAACAATGTTCCTACAAAAAATCAATTTTTTCCGCCAGAAATGCTCAGAGATATAGCCAAAAAAGTGGTTTTTCTCTGACCGACCCTCCTCATTTTGCGTGATCCCTGGCGAAAATTGTTCAATTTTCTGTATTTTTTTGTAAATTGCGTGTTAAAATATTCGAAAATTATTATGTGAAAAGATAATAATTTTTGAGGGTGAATTAAAAAATAAAAAAAAATAAATTTTTTTTGACATTACATTTTTTTTTGATTTCCCAATTTTTCGCCTTTTTTCTCTAATTATTTTTTTCGCAATTTCAGCAAAAATGACAAGGTTAGCAGCCCTCATTCTCCTCGCTTTCCCTCAATTTTCCTCGGCCTGTTGGTCGACTGCGGCTCGAACACAAATGCTGGAAATGCTACCCGAAAAATTCGACCACAAAGCACCAAATGAATTGAAGTTGTTTGGGAACAAGAGAGTAAGTTATCGCCGCAAAAATAACAGTAAAAAGATTTTTGTTGACAAACAAAATAGACGGAAGAGATCAAAATTTCTAAATGGTTTGTTTGCAAATCGTCTTGAGGCTTTCTTTGAAGATTATGAGGATAATCAAATTTTACAATTGATGTTTATTGATCATCAATTGTTTTTTTGTCTGTTTGGAATCTTATTTTAAACATTACGGCCTTTGGCGTACTTCACAATCCTTTATTTCGCAAATTTTAAACGGCGAGCTGCGCCCTCTATTAAATCGAAAAGTTTGATTATGACATAAAAAAACAAAAACTACGGCTAATATTGTATAGAAATACGTATTTGATAAAAAAAAATCACTAAATTTTTTCGCGAGCTGCGCCCTGGATTATGTCGAAATAGTCCCCTAAAACTAAAAAAACAAAACAAAAACATGAGCAATTTAGTAACAGTAGTAATGTTACAACATTCTTCTTCTTTCAAGACTTTTCAAAAATTTTAAAGCCGCGAGCTGCGCCCAGGCCTAAAAATGAAATTGAAGCCAAAAATCAAAAAAAATTGTGTAAAGTTGGTAAAATACAAATTGTCATGTCTACTGCCTATCTTGTTATTAATTTTAAGCTTATTCCACTTCATTTTCCCTGCAAAAATCAATTCATATTATTTTAGTTCATCAAAGAATTCGGAGTCCGCGCGATTTACCAGCTCTTCTTCAACGACCCGAATCTCTCCAAACACGACCCACCAGGACAATATCTGGTCAACTGCGCGGTTCAGCCCTCGGGAGACAGGGTTAGATTGATTGTGAATGAGTTCTTCGCGGCGTTCAACACCTCCCTCGGACGGATCGAATGTGAAGTCGCGATTGTTGACGAATCCAAACAACAGATATCAGAGTTCTCGGAGAAAGTCAGCAAGACCGTGTTGATGGACATGAACTCGATTGCGGACCGTTTCGGAAGCAAACATGCGTTTTCCAATGCGATATGAGCAAGGAAATCGGAAGATAAATATATAAATTAGACCAAAGTAATATATAAAAGTTGGAGAAATAATAAAAAATTGTGTATAAACTGTTTTACTGGGTAAAATAAACGAGAAAATATATTCTTCTCAGCCTTATTTGCGGATTTATGACAATATCTACAATTTTTCAGTTTTCGAGCTGCGCCCAAGGTTTGGCGGAAAAGATTATTTTTAAAAAATAGTTTGAGTTAAATAAAAAAAAATCGTTTTTTGACAGTAATTTATAACTCCATCTGGCCTGTAATATCGATTCTTTGGATCGGCAAGCTGCGCCCGAGCTTAGGCCAAAAATCGATGTTTGATTGTAACTTTTTAGAAATTTGAGTAGTTAAAAGGGCTATTAAAGATAGCAAAATTAATTTTTTTATTTTTGATTCCACCACACTTCGAAAATTTGCATATTTTTTTTGACTGCACTGTGCGAAGACGAAAATTTTTGACTGCACTGTGCGAAGACGAAAAATGTATTTCCACTTGCAGGGAGCTGTAGGATTCTTGGGCATTAGTTTTTGTTATTTTATTTTTTTCTTAATAGAAGTCAAAAATGCACGCACCGTATTTTACAAAATTAAGTTCATTTTTTGAGCCATAATTTTCAGGTCATGACAATCACCATTTTTCACGATTGTAGATGTACTCGAGTACCTGAAAATAAAAAAAAAAATAAAAAGGTAATTGTCTGCACTGTGCAAAAAATTAAATTAAAAAAAATACCTAAAAAATTTTTTTGATGACTAAAAGTTGTCTGAGCAGTTATTTGAACATACATTTTCATGCTTAAATATTTAAAAATATTACTTACTGCTTGTTTGTTGGAATCTCAGCCACTGAAGCAGATGGATCAAGATTATGCACAGGATTGTCACCATAAACACGTTGATTCTCTTGTTGTCTCGGCTTTTGCTGATGAAATATTGGTATGGGCAGATTGCCACAGGCTCCAGCTCCATTTGAGATCTTATTTAGACAGCTTCTGTGTAAATTTTTTTGATTTTCAACGATTTTTTGTCGAAAAACAAGAAAAATGGTATGAAATTGGCAATAAGGGTAAAATAAAGTGTAATACCGTGACGTAGATAGTCTGAAATGAAGTTAACTTGTAAAATATGAAGATTTCATTAATTGTGATATTTCTTTCAGTAATTTCAATTTGAAAACATCTAAGAAATCTCGAATTTTTGATGAAAAACGGTAAAAATTTAAAGAATTAGTCATTATGACCGAAACAATGCTTTATAAAGTAAAGTTAACTACAAAAAAATTTAGGTACTATCAGTACAACTTACAAGTTTTCCAATTCCTCTCGTCTAGACTCTCGAATATTGGGTAAATACCAATAGTCTTCCATTTTCTCCTCATTTCCAGCGTTTGTAGGCGTATTTCGCCTCAGGCAACAAAAAAATCGTCACGAAAAAAGTTTCAAACCCCAACGCCAGAGGTGTTATCAGCTGCGGACTTTCGTTTTTCCGCCACTGAAACTTTTTTCAAACCATTTTTCTCGGCTGCTCTCTCCACTTTTCGCACTCTCTCGTTTCGCGAACGGAGTTTCGGTCATTTCGCGTAAGATGATGCGACGTTGCGCAATGTCCAGTAGGGGTTCCATGGAAAAAGTGAGAGGAATGCCTCGGGCAATGGGTGGAAAAGGTGAGCGAGGAAAGTGAGAACAGGTTGGAGGGTATTTAAGACAAGTTTATTGGATGTACACTGGTCATAGGTGGATGAAGCTGGTGGTCAAAGGTGTGGCTGGGTAGCAGAGATGATAGAGAATGTTCTGTGGTGTATTTAAACTCCTTATTTTATCACTAGATTACTGTATTTTCAATTTTTCTAAAGATTCTGGTTTTAGATGACATGAATAATATTTTTGGTATAACGTTTTCATCTTCTGCGATAAAACCATCTTTTTTTGTTGGAATGACCCTTAGGCTATTATCTCAAAAGCTTGCTGATATTATCTGCGATCGCTTTTAATGAACCAAAGTATGGTTCTTTTTTCAAAGATTTCCTCATTTTGATGTCATGGATAAGATCGAGGTGTATCTCATCAGAGTCTATCGTTGTCAAAAAAATTTTGATGGTAAAATACGTGGCAGTTAAAACAGATTTTGCTGTTTTCACATGAGCAAAGAAAGTTACAACAGTTTCAAGTAATGCAATTTTTTAAAATTTTGATCACAAAATTAAACTAATTCTTTTACATCTAACACCGGACTACTATACATCGAGTGTATCTTCAAATTAAAGCCAATTTACCTCACTTTTACCGCAACATCAATTCCAGATATGGGCGCGTCCTCGCAGTCCGTGGTGGTCGCCACATCGGCCGGCAGCGCCATTTTTATCTTCGCCACAATTCTGGCCGTCGGCTACATTTACAACGACATCAACAGTCTACACTCTGAGATTATGGAAGACCTCACCGACTTCAAGATCATGGTGGACGACGCTTGGACTGGCATGTTGAATGTGCCGGAGGGGAAGCCCGCGAACCTGAACTCCTGGCTCCGACAAATCGGGCATCGCGAGAAGCGCGCGGCCCAGTGCGAATGCCAAAACCGCAACAACCGCTGCCCTCCGGGCCCCATTGGCGCTCCCGGACAAAAGGGAAAGGCGGGCGAGCCCGGTCCTCGGGGCGACAATGGACGGCCGGGAGCGCCGGGAATCGCGTTGGTCGGCAATTTCCCGCGAAGAGCCGGTTGTATTCAATGCCCTCCGGGTCCACCTGGATTGCCTGGAAAAGAGGGACCGGCTGGCCCGAAAGGCGAAGATGGATTGCCCGGATTTGATGGAAGACCGGGACAGGATGCGTATCCGGGAGTTCAAGGAGCTCCGGGAGACGCGGGACCACCCGGATTGCCCGGAACTTTGGGCCGGCCAGGCCACGATGGAAGAGATGGAAGGAAAGTCGCGCCAATTCAGGGAGTCAAGGGACCTCCAGGTAAGAATTTTCGATAGAAAAACTTTCTTTTTTTTAATTTTGATGAAATTTGGGGTAAATTTCGAACAGGACTTTCTAACAGGCAGCTAAGTTCGACTCTCGGATTTTCTTTAAACTTGGCACATATGTTGGACATAGGCCACGTATCAAGTTCTGAAAGTCTTAGCTCGCCTTTTACAGGCGCCGCCGAGATATTGAACGGTATTTGCTGACGAGAGAGTACGCGAAATGCGGAGAGCGGTCAGAGAGAAGCTCACTCTGTTTTGGCTATAACTCTGTCAATTTCCGGTGGAAAAAATTTATTTTTTGTGGAAAGATAACACTATACGGTAGAAACCAGTATAAAATTTTTTACTCCAAAATTTGCGGAAAAGTTAGCGTTTTGGCTCCATTTTTGATCTAAAAAATCTCAGTTGTTTCAGCAAAGCGCGAGCTTAGATTCTCGCAAATATTTTTTAAAAACTGTATTCTAAATTTGTGCCAAGTTTCATCAAAATCTAAGAGTCGTACTTGGGGTACTAAATTTTAAAAAAAGCCAAAAAAAAACAAATTTTTTTAATTTCTAAAAAATCTCTTCCAGGACCTCCCGGTCACCCCGGCGAAGAAGGAGAGCCCGGAGAAATCCCCGAACCCGGTCCACCCGGCCCACAAGGCCCTCCAGGCCGCGCCGGCTCTCGCGGTCGCGACGGAAAACCGGGCGAAAACGGCGCCGACGGCCTCGCCGGAAAGCCCGGCAAAGACGCCGCGTATTGCCAGTGTCCGAAGCGCGGGAACGCCGAGGAAAAAGAGAGGCCCGAATCGAACGCCGAATTCGGCGATGCGACCAAAATCGCGGCCGGCAAATCGGAGAAGCCGGCCGCCGAGGATTCGCATGAAGATGAAGTGTGGCCGCATACTCATGCCTATGATGCAGAAGTGCCCACAGTAGCGCCAGTTGTGGCGTCGAGCAGTGCGGCGCCGGCGCCCGAGTTCCCAACACCCACCTCGAATGGGTACAGGAGAAAGAAGAAGATCAGAATATAAAGTGGAGGGAGTAATAAGGAAATATTAGATGATAAATTGGTAGAGATTTAGATTGGAAGTAGTGAATTTACTGTAATAGATATAATAGATGTAATAAATAAACAGGATGTGAATTGATTTTTTTTATTTTTTCTGACTTTTTATCAGTCTGTCGGGAAAATAATGAGCGCTCTGTCGCATCGAAAATCGCATCGCCACCGAGAAAATGAATTGTGTCGCGACAAAATCAATTTTTTCACTTCTGAAACGCGACTGGCGCAGTTCATTATTTTCCCGACAGACCGAGAAATGAAAAAAATGCACTGTGCAAAATTTCCATTTTTTATTAAATTGCTCTGTGCAGTCAAGTGAAAAAAATCAAAAAATTTGCAGATGTCGTCAAAAATACTTATTTTTTAATTTTTGCACAGTGCATTCATAAAATATTTGGCCGAAATTTGTGAACAAAAAACAAAAAGTTTGCGCACTGTGCATCCTCAAAATTTTTCAAAAAAACCTGCACAGTGCAGTCCAAAAATTAAAAGAGAAATCGCACAGTGCGTCAAAAAAACTAAATTTTTGCACAGTGCATTATCAAAAAATTTTTTTTAAATCCGCACAGTGCAGTGAAAAAATCTAGTCCGTCCGGAAAGTCGCTGGATCGAAATCGGCGTCACGCACTGCGCAAAAACGAAAGTTTTCTTTGCACTGTGAAATTTCTTCCTTTTTGCACCGTGCAATAGACTTTTTTCGGCTGTCGCTCGCACTCCGACTTTTTTCGCACAGTGCAAACGCCAAAAATCAGTCCGGCGACTTTCCGGAAGGACTAGTAATCGCACAGTGCGCCAAAATTATATAAGTTTTTTATTTTTCTGCACTGTGCATTCTCAAAAAATTTTTTTTATGATGCACGGTGCAAACGAAATTTTTTTATTTTCTTGCGGCACTGTGCAATGCACTTATTGTTTTTGCACAGTGCAGATCTCAAATTAATTTTTCAGCAGACATAAAAAATGTACCCCGTATTTTACATTATTCATAGTTGCAAAAACACTTGTTTTTCAATATTTATTACTCTAGACACACTGTAACATTGTATTCAGGTATACTGTAAATTTTAGAAAAACTTTTCGTACATAAATTCAAATTCAAATTTATAGTGCTGAGATGTCACAATTACGCTGAAGATCTTCTCACAACATTTCTATTATCGTATTTCCCTTCATAACGCTTCCAGCGGGACATCTCGATGCGGTCCGCTGATTTGACTGCGATTTTCATGGCTCGATCTCCGAGAGCCCCTCGAAATCGTCCGTGTCTGACTCTTCTCACTTCCCTCGCTTGCATGACCATGTTCACTGTGCGGTTCATTCTCACTGATCTCACTGACATGACCATGCTCACTGTGCGGCTCATCGTCGCTGATGTCGGAGATGGCATCGTTTTCCGTATCCGCTTCATGTTCATGATGGCCCCGATGACTCTGCTGGCTATTGTGATGACTATGCCGACTGCTATGATGACTCGGACTGTTCGGTCTTTCGCTATGATGACTTGCGCTTCTCTCCGACCTCTCGGATCGTGCCGAACTCTTGCGACTTTCCGCACTATGCGCTCTCTCCGAATTATGCCCGTCCGCACTGTGCGGCGGGGAAATTCGATCCGAAGCATCTTTTTCGTGCTCGCTGTGGTCATGATGTGACACCACGGAGTGTCGCCGAGGACTACTGTGATGACTGCTATGGTCAGGACTGTGATGAGCGCTATGGTCGGGATTGTGATGAGATCTCGTCGAACTGGCGCTGGTTCGACGAGATCTCGAGGAATGTCGCGAAACCGGCCGTTCCACCGCCGGAATTGGCGCAGCAACTATTGGGGGCTCGTTGTTATTGTTCTCTTTGACTTCTTCTGAAAAATCATCGTTTTTTTAGACGAAAAATGGGGAATTTCGAAATTTTTGGAATATGCACGGTGCAGAAATTAAAAGTGAAAATTCAAGATGAAAATCTAGGAAAATCCCTAAGCCCTAGCTGTTTATCTTACTAATTGTTAAACACTTGTCATTATGTAAAATATTTACCATTAAAATCCGTACGTATTATGTAATTAAGAAAAAAATCGGTTGCACAGTGCGAAATTAAAAATTTTGGAATTTCGCACTGTGCAATGGAGAAAAATTTCAATAATGGTTCTTAAGCTGTACTACTATTAATAAAACTATAGATTACTATAAATTTTTTTTCTAAGTCACTTCAAAGTTGATAAATTCACCTTAATTTTGGGCTGCACAGTGCAAAATTAAAAATTTCGGAATTTCGCACTGTGTAAAGGAGAAAAACTTCAAAATTGTTTTTAAATCTGCACTTACATTAGCAGCATTATAGATTACCATAAATTTTTTTTCTAAGTCACTTCTAAGTTGATAAATTTACCTCAACTTTGAGCTGCACAGTGCAAAATTAAAAATCTGTGTATTTCGCACTGTGCAAAGGAGAAAAATTTCAATTTTTTTCCGATATGTGCTTGCATTAGCAGCATTGTAGATTACCATAAATTTTTTTCTAAGTCACTTCTAACTAGGGAAGTGTACAAACGAACCCTCACCAAATGATAAGTGACATACGTCATTGAAGAGCCCTTGAAAAATGGTAGAAGACACCATTTTCATTTTTTGCAGAATGACTTTCCGCGACAACATACTGTAAATTATATTATTTTTAGGTCATTCTGCAACAAAAATCTTTCTTTCTCTTGGGCAGGAAAAAATCCTCGGGCAGGGTTGCTTCAATAGTGCAGTGGTTGCCGAGCAGGCTGATAAGCCAAAGCAAGCCGGGTTCGGTTCCCAGCTTGGGCAAAATCATTTTTGCGTTCTTACAGTTAGGTAAATATTTGCGTTAAACTTTTACAAACGTTTTAATTTTTCTGGGAGACGATCGATTACGGTAAAAACCATCAAATTTACATGTTTTTCAAGATTAAAAAAAGTGAAAAGTGTTTTTTCACCTTATGGGTATTTAAAACCAGTAAATATCATATGTAAAATGGTTTTATTGGCAAGCGCCAGACTTCATAATGATTCTTAGGCCAACCTAATGGTAATACGTACCATTTAGCGTTTTGAAATAACATTTATTTTGCCTAATAGAAGATATTGTAACTACTTAAGGGACAAATCAACCGTTTATAATTTTTTGCCCTGAGGCATTCTGCAAAAAATGAAAATGGTACCTTTCACCATTTTTCAAGGGCTTTCCAATGGTGTATAACACTTGCCATTTGGTGAGGGTTCGTTTGTACACTTCCCTAGTAAGTTGATAAATTTACCAAAATTTTGGGCTGCACAGTGCGAAATTAAAAATTTGGGTATTTCGCACTGTGCAACGAAGAAAAATGTTACCACACTATTTAAAACTCTGCTATCACTTGTAATACTGCTGCTTATTAAACTTTTTCATTTTTAAATTTCATTTCTGAACCATAATTAGCAAAAATTTTTGTTGCACAGTGCAAAATTTCCAAAATTTTTTTTTCTCAAAATATGATGTCTCTTACCCTTTGGCTCCTCTTTTTTGACCTTTTTCACCTTCTTCACGACCTTCTTTTTCTTCTTCGGAGTCTCGGTTGGCTTGGCGTCGGCGGCTTTTTTACTAAAAACAAAAGTTTCACAAAAAAAATTATTTTTCTTACTGTAACTTTTTCTGCTTCCCTTCCACACTAATTTCCGTCTCCTTGGTTTTTGGTCGGGGTTTTCGTTCCAGCGGCTTCCTGGTCGTGAGGCTGCGGCTCCGTTTCTCCGGAGACTTGCGGCCCTCGCCCACCGTGGAAACACTTTGGACTGTAACGTCGCGGGAAGTCGATTTCAGCTCGCTGGTGGAGCGAGATAAACGTCCAGGGAGGCTGGACTTGGAGGATCTGAAAAAAGTGAATTTTTTTGACTCAAAAGGAAAGTACTTTTATGGGGGCTCCTACTTTTTGACGGGACATATCTCAAAAAATCAGAAAAAATGTCCTGATCAAGAATATATAAATCTTAGCTGCCCATTCTAGGTTTTTATGTGTGGAAATGCCCAAAAACTGGCTTAATTTCCCTACAAAAAGCGCAGGCATTCGAAACGATAAAAAGCGCAGTCGGTCTCTTCTTTCGGAAGAGAGTGGTGTGGCCGAGTGGTTAGTGCCGTAGTCTGGGATTCAAGAGGGAGGACGCCGCACGGGTTCGATATACCTTTTGGGCTGAATCAACTTTTTTTGAATTTGAAGGTCGGAAAAATAAATTTTTGGGCCAAGACTGATTTATTACGTCTTAGAAACTCAATAATCATCATTTTAAGCCAAAATAAAAATTGTAAACCTGTGAAAAATTAAGCGAAAAGGAATTCATATAGGACTTTAAGTCAACTTCCGATCGAGTTTTCACCCCTAAAAACCTAAAATGGGCAGCTAAGATCTATGTATCCTTGATCAGCACATTTTTTCTGATTTTTTGTGTCCCGTCAAAAAGTAGGAGCTCCCATAAAAGTACTTTCCTTGTTAAAAAGAAAATGCTTTTTGCACAGTGCAGAAACAGAAATGTTTGATTTTTTTTAATTTCGCACTGTGCACAAAAATTTATTTTTTTGCAGCGCAAAATAAAAAAAAATTAATTTTATTAAGGTAGTGAAAAAATAAAGCTTGTTGCACTGTGCAAAGCAAAATAAAAAAAAAATGTTTTTGCACAGTGCAAGCCGAAATCAAAATTTTTTTATTATTCCAGGGTGCATTTCAAAATTTTCGAAAAACAATGTTGCGTAATGCAATTCGTTATTTTTTCTTTACACAGTGCATAAAAAATGTGTTCCAATGAAATCCAAAAAAAAAATATTTTTTCTGCACTGTGCAAAAATAAAATTATTTTTTATCGAGCGCACTGTGCAATTAAAATTTTTTTTCGGAACGCACAGTGCGGTCAAATTATATACTCATTTTTGCACTGTGCGCGAAAAATAAATTTTTTATCGCACTGTGCGCTTCAAAAAAAATAATTTTATTTTTGCACAGTGCAGAAAAAATATTTTTTTTTTTGATTGCACTGTGCAGTTTACCAAAAAAAATTTTATTTGCACTGTGCAAAGCAAAAAAAATTAATTTAATTTTCAGGCAAAAATTGATAAAATTAAATTCGAAGTTTTTTGCACTGTGCAAAAAAAATTTTATTATTGCACCGTGCAAGCTTTAAAATGACGGAAAAATATGAAATTAGCACTGTGCAAAGCAAAAAAAATTAAAATATTTGAAAAAATCAAATTCAAGGTTTATCGCGCTATGCAAAAAAAAAATCATTTTTTAAATTTGAAATTAGCACTGTGCAAAGCAAAAAAAATTTAAAATATAATTGAAAAAATTAAATTCAAAATTTATCGCGCTATGCAAAAAAAATCATTTTTTAAATTTGAAATTAGCACTGTGTAAAGCAAAAAAAAAATTAAAATGATTGAAAAAATTAAATTCAAGATTTGTCGCACTGTGCAAAAAAAAATCATTTTCGTTCCTACCTCGAGGCCAGACTCATTCCAGAATACTCTTTTCTCGGCAACCTCGCACTCTGCTCATTGCGATAGGCTTGGCCATACGGAAGGGCCAAGAACCCGCCCGAGCTCGCAACATATTCTTTATTATTCTCCAGCTCCTGCGTCGTCCTCACCGGCACTCCATTTAGGGTGTACAATCGCTTGGCGCCGCCCACCAATCCGACTCGCTCGGAGATCGCATCCAACAGCGCGTTGATGTCGTGAATATGGCGGATGTTGAGGACAATGACGATGCCTTTGTGATAGCGATCCCCGTTCCGATAGACGCGGATGCGTTTGGCGACAGTGGGCGTGGTCGTGGTGGGATGGGGAGCGGCCGAACGCTTGCTGTTCGCCGTTCCGTTGTGCGATCGCTGGGCGGGCGAACGACTTTTGGTCTTTCGACGCGATTTCTTAGGGGATTCTGGCATCCTGAAAAAATTTTTGGGGTATTTTAGAAATGGAAAATTTTGCATGGTGCAAAATTCAAAAAATCGCAAAAATAATAGAAAAAAGAAAAATTAAAGGTAAAATACGTCTTGAAGAGCATTCGATAAAAAAACAGCCCTCTTTTTTACCTTTTATTCCACTTTTTGCGGTATCTGGCAGGTCATAAATTAAAAAAAAACTTTTTTTGATTTTCCCTGTGCAAAAAGCAAGAAATTGCACAATGCAACGAAAACTTATGTTTTCGAACAGTGCGTGTCGAAGATTTCAGTCCGGCAACTTTTCGGAAGGGGTAGTAACAGGCTTTGTAAAGAAATTTGTCGAAAAAATCATCGCTCGGTGCAAAAAATCAAAAAATTTCAAAAAATCTCAAATATCGATTTTCATTTATTTTTGACTCCTCAGCCCATAGATACTATTTTTTCGACAAAACTAATTGAAAAACTAAGCTCTATCTTTCCAGAAAATTGCCTTTCTTACTGAAAAATCATCATTTTTGCCTTGAATCAGCCCTTTTCGCCGAATATTTGCTGAATATCTCAGCAGCGCCCATAAATAACGTGCTAAAATTTTCACTAAGTAATATGTAGGCCATATAGAGCGTATGGCTAAAATTTTTTAAAAATCACACCTTTTTGCCCCAGGAAATTTGCGGGTTTTCCTCCGAAAAATCATCATTTTTCCCCTCCAATTCCAATATTTCCCCGATTTACTCTCACCAACTGCCCAAACCTTCATTATCACAACTATAACAACGAAACCATTGACTAGAAAACACCTTCCCACCATTTAGACAAATTATTTTCGATTATTTTTGGGGGGAAAAGAGGGAACGGCCCAACGGCCCAAACTCCTCGTTACCAGGCAAAGTATCATGTGGAAATGGAAACGGAAGAGTTGTCGAGTAAACATCAGCGTGTGCAAAAACACTTTGCTCTACTCTTCAAGTGCATATTTTCACGTTTTCGGTGCATAAACGAGAGATTTTATGAATCAGGTGCTCGGGGGTGTTATGGGTAAAAAAGAGGGGGATGGCAGGGGAATTACTCGGTAAAATGTAGTATGAAAAGAGGGTAAGTACTTTTGATGTGACGTAGAATGCTTTTTAGGGGGGTGTAACCTTGTTTTATCATCAATTTAGCAATTTTTTGATTAAATTCAGATTTTTAATGGATTTTCGGCTAAAAATCTCGTTTTTCGGCTAAAATTTGAAAAGATTATGTGAAATAAAAAGCTACAAAGCAAGATCAATTATTGTAAAGTATTTTTCACAACATTTTACATTTAATCTCAGCAATTTTTTCAACGAAATTTCGATTTTTAACGGATTTTCGACAAAAGATCTCCTTTTTCGGTTAAAAGTTGCAAAAATTATGGGGAATATAAAACCACAAAGCAAGTTAACTTATTGTAGAGTAATTTTCACAGCATTTTAAAGTTAATTTTGCCGATTTTTTGAATGAAATTTTTGATTTTTAGACAATGATACAAAAATAAAAAATCCCTTGTACAGAAAAGCCATTCTATAAAACGCACATCTCCTTCTCAAAAAGCCACAAGAAAAGTGGGATTAAAGCGAAAGGTAAGAGTATTTTTACCTTTTTCCTTCCCCCTCTACTCCCATAACAATCCCGATAATGGCCATGGGCTCATTTTTGGCCAATACATCGAGCGGGCAAAACACTTTCAACTCGTTTTTACTGTTGTTATGAGCAAAATAATACAGTCGATAAATTAAGGGAAATTTTAAAAATTTGAATAAATTTTGAAAATTTGAATAAATTTGGAAAATTTGAATAAATTTTGAAAATTTGCATAAATTTTGAAAATTTGAATAATTTTTGAAAATTTGAATAAATTTTGAAAATTTGAATAAATTCTGAAAATTTGAATAATTTTGAAAATTTGAATAAATTTTGAAAATTTGAATAAACTTTGAAAATTTGAATAAATTTTGAAAATTTTAATAATTTTGAAAATTTGAATAAATTTTGAAAATTTGAATAAACTTTGAAAATTTGAATAAATTTTGAAAATTTGAATAAATTTTGTAAATTTGAATAAATTAAGCAAAAAATTTTGATTTTTGATTTCTCCGAAATTTGATAACGATATGCGTATTTTACAATTTTTATAGCCCGAAAATGCCCAAAATTAATGAAAAAATTGTATATCCCACCACGAAAGCCCTGAAGATCAGGGAAGATTGATAAAAACCATCCAAACGCCCCAAATGGATTGGATTTGAAATTTTTTGGCCGCCAAATTTAATCATGACTTCTTTGCAAGCTCACCACAGTAATTTCTTTTATCTAATATTGGCACTTGGTATGCTCGATTTTACTTTGACAATTCTATTCTATCAGTGCTTGCAATGAAAAAAATTCGAAATAAAAATAAGAAAAAGTGTTGAAAAATTGTTTTAGATGAGGTAAAATACGTCGTATTTAAATGTCAAAGGTTTTGGCCCGCTCAGAGAGCATGGAACTCCGAAGAAATCCAAATTGTTTTGACTTGAAAAAAATATCAAATTTGGGGAAATTTTGACGTACAAACGAGCGGGAATAATTTTACAAGGGAAGTACACCAAGTGCGACACTCAGATTTTGATGACTTTTGGCATGAATAGTTTTGCACTTATTTCTACCGTAGAGAGTAATGTTTCTGTAAAAAATAATCTGTTTCTGCGCGAAACTGGCCAAGATACGGGCAAAAAGTGTTTCTCTCTTACCGATCTCCGCATTTATCGTACTCTCTCGCCAAAAACGATGTTTCGATATCTCGGCTGCGCCTGCAAATCGCAAGTTAAAATTTTCAGGAATTTATATTAGGCCTATGCCTGACATGTGTGCAAAGTTCCAAGTAAATCTGACCGTCGCACTTGGGGTATGTTAATTTATTTTTTGTCGGCACTTCCGGACCAAAAGTCTATTTGGTAATCTTCCCCCACCAAAAACAAGTCCCGAAAATATTCGTACAAACTGACAAAACTCCAAAAAGTTCCATCTTCAAGCAAAAAACAGAGGGAGGGCCGAAGACTTGTCGGTTTCGGCCATGAAACCATGACGATGAAAACAATGGGAGAAATAACCATTATGAGGAAACATGTAAAGTCTCCCCATAAAAACCAGGATGTCGTTATTGGTAGCACTGGGATTTTTCTTGCAATTTATGAACATTATATTTACATTGAAGGGAGATGGGGCGAAATTACAAATTTGATCGTAACTCAAGGCAGAACTCTCCGATTTGGGCGAAATTTGGCACAAATTTTCTATCTAGCACATGTTCTAATTCCTCAAAATTTCAGCAAACATTGTACAAGGAGAGCCGAGATATTCAACCATTTTTTTGCAGAGAGAGAGAGAGAGTACGGAAAATGAGGAAACGGTCAGAGAAAAATTTTCGTTTTTTTGGCTGTGTCTAAGCGGATTTCGCATTGCAAAAATCTTTTTTTAAAATTTTACATGAAAATCATTGATTTTTTTGTGTAAAAAAATACTAAAAAAATTTTTGATCTAAAACTTTGTTCAATTACGAAAATTATCAACATTTGTGCCAACTTTTATATATATATATATATATATTTTGCACCTCAAAAATACTAGTCCTTGCGGAAAGTCGCCGGGCGGAAATCGGCGACGCAGTGTGAGAAAACAAAATTTATTTATCTTTGCACTGTGCAATTTCTTGCTTTTCGCACCGTTCAGCAGGCTTTTTCCGAATGTCGCCCATACCCTTTTTTTCGCAGAGTGCAGACGCCAAAAATCAGTCCGGCGACTTTCCGGAAGGACTAGAAGTTGGGAAAAATTAGAAAAATATTGAAAAGGACTCAAAAATCAAAAAAATGTAGGAAAAAATTTGAAAGAACTTTTTCCCCAAAAATAGTGACATCCAACAGTGCAGTTCGTCGTTAATTTTTCTCTCAAAGAAGCTCAAAAAAATTGTCATTATTTTCAGCTAAAGTCCAAAAAAGTAGTTTTTAGACATTATTCAACCTTCCCTTTCTGTTACTAAATACCAATTTACTTGGTAAATTCTCTTTCTCTACCTAAAACCAGCAATTATTTACCTTCGACCCATTTTTTTCAAAGTAATCATTATTTCTCGGCCAAAAACTAATAAAATTTTTGCTATTTAACAATCCCAAAATTAACAAGACCTGATCAAATGCCCTCAAAATTATTTGTCATCAATTTATTTTCCAATTTTTGTACAGTAATCGACGCTATAACCAAGAAATACTCGTTTGAATATGTACAAAGGAACACTTGACCCGTCGTGAATCTCGTTGTATCACAGGTAGTAAAAGTAATCAAACAGTAGCATAGGGGGTGTAGAACTAGTAAAACGAAGGTGGGACTGATTGGGAGACGGACGCGGCCGATGGCGGCCGAACTTCTTCAGTGGCGAAATTGGTGTTCTGAAAGGGAAAATTATTAGTAATTTGTATTTTTTGCGGGTAGGAATTGTCAATTACAGCATACCTATACATATATATAAAGTCTTTTATGGAAAAAAACAAATAATTAAGCCAAAAAATTTTACTGGAATTTTTTAAAATCTCTAAAAACGGCTTTCTTTTTACCTGAAAAATTACAAATATTGTGCCTAGATCCATAAACTATCAGTATACACCGGAGAAACCCATTTTCATAGGCCAAAAAATCACAAAAATTTCGAAACAAGCAGAAAAATAGAAATTGGATGATCAAAAAATACCTCCAAAGAAAAAGACGTATTTTAAAACATATTTCGGATATCCCTCCAGCTTTCGCTCCGCAAAAAACGGCAAAAAAAATTCAAAAAAAAATCTTGGCATAGTGTTGCAACCGGTCAAAAACGCGGGATATTTTAGAAAAATCTGACCGAAATGGGTTGAAAAAACACGGTAAAGTCTCAAATTTTCATGAATGACAAAAAAATTTGAATTTCCCGCCAAAATTCAAAATCTTGGCATAACGTTTCAAACGGTAAAAAATTTGAAAGAACGTAAAAGTCCAAATTAAAAATCATCAAAAACATTTTTTCAATCCGTAAAATTTTGCATGGTATCTTTTACTGGCCTCTTCATTATCTACACCTCACCTATCACCCTATTTGTCTTCCAAAACTTACATCAAAAGCGGCGCCTTCCAGCCTCTGAGCTTGGGAATTAAATCTCCTCAATTCCGCCTTAATCATCAACGTCAGGCCCATGCCAATCAACAAAAACGCAGAGAGCATCACGTTGCACCAGAACACATCAATATGCCGGATCACTTGGCCCATTCCGATGATCATTCCGATCCCAAAAAGTTGGGCGAAGAGATTCAGAAGCCCGGAAGTTGTGCCTTCTGAGGCCGGATACGTCAATTCCGCGCCGAATTCGAAGCCCACCGGCAAGTAGCCGGTCATGAAGAAGCCGAGGAAGGTCGCTGTGAGGAACGTGATCCAGAGATCGAGGTGGATTGTGAAGGTGAAAGCGAGCATTCCAACTGCCGATAATAGGTAAACAATTACTGTTGTGAGCCTGAAAGATGTTAAAAATTAATAAAGATTTTCTAAAATTGTAAGTCAAGTCCATTTTCGGTCAATTCGAACCTTTTCGGAGACCTTCCCTGATCCTCAGGGCTTTCGTGGTGGGACCCAAAAAAACTATTTCCAAAAATTTTGAGCTGTAAAAATTGTAAAATACGTTGCACAATTTTTTAATGAGCTATTAAAAACCAAAAAATAAAAAAATATGGTCAAGAAACGTTAAATTTTATGATTTATGGATAAAAAGGTGTAACACAAAAAACGCAAAACTTAATGAGAATACTAACTCAAAAAGTAGACAAAAATATTTTTTAGGCTCCAAATTAGTTTATCCAATCATATTTATGAATTTGGAAACTTTTGGCAGACTCTCCCTGATTCTCAGGGTTTTCGTGGCGGGGCCCAAAACCCGTCGGTTTAGCTGATTTTGAGTGGTGAAATTTGTAAAATACGATTCATTGAGTCCTCAAATAAATAGAAAATAAAATTTATGGACAAAAAACGTCAAATTTTATGCGTTCCCCAAAAAAATATGGATAAAAAACGTAAGCTGAAAAACCTCAAATTTTTTTTGAAAACTCACTTGAATTTGTGAAATTTGTCCAACAAGTAGCCACAAATCACCGAGCCGGCCATTCCACCCACCACCATCAGCAACCCGATCGTTCCCGTCTCCGTACTTGCACCCTTATGATACCGGGAGATCATCTGACTCAACAGGGTGGAGATGACGTAAAACACCCCCACATTGATGCCATATGCAAGTAGAAGTAAGATAAAGCTGCAATGTTTGCAAAGCGCCTTCATGTCGACCAAATAGCCCGAGGGTTCGTCGGTGGTTGTGGTGCGAAGTTGAGCGTAACTTGGAGCACTTGGAGGCTTGTTTTTGAAGACTAAAATTGATTTTAAGAGTATATATGAGGTGTCTAAAATTCTCTGATTCTTCCACAATTACTCTGGCTATCTTTTGAGACCAAAAACTACAGAGTTTTCCCTCGAAAAATCAAAAAAATGTCAAAAAACAAAAAAAATCAAAAACTTCTCAAAATTCGCTAAAAATTTCCCTCAAGAACTTACAAAAGATAATCATAAGGAAGATTATGGTATTTGCCACCGCTGACACCATAAAAAGCACGTTCAAATCCCGTCCAACCGCCTCTTTCGACCCATTCTGCACCAACCATGGGGGCAAAATGAACCCAATCGCGATTCCCAGTTGATTCCCAAAAACTCCGGCGGCGCAAGCAGTGGAAACCTCGTTGTGACCAAACCAGGTAGCCGCTAGATGACTTGGAATCCCAAGGATAAAGGTTTGAGAGGCTCCATCGATGGTTTGCGCGAGAAAGGTCAGCCAAAAGTGAGATGGGTCAACGGACAAGATTTTGAGCCATGACCCGAGGCAATTGCCGAATGCGGCGAGTAGGACTGACTTTCGGAGGCCGAATCGGTCTAAGAACCAGCTGAAAATGATACATATAGCATACAATTGAATTTAGAATTGGATAGCTTTGATCGTATAAAATGTCACTTTGCCAAAAATCAATTAGGAATTGAACTTTTTGGGTTCCAGAGATCCCTGGGCTACGTTTCTCACTAAGAAATCATATTTTTTTATTGCCGGATGGTAAATTTTTACTTCAGACACCTTTAATCGTATAAAATGTCACTTTGCCAAAAATCGTCAAGTAATTTTATTTTTTTTTGTTCTGAAAGCTCTTAGCGGGCCTAGGATAGCAAAAAATAACAAATTTTCCATCTTACCCTAAGGGCAAAACCTCTCCCAAGCATCTTTCGTCGTATAAAATGTCCCCAAACCCCTCAAGCCTTACCTGCCAGGGAAAATCAAGATGGCATATGTTAGCATGTAGATCATGCTTGTCCAATCCACCCAATTATACGAAACTCCCCAGTAATCGACGACTGTCTCGGCAATAATACTGTATTCGATCCATTGAAGGGAGTTCGAAGCCGATAAGAATATAAATAACGCCAAAATAAGGAATCTTCTCGGGTATAGTCGAATTTCAGGTTGTGTGGAAGCAGTGATCGTTGTGGAGACCGATTCTCGAGGGACCTGCAGATGGTTCGGACTAGCCATTTTCGGCTGGTCAATGTAAACGGACTGCTTCGGAGGCGGAATTTTGACTGGAATTAGTTATAAAAATCTGAAAAAAACATCCTGTGAAACGAAAAAGTAAACTTGCTTGATTTCAGATAAAATCAGCAAAAAATCTGAGCTTCCCGCGGAAAATTGAATCTTGGCATAGTGTTGCAACCAGTCAAAAATGGGCGACATTGTGGAAAAATTTAAACAAAATGGGTTGAAAAAAGAAGGAAAAATCTCAAATTCTCATGGATGACAAAAAATTTGAATTTCCCGCCAAAATTCGAAATCTTGGCGTAACGTTTCAAATGGTAAAAAATTTGAAAAAAAAGTAAAAAATCAAAAAAATATTAAAAATCTTTTTATAAAAGATCAACTTTTTTCAAATTCAAGAAAAAATTTCGAATTTGCCGTCAAAATTCAAAATCTTGGCATAGTGTTGCAAGAGCTTAAAAATCCGGGAAATTACCAAAAAAGTCAAAAATAAAAAAAAATTTCGCACATGCTAATCTCTAAAAATCAATTTGTAGGTCATAAACAAGACGAAAAATAAAGAGAAACAAGCCCCCGATATTCGCAGAAGCTTCTCGTAAATTTACGAGGAAACGAAAAATAGGATTGGGAGAGCGATAGCGAAAAGCGGACCGTGGTCAGTCTGTGACCAATCGAACGCAGAGGAAGGGGAATAATTTCTCACGTGATCAGACTTTTGCGGTTTTGGAAAAAATAAAAAAAAATGCTTTTCGCACAGTGCACATATGTAAAATACGGAGTGTTTTTCTTACTGTAGTCACTCAATGAAACTTGACAAAAACTGAGAAACAATATTTTTAGAGATTTCTTAAAATTTTTGGATCGCATTTGTCGAAAAATTCGGGATTTTTAGCTCGAAAATTCTAAAAATTCAAAAAAAAAAAAATTACTCCGATTTTTTTCAAATTTCTATAAAAAAGATCTAGATAGCCCCCATATCAATCCCTGTGAATTTTAGCTCGCTAATTGTAGATCTGACTCAGATATTCAACAATCTTTTTTCGAGAGAGTACGCAAAATGAGGAGAGACGGTCAGAGAAAAAACTCGTTTTTAGCTGTATCTCCGTAAATTTTTAAGGTAAAAAATTGATTTTTTGAAGAAATTGTTTACTCCCCGCTCTGAACAAACCTTGAAATTTTGAAATCAAAAATCGCAAATTTTTTTTTTTTTTTTTATTTTTCCGGGTTTTCGGCAAAAAATCTCGCTGATTTACTGCATTTTGCGGTCAAAAAAGGCTTCTAAAAGGTCCTAAAAAATTTTAACAAAAATTTTGGCCAAGTTTCACTCATCAAATAGATATTCTCCAAATCGTATTTTACATTGCACTGTGCAAGATTTTTTTTGCAAAAAAGTTCAAAACATCTCCAAAAAATAATCGAATTCATACCTCCCGATGACTCAGATTGCCCGCAAAACCTTGCGGTTTATATAAAAAATACCCCGAGATCACACGCAGTAAAGGGAACGTGGTATTCGAATAACAAAAGCCCGCTTCCAATGTCAATAAAGTATAATAATCAAAACGGAAAACAGATTTCTCAACTGGAAATGGTATCAACACCCCGTACACCGAGTGCAGATCGAGGCAATTCGGATTTAGCGGCCCTTATTAGGCTTAATTGGGCTTAATTTCGGGGGAAACAAGCGATTTAGAGCATGGATAATATAAAAAGAGGAGAAAATGAATAAAAATGTGGGAGAATTTGATAGATTTTGAAAGTTTATGGCAGAATATGGTGTAAAATTAAAAAAAAGTAATGAATTCATTTTGAAAATTAAGAGAAGATATTAAAAAATCAAAATTTTGCATAAAAATTGATGAAAAATAGGTAACATTGTATCAAAAATGATAAAATTCAATAAAATAAAAAATGAAAATAGCAGAATACGTCAGAAAATTTACTATCACATAAAAGTTCAATTTGAAAAACGACTGAAAAGTCAAAAAAAATGAGAAAAATGCAAAAAATCGTGACTTTCCTCAAATTTTGATCAAGAAAGGCTATAAATTTAAAAATACGCAATGAAAAAATCAGTCTCTATGCACAGAATAGCCATGGTAAGCCCTGAAATTAAGTATCCTAACAAATTCAGCCAAAAAAATTCAGCAAAAAATACGAAAACTCTCAAATTTCACTCAAATTTTGACAAAAACTTGGCCAAATCCTTGAAAAAACTCTCCGAAACAAAGTGAAGCTGAGCTAATAATACATTCAATTTGCGATACATTTGTTCGAAAAAATAGAAAGACGTCAAAGGAGTAGTTGTATAAACAGATGAATGAGTTTACAACGATCGATTCGACGAAAAAGGGTGGGATTGTTTTTGTAAAGCAATTTTAATATAATTCTTCAACTAAGCTTTCTTAGAAACTATTAGAAAAGTTATGTGGGCGTTTGAGAAAGTATTAGGCTTATTTTTTACTCTTAACAAGCTTTCGTGGTGGGACCCATGCACATGAAAAATCTTAAGATTTTGAAAAAAAACATTTGGGGTCCCGGCACGAAGACATTTTTCAAAAAGTTTATAATAAAAACATAAACTTCAAATAATATTCGACCTATTTTGAGTGATTTTTTTGTTTTCGTTGCGAGACCCAAACAATTTTTTTGTTTTGGAAAAAACATTTGGGTCCCACCACGAAGACATTTTTCAAAAAGTTTATAATAAAAACATAAACTTCAAATAATATTCGGCCTGTTTTGAGTGATTTTTTTGTTTTCGTTGCGAGACCCAAACATTTTTTTGATTTTGGAAAAATCCTTGGGTCTCACAACGAAAACATGCCCGTAATTTTGTCAAAAAATCTCCTCGTAGAGCCTATTCTTTCTATTGCTTCTCCTTTCAATTATTTTCACTTCATTTTCAAACATTTTTTTTAATTTTTGGGTCCACCACGAAAACTTGATTTGCTTGAAAACCCCCAAAATCCGTTCCAAATTACCGCAAATGAGACAAATTTATCAACAAAAGAAGCTACAGGCCCCCGTAAAATTTGTAATAACTATAAAAACCCAAAGGAATTTTCGAAAAAAACCCCGTTATCAGTTATACAACCATTTTCCGTAATTTTTGCGGTCTTTTGTTCAAAAATTTGTAAGTTAAAAAGCATTAAGCCCGCAATCAACATAATATCGATATTTCGTGAACTTTTATCACGACTTTTCGGCCTCTTAATACAAATTTTGACCTAACATTATATTGCACTAGATAAAAATTTTATCAAAAATTGAAAATTTGGTAAGTATGTGGGAAAATTAATCAATGAAACATACTAAAAAGTGCTTATTTTACAATGGCATAGAGATTTTTTGCTTTAAAATTTCGATTTTTGATTGGAATATCAGAGAAAAGCCAATTTTTAGGTAAAATAATATAAAAACAGACGAAAAAAACCGAAAAATGAAATCCAAATCCCTCTAAAACATTGTGAAAAGCCAGAGGGAGAGGGGAAAAGCCGACAGCTACCTTTAAAAGTATTCTTTTCGGCTCTCCGATCGCTTTTTTCGATAAAAATGGGGGCTTCCTTCTCGGGAAGTTCCCCGTTCCAAAAAATACGGAAACATCTGCGAAAAAATAGGTTATAAAGGTATTACAAAACGTTATTTATGAAAGGATTTGCATACTGAAATATTGGGAAGTTCATTGTGGAATAATCCCAAAAAAAAAATTTTTGAAAAATTTTGAAATTTTGGGTATAAAAATTGAAATTTTCCGTTGAAATCGGCTAAAAATCGAGCTAAAAGAAAGCCCGGAGTAGTCCATCTTCTATTTACTGTCCTATCGAGCCATGCGACATCTATTTCGCATTGAATTCCCATGAAATTCCACGTTTTCTGTTATATTACACGTCCTCGTACCTGAAATCTGATATCTCCCGGAAATGTTGGACAAAAAAAATAACACATACTACAAGAAAACGCCTTCAGAAGTCGTGTCAAACCTCAAGATATTCGAATTGCATCAAAAATAGCAAAAAACACGCAAATTTTTTTTGAATTCCTAAATTTCGCGGGACTTTGGCAAAAATCAAAAAATCTTGGCATTCCGTTGCAAGTTGGTTTATCAGAAGAATTTGATGGAAAAGATAATTTCCCATCAATTTCGGTGTATTCTGCTCAAGGATTGGCGGTTTTTTGGGAGCAAAAGATTAAAGTTTAGGAGAAATGAACAAAATGAACTGGAAAAAATCGGCGTCCGTGATTTTGAGTGAGTTTTTCTTCATTATTCTTGTTAATTTAGGTGGAGAAGGTGATGGAACCCTTGATTATTCTTTATTTTTGCTGTAGAGGTCTTAGTTCATCGGAAAACACCGGGTTTTACCAATTTTTGAGGATTTTTTATATTGCACTAGGTAAATTGATGTGAACACAGCGAAAATCAACGATTTTTTGGGAAAAACTTATATGGAAAGCTGCTAAAGATCATGTTAGTGATATTTCGGATGCTTATCTTCAATATCCTCTGCAAAAAATGCGATTTTTTGAATATTTTATATTGTACTAGGTAGAAACTGATGTTTTTGCTAAAAAAATAGTTTTTCATCACAAACCTAATATTAGCTTTTAGTAAACAAATCTTTACGTCATATATTGATGATGAAACGTGGCCCCACCGCCAAATTCATGCCGAATTCGATGGTTTTCCCGGGCGGAATACTCGAAGATCCGTATGATCTCAAGTTCAACAAAAAGCTCACCAATTTTGCGGCAAGAACCGATGCGAACATCTCCGTGGAGGAGGATTTGGGGTTCCGGATATGTGCGTTGAGGGAATTGTTTGAGGAAGCCGGGATTTTGTTGAGGGAAAATGAGGTGGTCACCAATAAAGATGACCCCAAATTGGATGAATGGAGAACAAAGGTGGGTGAAGATCGATGTTTTTTGGACGTTTTTAGAGCTCTTCTTGCTATTCATAAGAAACAGAAACGGTTTTGACATTGTTCTTGATAGTTTTAGTTCAAGAGGAACACTTGACTCAACCCAGATTTTGAGTCAAGTTTTGCTCCGAAAACCTTGATTATTGGATTGTTTATGATGCGTTAACATTATTTATGACCTAGAATATTTATTTCCGAATAATTTCTTGTATTTTTTGGTATTCAAAAAAATTTGAGTCAAGTCTTTCCTTTTCAGGTTACAAAAGATCCACAACTTTTTTCACACCTTTTTACCCCGCAAAAACCCGCAAATGTGGCTACTCTCCAGCCCTACGCCCGTTGGTTAACCCCGAACGCGTATAAACGCCGATTTGACGCCGTATTTTACACAGTGCAATTGGAAGATTTCAATGAAAAAATCTATCATTGCGAAAAAGAAATGGCCGAATCGCTGTGGATATCGCCAGAGGATTGCATTCAAAAGACTGCTGTTGAAAGTAAGCGATTTTTGAGCAGTTCACTTGAGATTCAGAGATTTCGTGGTAGGACCCAAACATATTAAAATTGGGTGAAAATTGTCTATGTAGACTCTTAAATACTCTGAAAAGGAAATTTTTAACCTTTATTGGTTGTTTTCGACATTTCTACAGCCGAAGAAAGACTTGACCCAAATTTGAGTCAAGTCTTTCTCTCGCGATTTTTGATGGAATTCGATCAAAAATGATTACGGAATTGATTAAAATACGATTTCCAGAGTCTCTCAGTGTCCCTCCGCCACAATTCCGAACCATGATCAGCCTACAACAGCATGATATTACACTACCTTTCGACTCCACAACATATCCGGAAAGAGTATGCCCACAGATTGTGGAATGCACGGACGACCCCACAATACGATGTGGAATCATCCCACCTGATTCGGACTTTATTACGGACAACTCGGACTTTGTTGGCCTACGATATATGACCAAAAAGGAAATCGTCGAACCAGCCGGACCAAAAGTTTCGAGAATTGTCTATTTGACCGGCCCCATTATGTATACTGGACAACAGGTCTTGCAGAAGGGTCTAGAATAGTCGGTTTGGCCATGAAGGTCTTTTTTAGAACCATGTTTGCTCAAAAAGACGGGATTTTTATATTATCCATGACCTCTGATGTATGATATGTAAAATTGTGCAGAGATAAACAGATTTTATCAAGAGAAATGCGTTTTAAATCAATTACCGGAGCGTATAAAATGCGGATTTCAAGTTTTGGCGTTCTTTTGGGTTTCACCACGAAACCTTGATTTCTTGGCATTCTGTTCAAAGCAGTGCAATACCTTCAAAAATAATAAAGAAGTGTAAAAAAGCGTTATGGATTATTTCTAGCTCATTTTTTATCAGTTTGATACACCGACCGGTCGATTTTAAAAATTTTTTGATTGATGAAATATGTCTACTGTCAATTGGAAACGATCAGCATCTGTGGTATTAAGTAAGTTTTTACTGTCGTAATACTATTTTTTTGTAATTTTCTCATTGAAAACTGGATTTTGATTATTTTTGCGCACTATAAAACTTTGAAAACTTGGGTAAGGCCTACAATTTTTGATTGTATATTCCAGTAAATCAATCGCTCCGTCATATCCTGATGATGAAGCGTGGCCCCACCGCCAAATTCATGCCGAACTCGATGGTTTTCCCGGGCGGAATACTCGAAGATCCGTATGATCTCAAGTTCGACAAAAATCTCACGAATTTTTGCCCAGCAAAGGATGCAAACATCTCCGTGGAGGAGGATTTGGGATTTCGGATATGTGCGTTGAGGGAATTGTTTGAGGAAGCCGGGATTTTGTTGAGGGAAAATGAGGTGGTCACCAATAAAGATGACTCCAAATTGGTCGAATGGAGGACAAAGGTGGGTGAAGATCGATGTTTTTTGCACGTTTTTAGGGCTCTTCTTGCTAGTCATGACAAACAGAAATAGTTTTAACTTTGTTCTTGATAGTTTTGGTACAAGAGGAACACTTGACTCAACCCATATTTTGAGTCAAGTCTCTCTCTGAAAGTTTCTTTTAAATGGTTTATGATGAGTTCGTACTATGTATAGGTTAGTCTTACCATGTACATGTTGAAAAATCATTTTGATTACACTATTTTTTAGTTTGTGGCCAAGAGTAACACTTGACCCAAGTTGAAGTTTGAGTCATGTCTTTCTCTTGTTTATACCAGATTCCGCTAATTTTGGCCCCATTTGCAATAGCGGGCATCAAATTTTGATCATTCTTTATCATTTTGCTCCAAGAGAAACACTTGACTCATCTTGAGTCAAGTGTTTCCCTCTGTCGAAAACCTCTTCAATTTGACTGAATATACTTGTATTCCAGGTCAGAGAGAATCCCAAGCTTTTTGAGCAGATGTTTTCTCCACGAAATCTGGCCGACGTGGGGATTCTGAAGCCATTCTCACGGTGGCTAACTCCAAACTCTTTCCCGCGAAGATTCGACGCCATGTTTTATACGATCCAGTTGAGCCGATTTGATGAGAAAGTCGTCCATTGCGAGCGAGAAATGACCGAATCAATGTGGATCTCACCGGAGGAGGCGCTGCGGAAAAGTGTGGTGGAGAGTAGGTATATTTTGTACTCTTTAGTCTTGTCGAGAAGATATACATGCGTAATATTGAAAAAAATTTTTTGAAATACGAATTGTACTTCGTGGAAGGTATTTTACACAAAAATTTCAAGAAATTTGTGAAATTCAGTTCAAGCTCGGGCGCAGCTCGCCGATGAAAAAATGAAATGATTTTGAGGGGAAATTGATGAGAACATGATTATTAAGAACGAATTTTAGCCGATAATGACATAAATTTTTTAATTTCTCCTTTTTCTAGGCTTAAGATCGGGCGCAGCTCGCCGATCTCAAAAAAGCTGATTTTATGGGTTTTTTGCGTGTTACCGATAGAAAATTTTTACCTTCTTTTTTGATGCGTATTTTACAATCTATTTTTGATGTTTATTGTACTTTTACGATTAAAATTTTTAAAAAGTAATTTTTAAAAATTTTGTTTTTTTTCGAAATTTTTACTCATTGCTGTATTTTAGAGACCATCAGTCTTCCTCCGCCTCAATTTCACATGCTTTCCAAGCTCTCGCAACGGGATATTACGGTACCTTTCGCCAATACAGTATACCCTCCGAGAGTTTGCGAGCAAATGATCCAAGCGTCGGACGACCCGAATCTCCAAGCCACTTTACTGATAGACGATGTTGACCGGATCACGGAGAATTCGGACTTTGTCAAGCTCAGATTCATGACGACAAAGGAAATATTCGAACCGAGAGGAGGGAAGGTCAACAGAATTGTATATTATTTGAAGCCCTTGCCATTCACTGGATCCGTTTTGATGGAAAAAGGGCTGAATCGGTAGCTCAGACCAGCTTCTGTTATAATCTTTATTGATTGTTGATTTTATTTGGGATAAATTTTATTTTTTTGATTTTTGATGTCATGGATAATATATACTCCGCGTACAATGTTTTGACCCCCCTTCTAACTCGGTCCAAAGTGAACCAATTGGGACCAAATTTGGTATGTAGTCTACTCACAGGCTAGTAACAAAAAACAACATGGCAGCCCATACCTTATAGTTGAATTTCAAAATCTAGGAGCAATTTTCAAAAATCACCTTAAAAAATCGAGGAAAAAGTTTTGACCCCCCCTTGAAAAAAGTTAGATATCGCCAGCGGATGCCACGCAAACCTATTGTAACCGACGTCTCATACCTGAATACAGGTTAATAAATGGTTTTCCGTTGAATGCTTCGTTGCATTTGAGGATTCAACGCGTTAAACCGTTTTTGATGTAGAGCTGCCCAAAATTGTAAAAATCTTGCCCTAGCGCTTTCCTAGAGCTCTAAATTGGGTTTATATTATGTGCTTTAGACCTGTATTTACCTTCTCCTTTCGATAAAAGTGCATGGTGGCCTGGCGGTGTAGATTCGGCAGATAAGCTCTTGTCATGCCCAGCCTTGGTGAGCCATTTGCTCTTTGACTCAAGGTCGAGATGTGGTCGTTAGGTCCTCAGTGTAATCCTGAGACTCCTAGTTACTCTCAGTAATGTAAAATGTTTCGATTTGACACGTTTTGTAATGGGTTTCATTCACCTTAATCTTGAGTTTGCCGTTACTGTAGATGACCCCGAGTACGATGACATCCCCACCTCCAATTTGGCGTTTCATACGTCTCAAATGAGTATGGTGGTTGCTGTAGCGTCTTAAATTACCTGGTCCATCAAATTAAAGCCGTTTTTGGTGGCTAAAAATCCATTTGAAAAACGCGGGTTTTTCGTTAAGGTGCAGGTCGGCGATGTTGCGCCTGAAAACCATACGAGACCGTGTCAGCGGGAGTTTATTCTTTTTTTGAGACTAACTAGGAGTCTCAGGATTACATTGAGGACCTAACGGCCACATCTCGACCTTGAGTCAAAGGGCAAATGGCTCACCAAGGCTGGGCATGACAAGAGGGTATCTGCCGAATCTACACCGCCAGGCCACCATGCACTTTTATCGAAAGGAGAAGGTAAATACAGGTCTAAATAACATAATATAAGCCCAGTTTAGTGCTCTAGGAAAACTCTAGGGCAAGATTTTTACCATTTTGGGCACCTCTACATCAAAAACGGTTTAACGCGTTGAATCCTCAAATGCAACGAAGCATTCAACGGAAAACCATTTATAAACCTGTATTCAGGTATGGGACGTCGGTTACAATAGGTTTGCGTGGCATCCGCTGGTGATATCTAACTTTTTTCAAGGGGGGGTCAAAACTTTTTCCTCGATTTTTTAAGGTGATTTTTGAAAATTGCTCCTAGATTTTGAAATTCAACAAAATGTTTTGTCTTGCTATGTTATTTTTTGTTACTAGCCTGTAAGTAGACTACATACCAAATTTGGTCCCAATTGGTACACTTTGGGCCGAGTTAGAAGGGGGGTCAAAACATTGTACGCGGAGTATAATTGGCAAAAATACGGCAAAAATGGAGGTTTTTGGCCCAATAAAATTTCATTTCATCTAAATGGTGTATTTTAAAGTTCATTTTTCAACAAATTTACCTTCATTTCGGTAAAATCAACTTAGCCTGGGCGCAGCTCGCCATTTCCAAAAATGCCAAAATTCGATAAATTTCATAATTTATAAATTGAAAATTCATAAATTCTTGAAAGAAATGAACAAACAATGTTTGCTGTAACAGAAACTTTCAAATTATGAGGTTGATTGTATATAATTCTTGTTAGACTTGGAACCGGGTAGCAGTAAGTAGAAATTTGCGAAAAATCTAAAAGTCACTGGCCGCTGAAACACATATGGGTAAATGTGGTAATGGAGATGTATGATATGAGATGGTTTTTGTAATCTGAAGTACGGGTTGAGATTGTTTCGCCTGAGGGCATCAAGTGAAAATTGGAGTGAATTTGGGGGAAATTTGATAAAGGAGTACTGTAATTTGGTTGTATATAGGCTCAGAATTTCTGTAGAGACATAGAAGTTAATGTGTCTCCGTAGTTTAGTGGTAAAAATTTAAATTTTTATTCAAAAGGTTGCGGGTTCGAATCCCACTGGAAGAAAGTTTAAATTCCGGAAATTTTGGCCCATTTTTTGGAATAGTAATGGAACGTAGATTATGGACCATCTCTCTGAGCCTCGATAGAGTTATATGGAAGGCTAAAACTTTCAGAAAATTAGGAAAAATCTCCCTTTTTCGGCAGAAATTTGAAAAATTTTGAAAAAATTCTCTAAATCTCCTTCTTGACGCCCTCTAGACACATTGTTAAGCTCCAAAAGATAAAAAAAGTCTAAAAATACAATAAAATTCCTAATTATGCTGTAAAACAAGGTATAAATCCTAATTCTGACAAAAACTCAAAAAATTTTTCTATCACAGAAGCTTATTGGCGCCCTCGTTGGCTCTCCCATTGTCCCTTGAGTGTTTGTGATTGCAATTCGAGCTCGTTGAGTTCCTCTTCTCCGTATTCGGACCGTCCGCGCTCAGCAGACTTGATTTGCTGCTCCTTCGCTTTGGTGGATTTTGGACGAAAAGATTTTGCGCTGCAGCAAAAGGTGCTAGTGGGTTGGTCGGAGTCTGCGCGGCGGATTGATTTCGATTCGCGATGGTTGAGAGGAGAGTGGCGGTTGTTGTTCGGCCGACAATCGGTTTGATTTCGTGGGGCTGCAGAACCCTGCGTCTTCTTTTTGGAAGTTTTGATCTGAAAATGAAAGAGATAGGATTAAAAATTCTTCGGAAAGTCCGTAATTTTAATTTTTTTAACAAAAATTTTTCGAAAATTCGAAAAAGCCGGGATTTTTTGACTATTTTTTGTTAAAAAAATACAATCTACCGCAAAAAGACTTAAAAATATAACAGTAATTTTAATTGGCATCATAACGTTACTAAAAACAACCTAGAAACTTCAAAAAAGAAGACTGCCTCATGCTGGAATCGAACCAGCGACCTTCTGTTTACTAGACAGACGCTCTGCCCCTGAGCCAATGAGGCACGGCTTTCGACTCGCTTTATTTTTTCTTTTGAAACGAACCATTTGATTTTTTGGCGGGAAAATAGAAGGCAGATCAAAAGATTTGACAAGGAAAGTACTTCTATGGGGTGTGGAAATACCGGTCAAGATATATATCAAAAAATTCGCAAAAATTTTCTGATTCAGAATATATAAAAATTAGCTGCCTAATTTTGGTCTATCAACGAGTTTTATCAATAAATGTACTTCTCGAGGAAAAAAATCTGCGGCAACAAAAGCGCGCTCGGTCTCTTCCCTCGGAAGAGAGCGGAGTGGCCGAGTGGTTAGAGCGCTAGATTGGGAATCCGAAGGGGACGGGTTCGATTCCTTTTGCCACACTAGAACATATTTTTTACATTGGAATTACCTTTAAGGTGTAGTTGTAATCCAATTTGATATTTTAAGGCTTGTCAAGGCCTCAAAATTTATTTTAGCACAAAACAAAATTTTTTTATTGGTAAAAACACGGTCAAAAAGACACTTGCATTGTGTCGCGAGAAAACTTCTGAGGACAAAAACATGTCATCAGACCAAAATTAGGCAGCTAATTTATATATATTCTGAATCAGAAATTTTTTGCGAATTTTTTGATATATATCTCGACCGGTAATTCCACACCCCATAGAAGTACTTTCCTTGTGAAATAAAAAATAAAAGAATTAGTTTTATGAACTAAAGATATTGTCTTACCTGGCCTTAGCATGCGAGTAGAACATGGCAAAATTTGAGACAATCACGGGAACGGGAAGGGCGATTGTAAGGACACCCATTAAGGCACAGAAGGAGCCAACTACCATTCCATAGTAAGTGTGGGGCACCTAGAATACGAGGTTATGAAATTTGAGGTAAAATACGTCCAAAGAAATGCAAAATTTGAAAATCAAAAAAAAAAAATAAATTTTTTCTCAAAAACCAGAATTAATAATGTCATCATGACGGATTTTTTGGAAAAAAATGTAAAATACCTTTTTAAATTGTATTTATAACTTACCATGTCCCCAAATCCCACCGTTGTGATGCAAATCAACGAGTGCCAAAGCCCTAGTGGAATGGATTCGAACTGATTGTCCGGGTTATTCCCAACTCTCTCAGCGTAATACATCAGCGATGCGAACATGACCGTCCCCAACAACACGAAAAACATCAACAATAGCAGTTCCTGAAATTCATTTTCTAAAATTTTCTATTGCAAATTTTTCAAAAAAATCTAGAAAATACGTCAGCATGACGGATTAAAATTTTTCAATGTGTGTTAAAATTTCGGTATATCTCACAAATGGCGTATCTTACCCCTAAATTAATAGAAAATGCACAAAATTCTCAATATTTTCGATGAAGCTAGGGCGCAGCTCGCCAATTGAAAATTTTACAAATTCTGTAAAAGTTCGAATGGAAAATAGGAGGGGACGTATTTTACTTTTCTTTAATATCTCATTTCAATTATAAGCCTTTTGACTAAAGCCTGGGCGCAGCTCACCAATATATGAATCTTCAAAAATCAAAGAAATGAAAATATTTCCTACGGCAAAACCGCCTTGCATACTTCGTATTTTACCCTTAAAAATCCAATTTCTCAAAAAAATTTTTATTTTTTCAAAAACTAATTTATCTTACCCTAGCTGACGCCTTGAACGTCTCAATCAAGATATTCAGCCCACTCGAATGTTGAGTCAACTTGAACAGCCGGAATATCCGAACAATGTTGAAGAATTCGATCGTATCCCGATGATTTCCATCCAGGTACCACTCCAAAAACCAATCCGCGTAGAACGAGGCGGTCGCGATGAAATCGATGATATTTATGGGACTTTTGATGAAATGAACGGCATTTGGCGAGAAAATCAGACGCATCAGGATCTCCCAGGTAAACCAAATATTGGCGATTAGCTCTAGGTAGAAGAAGTGAGGATGTGCGCTGAAATTTAGGAGGATTTAGAGGGATTTCATTATTATCAGGGTTTTCGTGGTGGGACCAAAATTTATTACCCGAAACTTGAAAAAATTAGTTGGTGATTAACCGTAGTGACTGTACGTGACAGAATTTTAATTTTTTTTCAAGATTCCTGAGGTCAGTGTTTTCGTGGTGAGACCCAACTTTGATTTATGGAACCGAAAATAAACTTCAACTTACCGAGTTTTAATTTTCTCCACGGAAAAACTGGAGCCTCGAGAATAATGACCCGTATGTCTGGCCGAAATATCGTGCTGTCCTGTATCATGATACGGAATATTTCCGGATTTATTCGACAAATCCATCGGTCGAATGTTGAGATCGGGTACCCGCATCCGAGGCTCGGTCTTGAGGCAAAAACAAACAATGGAGAGAATGATGAAGAAAATTGAGGTTATTGAAACTACCTGAAAAAATATTTTACTTGTACGTATGTATATATATCTTATACGAAACTTGTTTTTTTGCTATAGATTGAGCTGAAAAATTACGGAAAAGTAAAGTTTCTTAAAAGTAAATCAGGTCTATAACACTAAAAAATATTAGAAAACTGCGCAAAATATCAAAAGGACCGTCAGTTAGGTTTTTGTCATCAAGGAAGCAATCAAGAGTAGCAAATATACCCACCGAAGTGGAATCATCCGGCCGGCCGGAGTCGAACCCGCGTTCTTTCGCGTGGAAAGCGCGCGCATTACCGACTCGACTAATAAAACATTCGCGAGGAAGGTCCTTTTCTCGCTCGGCTTTGGAGAGAAAAGTGAAAGGAAAGGGTGCGGAAGTAAAATTCGGAAATATTTCAGCAATGTGAGGGATTTTAAAAAGAAAAATGTGGATTAGAAAGGTAGGAAAAAAATTTGCGCAGTTTTTCGTTGGAAAATTTAATTTTTTGGGGATTTTTTGACAAAAAAATTAAAATTTTTGTCTTTTTTGGGTAAAATACGTGGTCGCAAGGTAGGCGGATATTTTTTTAGAATGATTGAAAATTTGAAAAAAAATTGCCTCTTTTAACTCCGGTTTTACCAATTTTCTGCCCAAAATTGCAAAAATCCACCCAAAATCCCCTCTTACCCTAGCATATCTCGACGACCATGGTTCGTCGAACATTTGCCACACTTGAGGTTTGATCCGCTGCCACCAGGACAGGCTTCCATTGAAATAATCATCTTCCCAGCCGAATTTTTTCGCGACTTCCTCGGCCGTTTGAGGGTCAATATCATTGTCCAAGCTCTCGATTACGGCTAACGTCTCTTGCGTATCCCGATGCTGCGTGTAGGTCATCCAACAACAGGGCTCCACTTGATTCGAATCGAGGCCCCAAAACTCGAGCTCGTCCTCGAATAAAGGCCCACAAACGTCCACGGGATAGTGGAGTTTACCCGTCCGGTAGTAATTCAAAATCATCGCAAATACCCCTAAAATACGGAGAATTGCATTTGGAATTTATAGTAGGAAAAATACCCAAAAAAAAAACACATATTTTTTTTCTATTTTTGACATAAAATTGATTTATGAAAATTTTTAGCGACGTCAAAACACTCGCTATGCATCACTAAAATTATTAAATATTTTTTGTTGACAAAAAATGCAACAATTAAAAAGCGCACTGTGCAAAGCGATTTGTAACCAATTTTTTGGACTGCACTGTGCGAAGCAATTTTCAGCCTATTTTTTGGACTGCACCGTGCGAAGCGATTTCTAGTCTATTTTTGGACTGCACTGTGCGATGCAATTTTTAGCCTATTTTTTGACTGCACCTTGCAATGCGATTTCTAAGCAATTTTTTGAATTGAACCGTGCGAAGCAATTTTCAGCCTATTTTTTGACTGCACCTTGCAAAGCAATTTCTCAGCAATTTTTTGGGCTGCACTGTGCGATGCAATTTTTAGCCTATTTTTTGGACTGCACTGTGTGAAGCGATTTCTAGCTTACTTTTGGGACTGCACCGTGCGAAGCAATTTTTAGCCTATTTGTTTCTCTTGCACAACGCAAAAAAAAATTTCTTGAAACCTCCTTTTCAAAAAAATTTTTTTAAGCCTAGCAAAAAGATAAGTCCGTTTCTTTGCTATTTTCAATCAAAAAACTCTGCAAACCTTACCCGGATGCCGGTCGAAAAAATACTCGTTGAGAACTGGGTCATAATTTGCCAAATTTGGCGTTAGCCTGAAACAATAATTTTAAAATACGTTGTGCTTTATGCTACTGTATTCCTGTGATGAATGTGAAACCTGCCTTGACAACCGCGTGGCTGGGATCTTCTTGAGCACATGCTGATAAGTCTCATGGCGAACGCCGCCCACGTTCAGGATCACCCGATGTTCGGAGTCCATCCACGACTTAAAATAAAAGCTTTTTTAGTTACAAATTAGAGCAAGACTATCAAAAATAGAGTTGGGAATCAAAATTGTAAACCTAAAACAATTTTTCTTTTTTTCAAGCTTATGTTTTTTTTTCAAAAAAGTTTTGTCCATTTTAAAAACCTAGAAGTAAAATACGATGGATTTGCTCAGTGTAATCGTTGAAAAAAATTTTTTTTGAAAAGTTACAGTACCCCATACCTAAAAAACCCTTTCAAAAACCCCAATTTGCATTTTTTCCCTTTAAAATTCTTTTTGTAGCAACAAAAGAGTTACTTAGCAAATCCGATAATAGTCAAGACACACCTATGAAAAGACATAAATCATATGCCGCTAAAGAAAATTTCGCTATTAGTGAGAAAATGGTGGTTGAAGAACAAAGGTGATTTAGAAATTTAGAAGACCAAAAGAAAAGAAACGCCCTAGAAAATTTATAGAAGTGTTTTTAAACCCTAATATTTTGATTTATAGCATTTAGCTCTCTGCACCGTGCAAGAGAAAAAAATCCGAAAAAATTTGCACGGTGCAGAGAACTATGAATGAAATATTGTAACCGCACTGTGCGAAAAAACTTTAGTTGCGATTTCTGCAATGTGCCAGAGGATAAAATTCAAAAATTATTGCATAGTGCAGGAAAATTTTGAAAATTTTTTTTGCACCGTGCAAGAAAGAATTCGAGAGACCGCAGCGTGCGAGAACTTGAGAAATACCTTTGCACCGTGCAAGACAAAAAAATATCCAAAAAAAATTGAACGGTGAAGAGAACTATGATTGAAAGATTACTCACTGCACTATGTAGAAAACTTCAATCAAGATTTCTGCACTGTGAATAAAGAGATGAACTTTCGAAAAGTGACTGCACAGTGCAAAAATAAAAAAAAAATTTTGCACCATGCAGGGCAAAAAAACCACTGAAATTTCCTGCGCGGTGCAGAAAACAATGATTGAAACATTGTCATCGCACTATGCGGAAAACTTCAATTAAGTTTTCTGCACAGTGAAAAAGACGAAATTCGAAAAATGACTGCACCGTGCGAGAAACTTAAAAAAATACTTCTGCACTGTGCAAGACAAAAAGATCCGAAGAAGTTTCTGCACGATGCAGAGAACAATGAATGAAACATTGTCATTGCACTGTGCGGAAAACTTCAATTAAGTTTTCTGCGCTGTGCAAGAAGATGAAATTTGAAAAACTACAGTGCGATTTTGAAAATTTGGTTTGCACCGTGCAAAAAAAAATTCTAAAGAATACTACACTGTGGAAAAAAACTTTAAAGTACTTGTGCACTGTGTAAAAAGACGAAATTCGAAAAATGACTGCACCGTGCGAAACATTAAAAAATATTTCTGCACTGTGCAAGGCAAAAAAATCCGAGAAAAATTCCTGCATGGTGCAGAAAACTATGGTTGAAAAATTGCTACTGCGCTTTGCGGAAAACCACAATTAAGTTTTCTGTATTGTCCAAAAAGATGAACTACAACAAATAACTGCACTGTGCAAAAAATTAGAAAATACTTCTGCACCGTGCGATGATTGTTCTTTGAAAATCGTTGCAGTTCAAATGTTCAAAAAGAAATTTGAGAAATGACTGCAAAGTGCAAAAAAAATTTGAAAATATTTTTATTTTTACTATGACCAAAAAGAAATGCGAGAATTCTATTGCACAATGCAAAAATCCAGACAAGTTTTTGTCGTTTTTTTCGCTTATGACAAATTTCCCGGCCCCGCCAGGAAACCGTTTTGGCCGCAGATCAAAAACAAGACCGACCAAAAACCGGGAAAGAAACGATCCCCCTTACTTCGTGCTTAAGTTGTTGTTGAGGCGCTGTTATCCGCACCGACATGGCCGCAAATCTTCGCGAAGGAAAAGCGTTTGGTCGGATGGCGGAACCGAAAACTTTTCCTTCCATAAATTTGTAATCGGCAGCAAAAAGGAAACGTTTACCGCAATGAATGAAAAAAAGGGGGGAGGCCAATGTCTGGATCACATAACAATAATGCCCGACTGGTGTGTGCGGCGGTCATTATGCCCGCAGCGAATGGGATTTGGAGGAATTTTCGGCCAAGACTGGAGAGCAAAGATCCAGTTTTAATTTGTAAAATACGAACGAAAAAATAGTATTTACTAACAAGGGAAGTACTCCAAGTGCGACGCTCAGATTTTCCTTAAATTTTGCACACACGTCGGTCATGAACTAAGTATCAATTTCTGAAAATTTTAGCTCGCGCTTTGCAGGCGGCGCCGAGATATTCAACGATTTTTACCGCCGAGAAAGCACACTAAACGTGGAGAGCGGTCAGAGAGAAAAGCGCTTTTTGGCCATAACTTTGGCAGTTTCGCACGTAAAAATTAGATTTTTTGTAGAAAAATTATCCTTTACGCTTGAAATAGGCATGAAATTTTTGGTGCCGAAATTCGACGAAAAGTCCTAAATTTTTCCGACTTTCGATCTAAAAATCTCGGTTGTTTCTGCAAAGCGCGAGCTAGGATTCTCGCATATAACTTATAAAAAATTATTCTAAATTTGTGGTTAAGTGACGTATTTTACCCATGTGCAAAAAAAAAATAAATTTTTTTTGCAAATTTGAGCCCAAATATCTTGATGGTAAAAACGCAAGCTAAAATCTTGCATATACCTTAGCAAATTCTCATCTTAAATTCCGCCGAGTTTCACGAACATCTGAAAAATATAACACAATTCCCCAAAATCTTATTGCCTCAAAAAATCCCAATTTTTACCTTTTTAAAATTAAAATAAAACCAACAAAATGGATCTTACTTTCACAACAAGAATTATCATTCCGTAACTACGCGTATTTTACCTTTTTGCACAAATGCCGGACCTGGTTTGCGGCCATTCGAAACCTCTCCATGAATCCTCTTTATAAGCAAACCCTAGAAGCCAAAAGTCGAACCCATCTTCTTCTTTTTTTTTGATGAAAAGGGCAGTTCAAATGAGCGTAATTAAGTAATCGCCCAAAGAGCGAACCCCTCAAAAATAGACGAGATTTTGATGGAAATCTCATGCATTAAAAGCGCAAACCTAGAGTCGTTGGCTTCGAATTTCCGAAAGCAAAAAAGGATTGAGTGTTAAGCGGGTTAGAGGTTGGCTTTGGGTTGGAAGTAAGTGCAAGAAATCTACTATATTTTATATGATTTTCTTGTAAGAAACTTTTTGATTTTTGAAAATTCAAGGAGTTTTGTAGTTGTACAAATTAGTAAAAAAATGGTCGAAAAGATATATGAATTTTGGCACAGACAAAGATTGCAATTTTTTAAAACATATGCAGGATTTTTGACGTTTACACTGTTCAGAAATAGATAGGATGAGAGCAACATACCGAAAAAAAACTATTGCACGGTGCAAAAAACAAGAAATTGCACGGTGCAACGTAAGCTTTTGTTTTCTTACAGTGCATGTCTCAAAATCACTCCTGCGACTTTGCAAATAGACTAGTCGGACAATAAAGTCTCAAAAAAAAATCAAATTGCCTCATGAGGCATACACAAACTTATAATAGGAAAAATTTTTCTCTCGAGTTTCTCTTGTTATTTTGCATTATCTCTTGTCTGCAAAAATCGTTGAATATCTCGGCTGTCACTGCATATTTCAAGCTTAAATCAACAATAATTCATAAGTGGCACAAACGAATTGCTCTTGCATATCTTGAAAGAAACATTGATGTTTATCTTTAGGCACCCGTATAAAGAAAATTGAGTAAGCTGCTTGAACTTTTAAAATGTAAGTTGCGACTTTAAAAGTTTTGTTTTTTTTAACGCAAGTCCTCACATGGCCGTGTTTTAAAACTCTGATATTAACCTGTGAACTACGACTATATAGTTACGCTTTGAGTCTGATGCCCAATTTTGTTAGAACAATGATTCGCAATGTCGTTGCGCCAATCGTGTCGCTAAACTGAAATTCAATTTGACTTTTCCGCGACAAAATTCATTTTCTCGGCATCATTTTCGATATGAAAGAGCGCTCACTAGTTTACCGACAGACTGATATTAGTCGTGGTAATCAAAAATAAAAAATTCATCGTCCACAAGAAGATACCGTATTTTAAAACAGTTTTGTTTTGCTGAGATTCTAGCCTATGTTGAATGACAAGTAAGCCATTATCATTACACATTTGTCACAGAAGATGAGATAAGACAAAAAAAATCGGTTTACCTGTTCATGCTCGGCATGTTTGCTCAGAACCAAATCGACTGCGATGTTCATAAGGCCAAACTTTTTTCGGAAAGAACCAAAACAAACTTTGGCCGCGGACAATTAGGATAAACAAATGAGCGTTTTCGGGGAGTAGTTATGCCGATTCTGGCCGAGGTTTAAACAAGGTTATGGGCTCGGAGCCATTAAAAACGGAGGGGAAACAGGAATGCGGGAGCATGACATATGTTTTGGAATGCTTGACAGACCCCGCCTTGGGCTGAGTAGTCATGAGCTATTTTTGTTTGTAAAAGTAGAAAACTTAACAAGGCACTTTTATAAGAGTTGCTTTTAGACCGGCATGTCACAAAAAACATGTTAAATCATGCTGATTAAAAATATGTAAGAATTAGCTGCGCAATTTTGGGGGTTTAGGGGTGAAAGATCAATCGCAAGTTGACCCAAACCCTACACATGTGAGCCCCTTTGGGCTCAATATTTCAAAGGTTTACTAATTTTATTTTAGATTAGAATGATGTTTCTTGAGTTTCTAAGACATAACAAATAGGTGTCGCGACAAAAGTTTATTTTTCAGACCTCCAAGATCAACTTCAAAAAAGTTGATCAACGCTAAAATTGACCTCGCGCGAACTTTATCGCTTACAGGGGAAGTACTCCAAGTGCGACGCTCAGATTTGGATGAAACTTGGCACAAATTTAGAATAATTTTGTCTAAGATATACGCGAGAATCATAGGTCGCGCTTTGCAGAAACAACCGAGATTTTTAGATCGAAAGTCGGCCAAAATTTAGGACTTTTTGCCGAATTTCGGCACGAAAAGTTTCATGTCTATTTCAACCGTAAATGATAATGTTTCTACAAAAAATAAAATTTTTCCGCACGAAACTGCCAAAGTTATGGCCAAAAAACGTTTTTCTCTCTGACCGCTTTCCACGTTTAGCGTGCCCTCTCGGCGGCAAAAATCGCTCGATATCTCGGAGGCGCCCGCAAAGCGCGAGCTAAAACTTTCAGGAATTGATATTTAGTCCATACCCGACGTGTGTGCAAAATTTTAAGAAAATCTGAGCGTCGCACTTGGAGTACTTCCCCTGTTAGCAATATAATAAATTAAAGTTACTATTACTGTCAATAACACCCTAAATATTAAACAAAAAACTATCTAAAAAATATAGCAATAACACCCCATGCACTATCTGCCATTTTCAGCCGTTAAAACACAATGCCAAGATTTTCAGGTTTTCGTGGTGTGACCAAAAAATTGCTTTGAAAATCAAAAAATCATATGGATAAAATAGTATGACGTGAGAAAAATAGAAATAAATTATTTAAAACGTCCATGTCAACCATACCTGTCTGGCAGTCGCATTATTCGCCGATTCCCGGCGATAAATCGAGCCGGCAGTGCCGGATCCGTGCGAATGGATCCGAATGGACACCCGTTTCCCAAACTTGCCCACTCCTTGGCCTCGCATCATCTTTCCGGCTCTGCAGGGCCGCAAAATACAGCGGAGTTTCGATTTTCACGACGTAGAGTACCGTAGAAAATTGAACTTGTTTGTTACAGCAGCGAAAAGCCTTTGATTCTCCAAAAAGTGCAGAATTGTCGTCGAATCCATCGTTCCGGGCGTGACTTGAGTCCCAATTGAGTCAACTTTCGACGCGGCGCTCCGTAAATTACACGCCGGCAAGAGAATGGAGGTCCCCCCTTAATTGCCGGTTTAACGTCACTGTCCGTTGCTATGCACGAAACTTTTGCGGGGATGGCCCGGCAGGCGGGGATTACGCGGTAACAAGTCTGTTCGTGCTGCTGTTTGGTTGATATTTAAGTCAAAAAAGGGGTAAAATACGGTAATAAATTTTGTCGGTGTTTATGGTATGGTGAAGAAAAAAGTGATGCCAGATGCTCGAGGAGAGTGGTAGATGGTCGAAAATTAGAGAGTAGAAATCCAAAGGCTATTGGATTAGTACAATATGGCGTTAGTTGTGCTAAAATAAGGAGTTGCGAAAATACAAGGCGTCAAAGTTGATAACCTTACACTTGATCTGATGTCCAAAAATCCCAAATTTCGTGTCTTATTGGTAGTAAATTCCTCTGTGGTGGCGAAAATAAGCTTTGAATAGCACCAGCCACTTTACCAATGAATATTTTGGCCAAAAAATTCGATTTAAGATGATGGCGAGCAAATATTGCACTTTACATCCGAGTAAAAGGAAGTCGGGATTTTTCGAGTATAATAGAACTCGAATGTATACTAGTAGCCGAAAACACGGGTAAAATACTTCCGGCGTGAACCAGTTCTTCACACAAGTCCTGCACTTGCAATGACACGACTTTCCACCATCCAGCCCACGAGCGAAGATTAGCCGGCGGTAAACAGGGGGTCGAGCGCCGGGAACGGGCGGATCACAGGCCTCGAAAATTCGGTTAAGACCCAACGCGGTCGACTCCAAGTTCTCTCCTCACTTACTTTCGTCTGCGTTTTTTTCGCCGTCCGCCTTCGAGAATATCTTATTCTTGGCATTGGCCGCCCTTCTCCAAATTCAAATTGGCCGCCAATGAATGAGCATGGCGGGGAAATGAAGGAACATCGAGGGCCCGTTAAAGGCCAACTTCCAGGGAGTTCCAGAAGTGCAGAAGATAAGGTTGGAGGAAGTGATGAGGAAGGTTGGTCAGAGATCGCAAAGGTTGTATGAGGTGGTCATGGTTAATATAATTGTTGCTACGAGGGTTTGAAGTTTGCTTGTGTATATTGTATAGTGATAAAGAGAGCTTGCAATGAGCTTTAGAAGATTTGGAGATCATCAATTACCAGCAAATTGTGGTGATCAGAGCTATACGATCTTAAAGTGAACATCAGTTGTTGTTCTTGCTGTATTTGTCATTGTTTTCAAAATAGCTTACATATCTTAACATTCAGCTTGAAGACTTTTATTCATGAGCCTCATTGCCCTATTCACTTCCTCAATTTTCCCGTCCAACTTTCGGAAATTAAGTTGGCAATGAAGCTGATTAAATATTCAGCGCCCCTCGGAATTACTGGTCTAGAACCAACCACAATGTATTTTCATTCAGAAGTCGTGACGTAGAAAAGATATCCACATCAAAACCATCCTAAGTAAGTTATTTCGCCTTTTTCAAGGGTTTAACCGATTTAAAAAAATTAGAATTCTTGGGAAATTTTACATAATTAGTGTTGCAACTCCTATGTAATCTTGCACAAAATCCAAGTGCAGCATAAGGAGTAGCATTTGGAGGGTAATCACTTTATCCGAGCCCTCCTTTGTGGCCTCGGGGGGTTCGTCCCCGTCCTTCCGCAAATTATTTTCGGAAAGAGAAAAGAAAAAAGAAGAAAACAACGGAACGAAGAGGAGGAAAAACATTTACAAGCTCAGTAGAAATGCTCTCCTGCTGAGGAATTTGTATAGAATGCGACAAAAGTAGAAACAATAGTAAAAAATAGGTTTCACCACGAAAGCTGAACATTTGGCCTTATGTTTTAGGATGTTGGAAAGGACGAAAATGGAAAAAAAGATAATAGGTACATATTCATCAACATTACTTTTGTAAATTTCGATTATGTTAGGGAAATATCGGTTTCACCACGAAAACCTGAAAATCTTGGCATTGTGTTTTGATCCATGTAAAAGGAGGTTTAATGCTGTACAGCTCTTAAAAACTTATTGTAGACGTCAATTTCTTGTGTACTTGAAGTTACAAGTATTTTGAAAAGTCAAAAAATGGTCTCACAACGAAAACAAAACATTTTGGCATTCCGCCAAATTTACTACAAAATGAGGACTCTTGAATTAGTGTTGTACAAAGAAGAGACAAACGTTGATTTGAGAGGCATTCAACGATATTCCCAATAACCAAAAAACAAACCTGGGTCCCACCACGAAATCCTCCAAATTCAAAATAACTCCAAGAACCACCTCAAAATTGCGCAGAGAGAGCTCCCAAAAAGAATTCCAGCCAAAAATGACTTCTGGATGAATTGCCCGATGGAAATTTTTGATACTAATTTTCTCGGGCAGAGCCGTAAAAATTTTTTATAAATGGGACTTTCATTTGAGATGAAAACCCACCGCGAGAAAACAATGTAGCCAGTGTGAGGTCTAAAGTACGAACGAAGAAGTTGAAAGATTAGAAAAATTAATTCGAAAAATTTGACAATTCAGGAGAAATTGAGAAAATTAGAATATTTTGGCATTCTGTTGCAAGAAGTCACATTCAAAAAAAAATAATAAAAAATAGTTTTATTGAATGCAGAATAGAGTATATATTCACGTTTTCTAGAAAATTACAAACATAAAAATTTAAATTTTCACTTTCCCGCCAATTTTTTAAAAGTTTTGGCATTGTGTTTCAATGTTTAAAAAATGGGTATCATAAAGAATTTTGCAATACTGACATTGTTTTCAGACGTCTAGTATCCTATTTTAAAAGTTTTTAAAATATATAAAATTCAAATTTCGATTTTCCCGCCAAATTTTTCAACTTTTTTGGCATTGTGTTTCAAGTTGATAAAACCCTCAAAAGGTGAAGACAATCTATGTAGTAGGTGTAAACACAAAGAAAAAATGGTTTTTTTTTTATACTCACTTTTCTGCGCGACTCGTCGAAATCACAAAACGGATATTCGATGGTGGTGAAGGACATGTTGGCCGAACAAATCGACGACATCAACGACGAAAAAACACAGCAATTAGCAACATGTTAGCGCCCAACAAATTCCCTCGAGGCAAACTTGGTCTTTCAAGGGAGAGTAAAATTTATATCAAGCCGAATATCAGGGGCCAAGTGTAATATAAAAAGCGGTCCAAGTCGGGGTTTCGCCGGCGAAATCGGATATAAAACTCCTTCCGCTATGTAATTACACCTATTTGAGGAAAGAGGGTGATGTCGTGTCTCCGATTCAATGGGCTTGGTTCAGGTGGATAAGGTGAAGAAATCTCGGAAATTGGGTCGAATTGGAGGCCAGGCCCAATTAGACACCCGATTCAGGAGAAATATGGGGGTTACATGTAAAAGGCATGTCATGGACAAATTGTAGCCAAAACTTGACACTTATTTTAAGTATTTTTGTTAGGTTTTTGCGCAGTGCAAAAAATTAAAAATTTGCACGGTGCAAGAAACAAAAATTGAGCTTGCACAGTGCAGGGAGAAAAAAATTAAATTGCACTGTGCGATGTGAAAAAAGAAAAAAGTGACAAAATTTTGCGATTTTTTTGATTTTTTTGCACTATGCAAAACGCTTCTTAATTGCATTTTGCAAAAAAAAGGGAAAATTTTTAAAAATCAAAAAAAAATTTTTTTTTGAATCAAAAAGCACCCCGTTCAACTTTTGGCCCACAAAGAAATGACGTTTTGCTGCCTAAAATTTTGAACAATTCCCAAAGCAGACACGGATGGCTATTCCAGGCTGCTGAATAGAATAGGGGGGAGTGTTGCCGAGGTTTCCCCCCCCGGCATTACATTAGATTATAAGCTCGGGAGCGAAATTCGGTTAGCGAGCGGCATTTAGAGTTGTTTCAGAAAAAAAGAGAAGATAAATTTTGAGTAAAATTCTCGAAACATGGGCGAAAAGGGGACTTATAAAAGCTGTTTTCTTTGCACAGTGCGATTTTGAGTTTTTGGATTTTTCGCACAGTGCAATATTTTTTTTACTGCACAGTGCAGATCAAAATAATTTTTGGGTTTTTTTGCACCGTGCAAAAGGATTTTTATTTTTCCAACCAAACGGTGCAATAAAAAATTTTTATTTTTTGCACAGTGCGGATTTTTTTGGAAATTTTTAAAAATTCTAAAAAAACCGTCATCGTGAAAAATAAGAAATTATTTTGAGTTTTAGACAAATTTAGATATCATCATAAAAAAATGTAGGCAAAATTATACATATACCCAAAAAATTACAAGTACTACGTCATGATGACGTGTTTTTTTTAAGAATATCAAAAAATGCCACACAGTTAAAAATGTTGCAAAACTTATATTATGGTCCTCCGAGCGCTCAACAAAATCAAAATCCCCTTAATTTGTATAATTCCCCATTTGTAAAATACCCCCCTTGAAGCCATGAATAATTCACTCAACTACTGTCGCAATTTCCTCCCCGCCATTCCATTCGCTTTGTTTGGGCCGAGGAAAAAGACTATATAATCGCTAAATGAGAGCGGAAAAACAAACAAATGAAGAGGAGCGCGCCGTAAATTTTGTGGGAGTCGGCTCTGAATCTTATACTTGAAGTTTGAAGGATTTCGCAATCTTTGAAATTACAAACATTGGCAGTTTTATGAGTTCTCAACACTTGTGAACCCATTTCTTATAAGACTTTGTTGTTTTTTGCAGGTTGCAACACAATGCCAAAATTTTAAAATTTGGCGGGGAAAGAAAAAAATTTATATAAAAAATTGGGTTAAGAATTAATAAAACGGATTGAAAACAAAGAAAAGGTTGTTTTAAAACTGTTTAAAAGTGTTTTTCGTGGCTTGCAACAGAATGCCAAAAGTTTAAAAATTTGGCGGGAGATTTGAGATTCAAATTTTTGGTCACTCCAAAATGGTAAAATAAACATTATAGATCGTAAAAAATAGAGAAAAAATAATTTCGAAAGTTTTCTTCTACTTTTTAGAGATTTGCAACAGAATGCCAAGACATAAAATTTGGCAGAAGTTCAAAATTTCAATTTTTTGTTAATTCAAAAATAAAAAAAAGTTGTCTGCGGTCAAAGACCATACCGTAATATTCGAAGAGCTACAATTTCTAGTGCAAATGTCCGCAAAATCCGAGACAAATATTGTCCAGACTGATATGTTGGGGCCCGATAAAACCACCGGGTTTAAACGTCGCCAAGGGCTCGTAAAATGTGGGTGGCCGTGGAAAATTTTATATCTTCACGAATCTTCCGGCAAACCCGCAATGTTTGACATGATATTATGAAAAAATTAAAATGACATTTATGGCCAAATTTGGTGAAAATTTTTTGAAGATTTAAAAATTTCAAAAATCATTTTTTCTGTGAAAAAATTTCGAAAAAAAGGTCAAAGAGGTCGTAAATTATGACAATGGCGGATGAACACAAAAAGAACGGGCATTGTTTGTCAATTTTGGGTTTAAAAATATTTTCTTTGAAGGGTACAATGGGAAGACAATGAGACCACAGGGGGTAGGAGGAAGTGAAGTTGTTAAAAAATGTCCAGAATTAATTTAGATTGGCTTATGTCTAAATTGGGCTAAATAATAGAAAGGACAATGACATAAAGGAAAAATGAAGAACTGGAAATAAAAAATGGATCGCAATGAAAAGTGCGACAAAATGCCCATTATTTTCCCGACAGACTAATATTGACATCCTAGGAAGTTGGTTATCTGAGTCGTATTTTAAAATTAAAAAGTTAACAAAAAGTATTTCGCCTAGTTTGTTAACCTTTTGCTTACTTTTGACCCTTCCCACCTACGTTTTTCCCACAATTTTTTGATCAAACCCCCATATTATCTATTTATTTTTACCATACATAAATCATCATCAAAAAAAACTCACAAAAAAATCACAAAAAAAAGCCGCGCCGAGTTGGCCAATAATAAAAGTAGCGGGGGCCTAAAACGATTTGCTTCTTCTGTTTTGTTCTTTGTAAGTATTTTTTCCGCGCGCCGCCGCAGGAAAAGAACGAAGCCCGAAAAACGGCGGCGAAATGAATTCGATTAGGACGAGTCAGAACAACTACAGGACTACTCATATAAAGACATAAAAACGGCCGTCGGAGTAATGCACGGGGGAAGAAGAAGAGGGCTATTTAGACCGTCCGCGAATTGGGTGATTCGGGGGTGATAATGGATCTTATCTTTGTTAGAGAAAATACGGGGGAAAATGGTGATTTTGGGAAAAATAAGGGGAAAAAGGGTTGATTTCGGCGGAACTTTCTTTTTAAAAAACCTTAATTGAGCTTAATCGGCAACGTTTCTACAAAAGAAATAAAAATTTTCTATCAAAGGAACTACCTGCGACACTCAGATTCTGATGAAACTTGGCACAGATTTAGAATAATTTTTTCTAACAATACATGCGAGATTCCTAGCCTGCGCTTTGTAGAAACGACCGAGATTTTAAAACCGAAATTGTAAAAAAATATGACACTTTTTTGCTAATTGTGCGATAAACAGTCTCTTTCTACCGTAGAGGGTAATGTGTTCAAAAGGAATTAAGTTTTTTTGAAACTGACAAATTTGATGACCAAAAGGTTTTTTCTCTGAACGTTTTGCGTGCTCTCTTGGCCGCAAAGATCGCTCAATATCTCGGCTGCGACTACAAAGCGCGAGTCAAAATTTCCAGAAATCGGTATGCGGTCTATGTCCGTGGTGTGTTAATATATGTTTACTTACCCCAATGGTGTTCAACGAACCTTGCGATACCGAAAATTTAGCCATGTCAGAAAAATAACTTGAATGAAGAAAATCAATAATTTCCAAGAAGCCAGCTCAATCAAGTTGAACCTTAAAAAGTTGTGCACTCGATCCGTCCGAAGATTACAAGTCCAAAAAATTGTCAAAAAGAAGAGGAGAGTGATGGGTGGAGTGACAATTCGAGGATGAAAAAATGAAACCGCAGGTCGAATGGCTCGATATTAGAGAAGGAGAAAAATAAGAAAGATCTTCATAAAGAAAGAAAGATACCAAAATTTCAATAGAAAGGGTAAATAAAGATGAATATTTTTTGTATTGTGACGTGCTGTCTATACATAACAAACATGAATAAATTATTGTAATGAAAACAAATTATTATTTTAAACTCCTAAAAAAGATATTTTAGCAGGAAAATTTTTTGTTATTTATGAGTAAACACAATGTAAATCTCATTTTTAACCTTTTAACCCTCCCATTTGGCAAATATTTTAACGAGAAGAAAACTTGACCCAAAGTGTCAAGTCTTTCTCTTGATCAAGAACTGCCAAAAAAAACCTACCAAATTAATAAAAACGTATGTTTAAATAAAACGATAGCTACAGAACTCGTATTTTACCTTTTCCCTGTCCGCCTTCACAAACGGCATAGTGAGCCACATCCGATCAAGTGTAATATCAAAAATCAAAAAATTTCGAATAAAACTGCGCCGTTAACGAAAATTTACAGCCACAGCGAACTTGATGACATCGCAGACAAGACCCCAATACAGGAAATGCAAACACATAAGGCCTGAGGCCATTACATTCGAGACATCATAAAAGCGGACGAATGGCAAGATTTGTGGGAAAATACTCAAGATCATCTCGTTTTACCATCTCAAACACTCAGCAAAGCGTGTGCGAGGTATGACGAAGAAAGTCAAAGACTTTTTTTTGATATTATACTTGCCTTTTGTTTCGAACTTTTATAGTTTTATTAGTTTTTCAAAAGTTTTTTGAAGGAAACTTGATATCCGAAGACGAAAATGTCACCGAAAATGAAGGAAAAGTGCAGAACCTACCGCTTTCCGGGCCGCCATCACACTGCTGTTGGCGTCCAGGTGTATTCGCTGGCTCATTTTTCGGTCCAGCGTTCGGATACTCATCTGGTCCACGCTGGGGTTGCGGTTCGATTGATACGAACTTGGGGTCAAAGCTTCATCGGGTAGGCCAATGTAGGTGCCTCTGAGAAGACAAAAAAGTACTTTTTGAGGCAAATTCAATCGTATATATGAAAAAATATTTTTTTTTTGCAAACTTAGCGCAAATTTTATCAGTCTGTCGGGAAAATAATGAGCACAAATTCGCTGGGCAGATCGCGTCGCTGAAGTGAAAAGTAATTTGATTTTGCCGCGACACAATTCATTTTCTCAGCGGCGATGCGATTTTCGATACGACATTGTGCTCATTATTTTCCCGACAGACTGGTACAAACTTTTTTGAAACTTTTTCGGCTCAAAACTGGCAAAAATGTGGCCACAATGCGTTTCCTTTTTGACTGCTCTTATTTCGCTCTTTGAGTCTGAACTTGAAGCATTGAATTACAATTATCATCAAAAACAAAAACCACACAACTTTTTAGAACTTCCTAAAGTCATTCTTAGAAACAGAATGTAACACTACGTACGTATATCCACCTTCTTCGCCAAAAAATTTTCAGTTTTTTTTCCAAGAAACAAAGTAAAAATAAACAATGTCGAACTTGGAGCGTTCCCAATAATCTGAAATGCTATATCTTTCTCGAGCGAAAAATGTCGTTCTCGGCTGAAGATATCATTAAAATGTTCCATAGGTAAATGCGATGAAACATCATATCAAAAATCGCGTAATAAGCGAAAACCATATGGCCGCATTATTCCCACAGGACTAATTGTAACATATTAGGTTGTAAATTTGATGGATATTTTTTTGATTTTACGTCAACTTGATGTTAAAAATTGTGTCAAATTGGCAGAACTTTTGTGTGGTCAAAGGTTTAAAAATTCTGGTCTATGAAAATTTCAAGCGTGAGCGACAGTGCCGGACCTGATCCATTGGCAAAAAAATCTACCATTTTGCATCGGAAGTATCAAAAAAGGTGGCAAAATGCCTCCATCCAAAAGGGTTTTGTGCACGTATGGCTCATGACAAAAAATCTACGCACTCTTGAAAAATCATAATATCAGTCTGTCGGGAAAATAATGGGATCTGTTGCTGCGCTAATCGCATCGTTGAAATGAAAAGCAATTTTGATTTTGCGCAACACAATTCATTTTTTCTACAAAAAGTTCAACTTGACAATCCAAATGACACAGTCAATTTGACATGACGAAAGTAACACCAACTTGACAACGTGACTGACGTGTCCAGTTGACGGCTTAACGACCCTTCTGGTTATCATAACACAAACAACCTTGTTTAATTTGTGTTCCAAAAAGCCTCATTAAAACGTAAACTTTTCGACTTTTACCTGCATCAATGCATGGAGGTGAGAAGGCCAAAGTTTCGACATTGTTTTTGTAAACTTTGTGTGGAAAAAATTAATTTTTTTCTTGAAAAAATACTGCCCGTTTCTAGCAAAGTTTGATCGTCAATTTTTCTAATATAAAATCGTTAAAAATTCAAAAATTTCACTTACTTTCTGAGCCTCACATTCTCACCATTGCCGCTCAACAACGCCGTGGCCGACGTGAAGCTGTGGACGGAAGAGCCGGGCTGATTCCTCTTGTCCGTCGTTTGATACAACCCCTCTCGCGCCGAGATCGACTCGTCCGAACGCCGGGGCGATGAAGGCATCTGAAATTGCAATTTTTTGCAACCTCTTTTCTGCTTATTTTTCAGGCCAGAATTAACGACAAAACGGGGGAAATTGGAATTCCGCAGAAGTGATGTATATGGCGTAAACTCATTTGCATATTAAGACATTATGCGGGTAGTTGAGGGAGTGGAACGTCAAGTTGTTGAGGGAAAACAAAGTTCTGAGATCGCACGGTGCGGACGAAACAATTTATTGAAAAAACATGGATTGCACGGTGCAGAAGAAAAAAAATGAAAGAATGCACAGTGCGAAAGAAAAAGTGAAGAAAAACTTTTTGCACAGTGCACAAAACTCAAAAAAGACTTTTAGCGACAAAAAACGAGCTCGAAAACATTGCATGGTGCAAAAAAATGAAAAATGAAAACTGCACAGTGCGAAGGAGCGAGTGGAGAAAAGGGTTTTGCGCAGTGCAGAAAAGAAGAAAAAAAGCTGCACGGTGCAAAAAGGGGAAAAATATTTCGCAAAAGAGGAGAAAATAAAAAAAAATTACGTCATTCAATTGCACGGTGCAAAAAAGAATGAGTCAAAAAAAATTTGCACAGTGCACAAAACCACACGACTAGAAGTGAATGCACAATGCAGAAAAAGGAAAAAACTGCATGGTGAAAAAAGGGAAAAAATATTTCGCAAAAGAACAGGAAATCAAAAAATTACGTCATTCAATTGCACAGTGCAAAAAAGAATGAGTCAAGAAAAAGTTGCTGCACAGTGCATAAAACTCCACGACAAGAAGTGAACCGCACGGTGCATAAAAAAAAGAAAAGAAATTGCACGGTGCAAAAAAAAAAAAGATATATTTTGCAAAAGAAGACAAAATAAAAAATGGCGTCATCCAGTCGCACTGTGCAAAAGCATACGGAAGACCTCTGATTGCACCGTGCAGACAAAAAACAAAATCGCGACGTATGCACGGTGCAATTCACTTCTCATGAGAAATGGACTGCACTGTGCAAAAAAATCGGAATGATGCACAGTGCGGAGAGAATTTAAAAATGACTGCACGGTGCTGAAAAAATAAAAAATTTGGGAAAAATAAAAATTCTCAAAAAATAAAAAAATATAAAATACGGATTTTATAGCTATTTCCGAAATATTTTAGGTCATTTTCCCCTAAGCAAAGCATACATTCGTTGAGAAGACTCTTGACTTTTCAAACAATCTCCCCTCTCCCCTTTAACATCCTTAATTAAATTCTTGGGGAAAGTATTTGATTAACACGGGACCCCAAAAATTGAAACGGTCTAAATGAAGTGGGTCGGAATTTCGAAACCCCGACCGAAAACTCAAAACATTCAAATTTTTGAGGAATTTACGAAGTAAAGTGTAATTGCATTTTGTTTTGCAAAATAATGCATACAGTAGTCAAAAAAAAAAAAAAAAAACAAAACGAAAACAAAGATTTTCCCATTACTTCCGACCCTCGTATTGTTTTAGGCTCAAGATTGCATCTGCCGCCATTCCGAACACAAAAATAAATAAAACCCCCGTGGCATGTTTAGAGAGGGGAAAAAATAGCTGGACCTAAAATTAAAATAAGTTTATTTTGTTTGGAACAGTCTTAGTTAGTTTCAATAAAGTTAAGGTAAAGTTAAGTGGTATAACATCAGTCTGTCGGGAAAATAATGAGTGCAATGTCGCTGCGCCGATCGCGTCGCTGAAGTGAAAAGTAATTTGATTTTTCCGCAACACATCTTCTCGGTAGATGCGACAGAACGCTCACAGAACAAATCCTATAACTGTAGATTACACCTACATATGTATAACATATTTGGTATCAAACAAAATGGGATTGTCTGAAGATACAAGAAAAAAAAAGAATTTTAAAATTTGGCCAAAAACTGAAGAAGTTATAGCCAATTCAAATCGGGCCACAAAGATGCCCCACCCTGTACATAACCGAGCCTGAAAGTTGTAAACCCACAGTTTCAAAGAGTGTTACTATTTTTCGCGCTGTGCATGGAAAGAAAGAAACACGCTGATTCTGTTGAAACTTTTTTGGATATCAACCGACATTTCCGGGCAGCCTTTTTTGTGCTCACATCTTAAACCAACAAGTAAATTGCGCTAGACGAAAACTATTCTCAAGTCATAGTGAATTTAGGCAGATTCCTAAAAGATCGCTTTTTCACCCTGTTGCCCGCAAATCTGTGACCTTGCAATTTCGAGCGTTCTCTCTTTTGTAATCCTTTTGCAACGAAATCAGTGGATACTAGTCTGTCGGGAAAATAATGAGCATTCCGTCAACTCGCATCACCGCCGAGAAAATGAAATGTGATGCGACAAAATCAAACTGCTTTTCACTTCAGCGACACGATCGGCACAGTGACATTGTGCTTATTATTTTCCCGACAGACAAATATTTCCGCTTCGTATAAAAAATGCGGACTAGAGATCTCAAGGATTGGTCCATGGTTAAGAGTTGGCATGCAAGAATTTTAGATGATATAACAAGTAAAAAATTGCCAACCCCAGACTTTTAATGTATCTTTGCAAAGTCTGCGCGCTTTCAGAACCCATAAAATTGAGAGTAGGATGCGTTAAGATCTTACTCTCGATTATTTTTTGCACTGTAAAGAAATAAACACAATTTTCGCGTGACGTCTGGACTCAAAATTAAACTCATCAAAATTCAACCGTTTTCAAAACAAGAAAATTGCATCTCCGCAAAAGAGACGTGGTACAAATTGAAGTGAAGCCCGAATTGTACCCAAATTATTGTTGCTTGAAGTTTTGATGAATAAAACACAAAAGTTTTAAGACTAAGGCATTTCAGCGTTATCACGTACACATAAGTATGTATGCGATATTAAAATTGCGATCGATTAATTTTTTCTAAAGCATATGCAAGATTTCTAGTTTGCATTTCGCAGAGAATACCAACATTTTTAGGTCAAAAGTTGGAAAAAATGTTGCAGTTTTTTGCGAATTTTGCACATTCCTACTGTAGGAAGTGATGTTTCCATACAAAATCTTTTTTCCGCACGAAAGAGTTCGGCTAAAAAGTGTTTTTATCGCCTTTTGCGTTCTTCTCCGTCCGCAAAGTTGCTAGAAAAATTTCGACGACATGCAGTGTGCGGAAGAAATCAGGGTGCGAGCGACAGCCCGAAAAAGCTATTGCACAGTGCAAAAAGCAAGAGACTGCACAGTGCAAAGAGAAACTTTGTTTTCGCACAGTGCATGTCGCGAAAATCACTCCGGCGGCTTTGTGAATGGACTAGGGGAGTGAGGGACCTGATCCAGTGGCAAAAACGTACCATTTTGCATCGGGAAAGCATCAAAAATGTGGCAAAATGCTTCCCTCTTCAAGTGAAAAGCCTTCGGTTTGAAGAAGGTTGCTTCACAAAAATAGCGGGCGCGCTTTTGAAATCGGAGTTTTTTTCACTTGGAGAGGGAAGCATTTTGCCACATTTTTTGATACTTTCCGGATGCAAAGTGGTACGTTTTTTGCCAGTGGATCAGGTCCCCCGCAGTACTTTCTCGACCGCAAGGACTGTAGAAAGAGAATTTGAGCGTCGAAGTTCAAACACCTCCCCTATAGACCAATTACGAGGTTTATCAAACTCTAAGCGTTACATTATATGTATTATAACCACTCCCTACGCAAATTGGGACCAAAAAAACATCTGTAAAATTCTCAAGATTACGAGACATACCCACTCCCTAAAAAACCCAAAAAACGGAACACCCGGGAAACCAAACCCGGAACGATCTGGGAGCCCGATTACATGGTGGTCGAATAAAGCATTCTCACGATATGAAACGTCGCTTCGCTCACCATCACGGCATGCCCTGCGGCGCTTTTGTTTCGGTGCTAGAGACAAAGACTCAAGTGCCAGCGGATTTCCAAGCAAATCTTCGAAATTCGGAGGCCAATTTTACATTTTTTCACAATTTCTTGGAACATTGGGCCCGAAGTATTGTAATTGGAACGGTGGGAACCGAAGTTGAGAGCAATTTGTTGAACTTGTCGTTGGAGTTTCTCTTTGGTTTTTTGGGTGAAAAATGAACTTTATAAAAAGACGTTGTAAATAAAGTGCAAAAATACAAAATGTGATGACAAAACTTGAAATTAAAAAACATAAGGCGCTCAAATCGTGATGACGTTGGGCAGTGATAAAGGAAGAGTTCAAAGAAAGGCGACAAAAAGTAGACAAACATTTGTTGAAAGACCCCACTTTTAAAAATATTTGAGACAATCATAAATTATTACATGCTAAACCTTCTAACAAGGGAATGCACTTTATTTGTAAATCGATTTTGTCTTCGTGCCAAAATGTGTAAAAAAGCGGCATATTCTTTCCAACATTTGACTTAAAAATCTGGCCGATTTCTGCACAACGCGAGCTAGGATTATATGTCTTTTGTAAGCTCTGATATGCCTTTTTAAGCATATTTTTTGGCATCCACTTTGCAAAAATCATCGCGATTTTTCTGTCGAAAATATCGAAATCCAGTATCAGTATGTCGGGAAAATAATGAGTCGAAGATCGCATGGCCGCCGAGAAAATGGCGTCGCGACACTTGCGGGCAACCACTTTGCGGGCAGCTGACATTTTTTGATTAGAATTACGATTTCCCTTCCGTAATTTACGTGGAACAATAGAAATTTTACATTGACAACTCCCTGGTACTGATAAGTACACAAATCTATTAAGTTCATCGACTGCTTTCAAAGTTAAGGGAGTCTGTTTTCAAAAAATGGTAAAAAATGCCTGGATAAGCTTAAGATAACTATTCAAGGCACTTATATACACCTGGAAACTTAATCCGCAACGTCTAATCGTCGAGCCCATCGTTTGAATTTCCAGTTGTAAGCAAATTTTGGCAGATTTCACAACATGTCAGCGGAATCTCCGTGGTTTTCAAGCTGCCCGCAAAGTGGTTGCCCGCAAGTGTGGGCCCGCCGAGAAAATGAATTGTGCCGCAGCAAACCCAAATTTCTTTTCACTGTGCCTGTATTTTCAAACAGACTGTTGTT